CGTTTTCTTTGTGACCTATGAGGATATGTCACGAGACCTTCAAGATGTGGTCAAGCGATTATCGCGGTTTTTGAATTGCAAAGATCTGAGCAACAGTGAAATGATAAAGCTCTTAAATCACCTGAGTTTTAAAAACATTAAAGGTGAGTTTATAAACAAAAATTTGGCTTTGAGTAAATAAGACTATGTTGTATGGTTAGTGATAAGACTTAAACTATTCTACTTTTAGAAAGCAAGTTTGGTAATCCCACTGGCTTCATAAAAACTCTTCGAAAAACTACTGACGATTTTGAGTAAGCCTAACTTTCTCATTTGAGACTTAAAACTAATCATTATTTTGTTTGTAGATTTATGCGGCGCGGAATTGTTGGCTCGTACAAGGACGAATTAAATCTCGAACACAAGGATAAGATTGATAAATGGACAATGAGTGTTCTCGAAGAGCATGGATTAACTGAATCTGACATTTTTGGTGAATTTTTGTAATTTAAAATAAAAATTAAGTAGGTTTCACACCTGTATAAAATAAAACTATCGGCATGAGCACGATGAAGGCGAGTGGCATCAGCACTAAGAAGGCGAGTGCCATCGCTAGGGGAACAGCTGTTCGGCCAACATGTGAATGTGTTGGTGGTGGGAAGGTCACAAACCTTATTGGAATGCCCATAGTTTTTTGATTCATAGGCGAGCCGAGCTTTTAACTGTCATGCAGAATACTATAACTGAATTATTATATTGCCAATACCCATTTACAAATCTCTGAAGACATACCCCCTAGCCAAGGCGAATTTCGACCGCTTGATATGTCATTTAAATAAAATATAAGCTTTAGTTACTTACCGATTTTACTAGCCGACTGACCCATTGCTTAATTAAAATCACAAAGGCGGTGTTTTGCTTTCCGGAAGGCACAAGAACAGAAACAAAAGCCACAACTAGGACACACACAACTCATTTGGCATTGAGTTTTCGCGTGGCCTCAGCCCTCGGAAACTTTCTATTCTACTTTTTCCGTAATTCGGTCATTTGCTACTGGCAGACTAGCTTATTTACGGAATCATTTGCGGTAATTGCGTTGCATTATAAAGCTGTTTAATTGTTATTTTTATTGAGCAGAGCTGCCGGTTGCAAGGCTTTTTTCAGTGTGACCGCGCTTAAGTTCAATTTTACTTACAAAATATACTATCGTGCTCAGAAAAATATACCAAACAATATTTTAAAATATTTCAATTATAGGTTCTTTTATAATGATTAAGCAATCAATGTTTACAACATTAATTTTGATATAATTAATAAATGCAAAAGAACACAAGTTTATTTGAATTAGTTATGCCTGCATTATTTATTGTATAGTACGTATTAGCGCTATTTTAAAATAAAATCAAAAATCAATTATCTGAACTTAGTTTTATTTTTTATGAATGGTTCTAATCATTTTCAATTTAAGTTGTAAAATTCAATGGGTACATATTATTTTGGCAAATCATGGGACCAAAAAACACTGTGACTTTAAACGATAGTTTTTTAAGCCGTGCTTGCTACAGTATTTTTTCTACCACTCTTCAGTATTTTCGCTCACCTCACACACGGTCACACTCCACGCAACCTCTGCCAAAAAAAACTACGCGAAAAATATGCCATAAAAAGCGAGATTCGAGCGTGTTTATTTAGCTTTTGCGGGTAACAAAGTGCGCAGCAGCAGCGGGCCGATCCGTGCCCCACCCACAACCCACGCCCGCCGCCCAAGGACACATAGCAAACCGGCAGGAAGATGGCGGATCCGCTGAGTCTGCTGCGGCAGTACAACATAAACAAAAAGGAGATTGTCGAGCGCGACAGTCAGATAATCTTTGGCGAATTCTCCTGGCCGAAAAGCGTAAAGACCAACTATCTCAAATATGGGTGAGTATACGAAGCATATGGTGTATGGTCTGCAATATTAACAAATCCATTCCAGCTCCGGCAAGAAGGGCGCTCCACGTGAGTACTACACGCTGGAGTGCCTGCTGTACCTGCTCAAGAATGTGATGCTGCAGCACTCGGTGTATGTGCGTCAGTGTGCCGCCGAGGATATACCCGCCGTGAATCGTCCGGATCGTAAGGAACTCCTGGCTTACCTCAATGGCGAGACCCCGACCTGTGCCAGCATCGACAAGAGTGCGCCCCTGGAGATTCCCACGCAGGTGAAGCGGGCGGCCGAAGGCGAACCCTCCAGCGTGGAGGTGGCCGCCAAGAAGGCCCGCTTCGAGGAGACCCAGGTGCAGAAGGTGCGCGAGCAGCTGGCCGCCCGCTGGGATGTCAATCAGAAGGAGACCGCCGTCAACATGGACAACATCAAGTCGTTGTCCGAAACGATGTCCGTGGAGAAGATCGCGGCCATCAAGGCCAAGCGTTTGGCCAACAAGCGTACGACCATCAAGCGAACGGACAACGATGAGACCATGGGCACGGATTTGCGGGCCATCCTCGACTACGATGTGGACTCCACCAAGGACATCATTAGCCGCGAGCGGCAGTGGCGCACGCGCACCTCCATTCTGCAAAGCACGGGCAAAATCTTTGCCAAGAACATCTTCGCCATGCTGCAGGGCATCAAGGCGCGCGAGGAGGGACGCAATCGCCCCCAGGCTCCCAATCCCATCAAGATGCCGGAGCCGGCGAGAATAGCCAAGCCACAGCCGCAGCTGTCGCAGTACAATCGTTACGATCAGGAGCGTTTCAATCGTCAGAAGGAGGAGACCGAGGGCTTCAAGATCGACACGCTGGGCACGTACCACGGCATGTCGCTGAAATCCGTGACGGAGGGTTCACTGGCACAGCGCAAGGCGCAGGCAAACAATCTGGTTGTGCCGGGTGCAACACCGAATTCGGGAATCCCCGGACCAATTGCCGGTCGTCCCAAGGAGCTGCTGCCCACGGCACAGGCCCGCCAGCTGCCTTCCTCCAATGGGCCATCGAAGCGACCCTCCCGAACACCCATCATCATCATACCGTCTGCCAACACAAGCCTCATCACCATGCTCAACGTCAAAGACATCCTGCAGGAGCTGCGCTTCATGTCCACTGCCGAGAAAAAGCTGCAGGGCTGCCAACGCGAGAGCGAAGTGCTGCTACAGGTGCGTTTTTAAGTGACTAACATACTCACTTTTGGTTTTGCATATCATTAAGATGGACTGTCTTTTAGTGCACCATCAGGTGTGCTTCTGGCTTTGTAGTGGGTTTCACGTTGAGGTATAATTTTGTTAGAATCATGTGTTGTTCTTCAGTAATTCCATGAAAATGTATATTGCAGTTTTCATTACTATAATTATACAATTGGTATTTGTATTTGCTTTGTTATAGATTCAAAGACAAAAACAGCACCTCCCTTCAGGTTGATTTCACATTAAAGTATGATTGAAACTATAATTTGTAAAATCGGATTTAAAGTTGATGCAAAATAGAGACCTCTTCATCAGGTGTTCTTCTGTTTGAGTTTAAAATTATACTAAAACTAGAACAATTGAAAATATAATCCAATAATCCAAGCAGAAAGATGTTGTCTTTACACAAAACTATATTCTTTCTTTTTATTAATATAGTAATATTATTTTAAATTGTACTAGCTTGGTTTACAAATTCAAAGATATAGAACATTTTCAAGATTTTCTGATTATTTAGTTTAATAAACATACGTTTTAAGTTGTCCTAAAGTTCAAAGAGAGAAAAAAAAACTTATTTGTCTTCCATATTTCTCCATAGCGCAAACGGAACAATCAGACTGTGTCCTACCGGGTGATAGACAATCCCATCAAGCTCTCGCAACAGGATTGGCAGCGGGTGGTGGCCGTCTTCGTAATGGGACCACAGTGGCAGTTCAAGGGCTGGCCCTGGGACGGCAATCCCGTCGAGATATTCTCAAAGAGTCAGTATCAATGTCGCCCCGCTTGAGTAATTTATTCATTTAGTTTCATTTTATACTCCACGGCAGTTTGCGCCTTTCACTTGTGCTTTAGCGAACTGAAATTGGACTCCAATGTGGAGCGCTGGTCTGTGACACTGCTGCGACTCTCGCAAAACAAGCGGCATCTGGATCGGGCTGTGCTTAGCAAATTCTGGGAAACTTTGGACAAGTGAGTGCCTTAGCACTATTAAGTGCTTACATATAAGATTTCCATTCAACTTATAACAAATGTTTGTTGGTTATAAATTCATGTAGTCGATTAAGATTCTTAAAAATTTATTTCGGTCCGTTTTATGGATTCTATCAGCAAACAATAATCTTAATTATTATGCAAGCTATTATTGCAAATAGGACATTGAATATATTTTATATGAAACCCAATATATAGGATCAAATTTATTTTTAGTACAAAAATTTGATGGGTACATACCATATTTAATTTGCCTTTTTAACATATAGTTTTTATCCACTTTATTAAAACATAATTTTAAATTTTTTCTATAATTTTTCAGATATATGGCCAAGTACAAGCCCGATTTGCGGTTTTAACCTTCACCGTATCCTTTTAACATTCTGTTGAAGAATCTTTATTGCAATGATGACACCTGCACAGTCTCACAACACCACTCCGAATTAGTTACCATTATTCTATGCGATCTGCATCTTATAAGCAATGAAGACCGAAGACCAACCCGTATGTGGGTCATCTGGCCCGTCCAAGTTCCCCATTAAGCCTGCAGTAATAGACCCGCGTGCAGTTAGAGGATAAGCTAAACAGTTTGTTGTTCGACTTGTACAATGTAAACTATAAAACAAACGGATCCGAAATCAAGTAATTTGTATTCTTAGTGATAATAAAAAGTTACAAGCCATTTTGTTTCGGTTATGAAACCATGAGGTTGACATAATTGGCATTTATTTGGCTGCAATTATACTTAAGCTATTTCAACAATGGAAAGAGTGGAAGTTAGAGAATTACTTTTAAATTTCTCCGACGATAAGGTTGCTTACCCCATTTCATGCCCCCACCAAAGCCATAAAACCAACGTAATCGAAGTTAGATTCCATTTGTTTATATTGCAAAATAATTGTATGTGTAGCGTACAATCGTTATGTTAAGCGTTTGGTCAGTAGAACTACTCTATAGGTTAGCGGTTTAAATAAAAAATACTATTTCTCGGCCAGCGAAGATTGGTCCATAGGATCTTCAGGAGGACGTGCGTTCGCAGAACTGGTTCTTTGCCGCCTTCAGGGTGTTGTGCATCAGCATGGCCACCGTCATTGGACCAACGCCGCCAGGCACTGGTGTGATGTGTCCTGCGACCTGGCGTACTTCTGAAAATATATAAAGGATAAGAGGATTAGAGATTTGTCTTTCAAGCTTGACAAAAAATAAGGTAGTAACGCCAGTTGCAGCTTTTTCTTTGGATTTTTTTTTACGAAAACTACAAAACTGTTTTAAACGATTAATATATATTATCCAAAAGTAATTATGAATGTTTAATACCTTTCAATAATTTTTGTTATCAAAAAATACTGTGTAAATTTCTTAAAAAAGATCTCTAAATTCTGTTTTGCGCTGACCAAATTTTAAGTGAACTGTTTACTATGAACCAAAAATTGTTTCAAAATCTATTGAGTTAAGTAGCTAAATCTATTGTCTATTTGACGCTATTTTGTTTATTTAAAAAAATCAACAATTATCCGAACAAAAAGATAACATTTTTATGTACGAAGTTATTGACCTCCTACAAGTTATTTTGGTCACCCATAAATGCTATTTCGCGAAAAACGCTATAAAGGTTTTAAGTTAATTTTATGTAATATCTTTGTTAAATTTATTTGTATTGACTTTAAATTAAGGACGTATAGTTATATTTTTTTTTTAATTCATATTTGAGAACAAGTGAGGACACTTACCTTCGAAATCGACATCTCCGACCAACTTGAATTTGCCGGTCTTCTCGTCCTTGATGCGATTGATGCCCACGTCGATGACACAGGCTCCGGGCTTGACCATGTCCTTGGTGATTAGACCGGGCTTGCCCACGGCCACCACAATGATGTCGGCCTGGCGGCAGTAGCGAGCCAGCTCCTTGGGCGGCGTGTACCTGTGGCAGATGGTCACCGTGGCGTCCAGAGCCTGGGTGGCATACTTTCCATCCGCGTGCAGCAGGATGGCCATCGGCAGGCTGACGTTCTTGGAGCGACCAACCACCACGGCATTGCGTCCATGGGTTTCGATGTTGAGGTGCTCCAGCAATCGCTTGACGCCCAATGGTGTGGCCGGAACAATGCCATCCATGTCCAGGGCCAATCTGCCGATATTCAGCTCGTTGAAGCCATCCACATCCTTGTTCACGTCCACTGCATTGCAGATGGTGCGTTCGTCGATGTGCTCCGGCACTGGCAGTTGCACCAGCACACCCGTAACACGCTGATCCTGGTTCAGCTCGGCAATCACCTGGAGGAGCTCCTCCTGCGTGGTGGACTCGGGCAGCACCTTTGTCTCACTGGAGATTCCCACCTCACGGCAGGCGGTCATCTTATTCTGCACGTACTTCTCGCTGGCCGGATCCTTGCCCACAATCACGGCCGTGAGATGGGGCACCGGATGGCCAGCGGCCACTAACTCCTTCAGCTCGCTGCCCAGCTGGCGGCGGATGTCCGCGGCGATGCTTTTGCCATCGATGATTTGAGCCATGTTGCTGGAACAGAAATCAAACGAAAACATATTATTTTATATTCAAATATTAAATATATGTCGTTTGAAATATATATGTAGTTCCAGATATCAGAATGTTGGTTTGTACAAGTTATGCAAGTTATTGCATACAGAAAACATATTAAAATGGTATATATAATGTTGTTCTTAGAGATGTTCTTAAAAGATTATCAGGTTTTTATTGAAAATAATAGTAAGTTATAAATATATAGCAGCGTAATTAATAATTTTGTTGTCTTTAAACCTTAATATTATCCCCACAAAAGTTAAAAATATTATAAAAACAAATTAAAAATGTTTAGAGCCTAATTTATTATGCCCCTTAAAGTGAGTCTTTAAAGTTTACAGCATCATCAAAGTCATAATTACACTCGAGGCATAGTTACACAGATAGAATACACTTCATTTGTTGCAAGATACAAAATGGTTTTAAATAAGTATTTAATTTAAAAAAAAAATGTTTGAAAGCCAATTTATTGTATATTTAAGTCCCTAAAAACTGGATTTTTAATTTTTATAGTTTAAAACCTTATAAACCCATATATTATTTTGTTAAACATCATGTCGTATGATATAAAACCCAAAATAGTGCATTTTTTTTAGAAATCTTTAGCTAGAAAATTATCTAAGGAACAGTGTAGTATTTTAAGAACTACATCATATATCTCTACAAATTTTATTTTGTCGAAATTGTATTTTTTACGATATTCCTGAATCTAGTTAGCAAGGTCATAAAAAGAGAATGTCGCCAAAAGATAAGGCCCTGCTGCAAAAATCCCCGCCTGTCAATGCGGTTGCGCTGCAGTAGTTCCCCCAGATCGCACATGTATGTGTGTCGTGTGATTCACCCACTTGTTTACCAAAAGAGAAGTGCGGGCGGGAACGAAAAAAATTTTCCTTGTGATTCCCCGTTCTCAGAATGTACTTGTACTCGTTGGATGCGTTGTTCTGTATTATCGGTTAAGAGAAAAGCATTTATATTCATGACCTCATCCATTCAGGGAAACAATTTAACACACACTCGAAAAACACCCAAATGGATGGAAATTATTCAAATTACCTATATTTTGGAAATAATTACCTTAGTGATGGAAATTTGTCACTTATTAGGCCAACCTCTTTAAAATGTAAGTCATTTTGTATACATTTAAAGTTAAATTGGGGTTTTGAGTGTTAAAGTATTATAGTTTTCAAATTCAATAAGATAGAACCGCAAATATAATGCCTATATTTATAAGATCAAATTTTAACAGGGCCCTACACACAGAAAAAAACATATGTAAAATTGTTAATTTTGGTTTTAAGAAGATAAGATTACCTATTTGTGTGTTTTATTCTGTGTGTTGGTGCTAGTTTCAATGAAAAGTAACATTATTAAATTCCACGAAATTTAAAACAAAAATTTAGCCATATACGAGTGGCGCAATTTTTAGAGATAAGTATAGTTATAAAACTAAGGTACTTTATTGATCAACATGTTCAATACAAAATCAAGTTGTTTCTGTTTTGAGAGGGATTGGGTTTGGGGTGTACATGGGAGGAAGAGGAGTAACCTAGGACCTAATGTAAATCTCGATCTAGAAGTGCGTAGGCCTTTGCATCGATTGTCTCAAGGGCGCGGGCAAATGCTGCAAACTCCTCACTGGCGCCGTTTTCCAGGATGTGATCCAATAGACCATCGGCACTCAGCCAGAGAAAGATGAACTGCTCCAGATTGGCTTGGCGGGCCACCTGCTTCCATTTGGCCAGACTGGGATCTGGCCCATGTCCCAGTGGCTCATTGAGCAGCGCACTGAGTTGGTCGTACAGCGACTTGTTCCTGAGCAGCAGCTGCAGTTTGTGACGCGGAACGGGCTCCATTTCGGCATCTTCACTGGTCGCCGCCACTGATTGCCGTGCTCGTCGACCGGAGCTCAAGTCCAATTCCTCGGGATCCTCGTCCTCTGTTTTGATATCCATCTCCTCGGACTTGATCTCCAGCTGGCCAGCCTCGCTGCTCTCATCCGAGGATGAGTCTATCTCCTCCTTGACCTTTCGCGGAATCCAGGTCATGGCGCATCCATCACTCTTTTCCGGATACACCTTCTCCAGCAGCTGAACCACCCGCTCGTTTGCCTTGTGCCTGGCCAACTCCAGTGGCGTATAGCCTGCGGCATTTCGTGCCTGCAGAATGTCGGTGAGGTTTTGATTCTGGGCATCCAAAATGAGCACGAGTAGCTCCACATTTTGCTCGAGCACAGCCATGTGCAGGGCATTGTTTCCGTCCATTGTGTTGGCCACGCTAATCGAACTCCGGTCATGACTGATCAGTTTCTTGGCCACATCGTACCGGTTCTGCCGGATGGCCATGTGCAATGGCGTGAGCCCATCGTCGTTCTTCAGCGAGAGATCCAATTGCATCATGGTGGGCTGTCCCTTCAGGAAGCTCTCCACGCAGTTAATGTGCTCCTCCTTAACGGCCAAATGCAAGGGCGTGTTGCCCGCGTGGTTCTGCTGATTGGGGCTTACCTCTAGGCCCATCAAGGGACGTATGTAGTGCGGTCGATCGTGCTGACAGGCCACATGCAACGCACTGTCTCCATCCGCATTCAATGCACTGCTGGCCAGCTCGCTCAGCTTAAAGTGATTCATTACCTGTATCGTCCTGATGGCCAACTTCAGGTTGTCCTTTTTGTAGCTAATCACCTCGTGCAGCAACGTATCGTTGTTGTCGTTCTTCAAAGCGTGATCTGTGAATAGTTCTTCTACTCGGCGGCGCGAGGTCTCGGCCCCCATCGTTGTTCGTTGTTCGAAGATCTTGAATATAGCACTCAGGTACTGAGTGGTGAGGCTTCGACCCGACGACGACGATGACGGCATCACTTCGGAACGCCCATGGCCATCTGCCTGCAGCTCGCCCATGTCCAGATTGCAGATCTTCTCCAGCTCGTCCGAGTTGTGCTCTATAAGCTTGCGGAAGTTTTCCGAGTTGATCAAATCATTCAGATGCATTTCGCGACCAAACTCCTGACTGATTGTCTGATCGTGGTGCGAGAAGTTTGGCAATCCATTGGGTGGCTGCGCCAGGGCCAATATTTTGGGAAGATCCAGGGAATTATTGGAGCTCGGATTGCCGGAACTGCTGCTGTTGGCCGAGGAGCAGGTGCGTCGGCGTTTCCTAGACACGATCGCATCGCGCGGCTTGTAGCGGAAGGGCAGCGACGGATAGGATCGCTCGTCGTCGGAGGGACGTATCAGCTCAATGGAAACGCCCACCTCACGGTCCACATCCTTGTCTTTGTACGGAGGCGTCTGGCACACAATGGCATACTGGTGGTGGACATCCGATTCCCGGAACTTGGCAAAGGCCTCCCACACGGTCTCGCCATCCTCGTCCTCCTCGAAGAAGCGCACCTTAATGTTCTTCTTGCTGACCTTCTCCACCAGCAATATAAGCTCATCGTTGCCCATTACTCCGCCCGTGGGCTTGCTCAGCCGCACGATTTTCAGGTCTCCGGTTTGCGCCGACTTCCGGTTGTTGATCGCATTACTGTACACGGGCGGAGCAATGGGCACCCAGGTGCCGTTGTCCTCGATCTTGAAGGCCTCGAAGCAGAGACGCACCTAAAAATGGCGGGAGATTGGTTAATAAGCTGATAACTGGAGTGTTACCGGGTCTCATAAGGTAACCAAGCTAATTTCTTTCCTTTTAGTGAGTGTTTTATGTTTGTCTCGCTAAGTTGGCGCAATTTCTAAATAATTCTAAGTATTCTTAGTAAAGGAAAGTTTTAAAATTGTTGATTTATTCTGATTTATGTGTAAATTATAAAGCGCCAAACTTTATATTCCACTCACTTAAGTGAGAAACTCAGCTCTTTTTGGCTGCGAAGAAGAACCCACCTGGTTAAGATTCATGTCCTTGGCCTCACGCTCCGTCTCCTGGTGCAGCTCCTGCATCTGTTTGGTGGACAACTCGCGACGGTTCATCTGGAAGACCAGGCGATCCTGCTTCTTCTTGCAGAGCTCCTCGAAGATGTACTTCTTGGCGGTGTGTATGATGCCCATGTTGATGAACTGGGCCACATAGCCCCGATCCTTGGACACGTGCAGATCATGGGGATCACAGACATCCCGTTCGTCCTTGCGCACCACCAACTGATGGGAATGGGGGCTGTCCAGATTGGTTTGGAACAGACTGCAACGGATGACGGCGGGTCCGTCGTAGTTATAAAGGCTGACCTCCGGGAAGGTTTTGGGCGTCCTCTTGGAGTTGGCCCCGTTCAGGGATCCATGTGTTCCATGCATTTCGCTCTTGTAGCGAAACCGGAACTTCTCCACCGGTTGCTCCACGATTCTCAGCTGCGGCACGTGTTTGCTATCGCCGCCAGCCGCCAGTCCGTTTTGCTGGTATCCAAAGAGCTGGCCGCCAGGAGCGGGAGGCACTGCAGCGGGCACATAGTACTGATGATCCATGTACATGTTGCCAAACCCTTGGGCATTCGCAACTCCAGCGGAATTTATCAAATTGCTGGCGTCGAATTGTTGGCTCAACAGCTGATGTTGGTATGGTGAGTTTGGCAGCGCCAGCGGCTGTGGTGAGTTGCCGGCTGGCAAGTTCAGATTGGCAAAATCCGTTTGCAGGGCCATCGTTTCGGGGGAGTGGGCGGGCGACAAGGATTGGGTGGTGGAGGTGGGGGAGTTGCCACTACTGTATCCACTTGTGCTGGATGCATCGTTCATGAAAAGCACATTTTTGCCCTTGTCCAAATCGTAGTATTGATTCATTTTCGTCGTTGTTTCTTTATCAAGCAAATATTTTTCCTGTTTATTGCGTCGTTATAATTCCAAAAACTGAACCGCTGACTTTGCCGAGCGAAACACTAATGATCGAAGCGCGCTGCTCCGATCGACTATTCGTTTTTGGGTACTTCCCCGATGTCGCGGCGAATGGGAAATTATCTGCTGCGGCCACGTCGCGATGACTCACGGGTTTTTCAGGCGCGCCGCTCCGTGTGATTTTTTTGCCTGCTATACTATATATTCTCCGATTCGCGGTTCTTGTTTACACAGCGAAATCACACTCTATATTCGCGCACACAGATAGTAATTCTGGCATGCTCCGATACATATGTGTAACACATATATGGAATGGCAGCGCAGCGGATCGCTAACTTTAATGCGCCACTGCTGGAACGAAAATGAGCGCAGGCCTTGCACTAAATCAAGTAATAACGCTCGCCAGCTAAACGCTCACGAGCTGATAACAGGTTTAAGCTGTCCGCGACGAGCTTTCGGGACAGCTTTTCACACGGCAAGTACTATTCACGTAATTAATTTGAATACCTTAATTCAACACACACCACGCACACAACCGTGTAATTCATAGAAAAGCGACTTGCCAGAGTTGTCACAGAAATTGGATTGGGTGGCAACGCCCCAAACAGCTGTTTTGAGATCTAAAGGTGAGCGCGTGATTAAGTTTTTATTTCAATCCCTCGTGACTTTTTATTCTTAAAAGCACAAATGTAATATATTTTTCATGATAGGTTTTGTTTAAAAATAAACGCTGCTTTATGCTTAAAACAACTTTTGTTGCAGAATTGTTGGAATAGTAATATTTTTCACGAATAAAATACAAAATATATAAATACCGGAAATAAGCTAAGCAAATTTGTAAAATAATTATGTAGGATTCTTAAATTTAGTTAATCACGACAAGAAAAAAGTTCTTGCGTAAATCAAAATAGGGGTATTTTGCAAAACACATTTAAGTCACGCACGCATCTCCAACACACGCTTTGTTTTTCTTTCGTTTACTTTTATATCACGTTTTTGTTCCGAACGGGTTGAACTTACTTTTTTATAAACGTATGTACGCACCTGGAGAATGACTTGCCGGAATAATTCCGGGAAACTACATTTGCAATAGATCCTAAAGATCTTCGCAGCATTATGGAAAAACTTTTATCAACACAGAATTGCTATATCCAAAAAACACTTATGTATGTACATATGTGGTATGATAGAAAAACTGAGGCGATTTAATTTCCTTTGCCACTGGACACACCCACAGATACAGATAAAGCCGACCTGTTGCTAGGCTGCAATTTGTATAAATAAATATATATATTTAGCTTCGTTGCACTTTTTTCGAACTTGACCCCTTTCACTTCGCGTTGTTCTATTCCTCTTCCTCTTGTTACCATGCCCAGGCATCTGTGTGTGTGTGCGTGCCTGTGTATGTGCTTTCTCACCTTATCAATTGGCGTTTTGTTTATTTTGATAATAAATTAGCACCGAAAAACATAAACAAATCAGGGTCCTGACTTTTCAAGCTTCTGTCTAGGGCTAGAATTATAATAGACAGGCCATCAAAATTGTGCTGTAATCAGCTATTTTTTTAAGATCGAGGAAAACTCGTTTTTGTGACTTGATTAGAAATAAACGTGTCTACAGAGAGCCTATTAAAAGTTCTTTAGTGGAAAGTTTTTATTTTTTTCGGTTTAATTTTTACTATTTTTCACATGTGTTTACCTTTCCTTGTCTCACTTGGAATTTTCCCTGCTGGAAAATTCGAACTGCACTGTTTGCCGGATACTAATCGACTGTATAGAACCGATCTTTTTTGAGCCCCCGCACGTGTTGTTCCCAAACCCACGGATTCTTCGTAGTTTTTTTTGGATAAAAGCTTTTGCGTGAGCGAGAGAGCGCGACTTAGAAATTTCAGCTGTATCGCGTGGAAGCTTATAAACAGTTAACGGAAAAAGTATACATCAAGAAGCCAAGGTCGTGAAAATCGGTATTTTAACCGTTACGAGTATCGGTAAATTTTAAATTTCACCTTATGGTGAAAAAATATACAAAATTCACTAGCCCCTTCGAGCAAACGTTTCAATATTTTATATTATCGGCTTAGGATCTTGCCTTTCGTTTTTGTTGTGTCAATCTGCGACACGAGTTATTTTGCAGCAGTATGTTTTTTTTCACGAGACGGATGACGAAATCTGATTTCCGATTACTGCACTCGGAGATTGATAGATGGCATTTAGCCGATGACGTCAAATTGCTCCCCAGGGGGCCGAATATACTCCATAACCCATCGTCTCCCGCTGATAAGCCTTTATATGCAACCCCCTGACCGCCTATGCCATGAGTTATAGAACTGATGCCCGATCGCCTGGTAACTGGCGATCTCTGTTTTTAGTCGGAGGAAAAACAATGCAAGCGTCATTAAAAATGTTATTCGCGGACGAAGATTGCGCCTGTTTTGGGTTGAAAAACATGTTATTTTCGAAAAGAGATCGCCGATAAGCCATGGAAAGTGCGAGTGGCTGTGAATGCCCAATGGGAGCGTTGAATCATAAGCAACACCATTTATTTAAGAGTGGAATTTTTACCTCAAAATGTTATTGAATTGGTTTCCATTTGGAGCAAAATAAAATCTTGCGTTATTAGAACTTTCCGATGTAAATTTGTGTTTGCTTAACTGGCAACTTAAAAATATGTTTTAGAAATGATGTCCTAGTTATTTAAAATATGGCTAAAATCTAAGCAAATGTCAAAAAATGAATTTTCTTGCACGTGAACTTAGAAAAAAGTTAAAAGGATATACATTATCCATAATTTTTCAAGTTTCAAAATGATCTTGACAAACAATTAGCTGGTAGGGCTTAATTGTTAAGATTAAATCGTATGCAATCCACACTTCATTATTGATTTACTTTTATTGATTTTATCAATAACATTTTTTTTATTTTTATATATTTAGCAGCTTCAGCAACTTGTATTAATAGGCAGTAGCGATATTTATTAAATATGTTTTTTACTCAAACTCACCTTGTGAATCTCATTTTCAGGAAGTTGTAATATTTCTTGTAATCACTTTATATTTGTATAACTTTTTAATTGGAGCGAATGCTTTGCCACTGATATACTTTTAAGATTGTGAAATGTTTTTAAATATATATATTTTTTAACGATTTGTTATTTATGCACTTGCTTAAAGACTTGTCGCGTTTGAATATTTAAAAACAGCGGTCTGCCGCCCTTTTTATGCACGAAAATACCGTGGATTTTTTAGTGGAATCGAGGAAAATACTATCTTTTTCGGTATTTCTTAGCCCACGCTGCCTGGCCACACTGAAGAAAAAGAAAACAAGTCGCAGAATCACGATACACCATTGCAATTTACACACAATCCCTTGCATTTGCATCTCCGATGCCCACAAACTGGCGATGAAGCCCCAGACCAAGCGAAAGTCCTTCCCCTTCAATGCGCCCCCGCCGGGAGGAATCATGGAGTTCGGATTCGGGAGCTGCAGCAGCAACTTTAATGCGGAGAACGACCTGGTAAAGTGGCAGCACAAGCGGAAATCGGAGCAGCAGGCGACGGCAGTGCTGTGAGTGCTATATCCCCCCTAAAAAGATATATTCCTAATAATAATCTGGTTACTGCTCTCACTTTTTAGACCCCCCAAGATGCTTATAACCGAGGAGCGGATTACTCAGCACTTCAGCGGACTGTCGTTGGATCCGAAGATCAATGTGGCCTCCTCCGCCGTCGGCGGCAGCAACAACAACAGCGTGGTGGGCAGCGTTACCGGCGGACTGGTGACTGATGACATACCGTCCACCAGCACCGGCAAGACCCATCATCATCCCAATCCCGCCTACCAAATGGCGGCCATGGAGCTGGAGGAAAAGCTGCGGAACGCCAATCGCATTGTGATCTGCGATGGCCTAAAGGGATCGCCGGGATCGGGTCCCGGAGCAGCACCCCCAGTGATCCCACCCGAGTGGCTAATGAAAGCCATACCACGTCCCTGCACCGCCTTGGTGCCCTGGCAACCATCACCGCTACAGATCCCAATGCCCAATGGTCCCAAGATTGTGGCCCCACCTCCAATTATGGCACCGCCCATGGTTGGAGCTCCGCCAGCTGTCCAGGAACTGGACGACTATGACGACGATCTGGAGTTCTTTGAGAACAACAACACGTGCAGTGTGAATCTTAACAAGTCTGAGCAGGAGCACATGGATGAGGACCTGTAGCCCATAGCCATATATATCTCTAAAGAATAAGCATAACATTGTGGAGAATTGTATGTCCGTATTCGTAAGAACACACAGTTGATAGCATGCAAGAATACTCCCTCTCCTTATTTTGTATTACTATTGAAAATAGATAGATGTATGTGATCAAATCCGATTTGGCCGACTGGAATGTTCGTTAATAACAGCAAGTGGGCCAACTGCAGACGTGAAAATCTGTCGCTAAGAAAAAACTAATTTGTAATTACTTTTTATTTCAATTTGTAAACGGATTAAAGTGTATTGAAATGTTTTAAGAAGAGGGGATAGATGGAGTTTATCAAGTCAGAAAAGCTGAATCTACAATATTAACAATAAGTCATAATATTTTATTGCTTTATTTTGTGTATTAACTTGCTAATGGTAATTTTACCTGGCACCAATATATACTTGCTTGCTATGAAATTAAAGAATAAAGGCTTTTTATTAAAAAACCAATACGTTCCAGAAAATTCGTTGCCAGGGTGGGGATTTTATTTCTAAGGATTTTGTATGAAACTAAATTCTTCAAAGGAATTCAAATCAAAATTATTTATTTTTAAAGCTTTAAGTTATATTAGACGTTGAACGATTTTTTAAAACATATTTTCCGAAAAGTTTTTAAATTTAAGAGGAATCAAACAAACTGTTAACATTTAACAGTATTACTGTGTCTCTATTCATTTGGTATTTTTGACAGCGGCTGTCTTACTGAAAAAGGTTGGAGATTGAAATTCATCGTTGTTGCTCCGCCAAACATCGACTAAGCCGATGTTCTGAAAACACTGATGAAACCGATATTTTGAAAAATCGATGTTGGCATCGAAGTTTCTCTACCTCTAGACGCGATACTAACCACGAAATGTTAGCCAAACGGCGAACTTACAGAAGAATAGAAGGAGGAAGATATTAATCCACCCCAATGTAAGTGAATCGTCGAACAGAAAGAAAAAGATGAAACCGATGTTTTGAAAACATCGATAAGAGCAATGTTTTGAAAACATCGATAAAAGCGATGTTTTGAAAACATCGAAGTTTCCCCACCTCTAGAGAAGAAGAAAGTAAAGACGGAAAAGAGAGACAGAACCGAAAAATTTGCAAAGAGGTCGGTTTGCTGCTGTCCGGATTCCGGAAATTTTTTCAGCGATTCGCGTACGGAAAAAATTCGAGTACGTCCAAAAACCTATTGAAATCAGTGTTAATTTGGTAATTTTAATTTCGGCCACATACTGGCTGGCGTGTGTGTGAGTTTACGATGCTGTGAGCTTAAGTGCGTGTTTGATGTGTGTGCGTGCGCCCACACAGACAGCCATAAGTATTAATTATAGTTAAATTTTACTTCATGGCGCAAGCGAAAAGATTGTAACTCGGAGAACGAGAAGCCGAATCAGAACAAATGCAGGCGAAAAGCAGAGCCATCGCATTCACAGCGGCAGAAATCTGACAAAAACTAGATACGAGGCGAAGTGCAAATTTAGAATTCTTATTACAAGTTCATGGGAAAGTGGCGAATATACGTGTAGCGTGATAAGTGAGCGTTTTTTGTGTGTTGAATGGCAAAACATCACGTTGACCGATGCACGGAAGAGAGCGTCCCCGTCCCGAAGTACGCATCGCAGAAACCCACCACGCTCGTTTGTTTTTCCGCTCTCCTCCCACTCCCACCTCTCTCTGGGCAGCAGTGGCTTAGCCCCAGGGCAGCGCCACACGTGGTGGGGAGCTGCTCTCCCTTGCACTGGGGCTGCTTCTTTGACGGCGCTCTCTTTCTTGCCCGCTCATTCCGAAAAAAACCGTGTGTGAGTGAGGTAGTCGCTGCTCCGCGTCGCGTGTCGCTCCGTCAGTGTGTGGGTGTGTGTGCGTGCGCTGGTCGTTCAATTTGTGTGAAGTAATAAGCGTAATTAGTTTGCTGGCAAACTGTTTAAAAATCCACTAAACGTCTGACGCATAGTCTTTATCTCCGATTTCGTGATTTTGCAGTTGAACCTGGCCAATAGAGTCCATCGAGTGGAACCGACACGAGCAACAACAGCAACAAAAAAGAGGCAGCGATGTCCACCGCCGTTGAAACGGGGTCGTCGCCTGCCAAGAGCAACAACAGCAACAACAATAGCAGCGGCGGCAACAACAGCGGCAACGGCAATCCCAGTCCAAATGCAAAAGGCGTTCAGCGGCGTCAACTGGTGAGTACGAGTACTGCTCGAAGCACCGCTTCCCTTTTCCCTTGTGCCCTCCACCTGCTTCACCCAGCATATACTATCAATAACCGATAAAGCCCCGACAATCTACGGTGGCACTTCCCTAAGGTGCATTTCCTGTAACAAAACGTCGTTTTTTACAAAAGCGGGGTTTAAGATAAAAAAAAAAGAATGTGTAAAATGAAACTTTTTAAAACGTCAATTAAGATCAATGATAAGATCAGGCTTACCTTTAAAAGTTGTTTGTGGAACTATTATGATGGGACTAAGAAGAAAATTGCTTTAACAAAATTAAACAAAATTAATACCTCACAAGTATCTTTTATTTGTGAAATTAAAACCAGTTGGCAACTGCAATAAAACAATCGTACATCTAAAAGCTACTCTTGCAAAAACGGAAGTAACTGGTCTCACATAACGTGGGTGATGTGGTTTGCTATACGGAAATTCACCTGTAACCGTGATTAATAAGCACGCCGAGCCCTAATAAGTAGATGATCAGCAGAGTGCGAGCGAGAGATAGCAAGTTGGTTGTGGAAGCGAACATAAAGCTCATCATTAATCGGTGGAAATAAAATGCATGCTCACCCGAACGCCTAGCCTTGCCCGGCCCTCTTCCGCCTCTGCCACCTCCACATTTCGCCTCTTCATTTTCCTTTGCGCCAGTTGAGCATTGGAGCTCAACTGGGGCCGCATGACCGAAAGCAATGAGCTTTATTTGCCATATTCGCTGTTTGTTATTCTCTTCTTCTCGCTATTATTGCCATTGTTGTTGTTTGCCTCGCATTTCGTTTTCAATTTGCCATCGGTGTTTTGTGGTGTTGTCGCTGCTGTTGGTGTGTGTGCCTCTGTGAGGGTGCTGGTGGGTTTGTGTGTGGTGTGTTTCTGCTTCGGTTTCTATTCCATATCGTAGATAACAGGGCATTGTTGCGTTGTTGTTGCCCAACATATTTACATACGGAGAATGAGCGATACGGGGGAAGAGGGAGTAATGCTGACGTTGACACAGCTATGCACAGATAGAAAAAATGTATATCATAACATGTAATTTCGGACCAAAAACTTACCCTTTAGATATAATTGCATAGTATCATATAATATTCTATCATATTAAGATTCAAAAATATAAAAATCTGTTTGGGCAGCCTAGATTTAACATTTACTCATTTTTATCTGCGCATTTCGATTAGCTACCGATGTTCTTTAATTTTGTGTGTGACAAAGTGATGATATCTACATAAGTACTAAAATGGTTGATGATTATTGTAAGAATATACGAATTCAAGCAGTGGTGGACTTTTGTTACCAGAGGCAGGTTTCCATTAATCTTGATTTATTATTTATCCATATTTATTTTTCTGTGTAGAAAAGTGAGGCGTGGGTGTCTGGTAGGGTGTTTTGCTTCGGGGGGGTACACCTCACTTATTTTATATCGTTGGCCAACTCGCAAAGTTCACGTTCACAGTTGCCTCGGCCTGTGCATTTGATTAGCACCAAAATTGGATCAGCAGCTGCTGGTGCTCGTTGCTTCGCTGTGAACGGTGACGAAGAATACCGCCCGGCACTTGTCGCCGGAATTCGTCTGCTACACGCACTTTTACGAGTTTATTGCCGGGTATATGCACTTAATTTAAGCAACTCGTGTTTATAAAAAGTAGGATATGCCTATGTGATTAGCCCCAGTTCTTAGTTAGAATCGGAATTTCAACCGTCAGGAAGTATACATTTAAGAACATTTTAATCGGCAATTTAAAGCTCTAATAGCAAACACTATCTACCTTAACAACATGTCATTTATTGTCTTTTATTAATTATGTGTACATCAAACCCTTTTCAGGCCTTGATACCCATGCCCACTTTTAGTCTAAGATGAATTCCAACTTAGCCATTCTCTGATGCCATAATTAAGTAATTATATTCCAGAGCAGGGTATCCAAACAGTCGTCAATGTATACAAATTCCCACAGACTGTCTATCTTTGCATATTGAAGTGGCTCGCAGGCGGAGAAGAGCGAACGCCCATTAAAAATGTATGGATTGGTGGGGATAGGTGGAGTGGATAGCTCTCATTACGGTGACTAACGCGAGTAAAGAAAGAGGAAGGGAGCGAGCGGAAAGAAGAGCACAGCAACCACATGGCAGATAAGGGTCCGCAATTAGCACCTTAAATAGAATACATTAGGGCGCCCAGGTGGCCACCTGGAGGGTGGGGAAAAACAAGTGGGGTGTCGGGGGGCGAAGGTGACGCCACCACAACAAGAATACGAAACCACTTGACTGGATTCGGATTTTGGTTTTCTGTCTTACACGCAACTTTTTATGTGGTTACGACTTTCGTTGTTGTTGTTACTGCTGCCTTGCCTTCACTGAAAGAAATGTTTGTCCATTTATTGGACACCGGTGGGATTTGAGCTCAGATGCTATACGCTCTAGTCTATCATGTTATGTCGTCTTACGTGATTCCTTTAAAAATTAATTTAGACATGACACTATTCAGAAATCAAAATGTTATAAAACATGCAAGTATTGAACTTCTGTTTTTTCTCTCTGTGTGGTCACGGTTGTCTTTGTTGTTGTTTCCTCTTCTACCTGCCGATTGTTAATCGGCCAGACACCAAAACAAGCTTTTCAGCCAAGAAAAAACAAACAGTAACAACAGCCGCGCAGCAGCAACAGCGTGGCCACAATGAAAAGTCACTAAAAATCGTTTAGAACATGCCAAACAAGTTTCAACATTTCTGTGGGGCAAGCCGCTTAAAAAGGATATGCCTCACACAGATACAAACAAGTACAAATACAAACGAGGGCAGGCGGTGCATCATGTATATAGATTTTTCGTTGCAAGCACGCCGCTACCGCCCCATCTCCCCCTCCCCTTCCTTTTACCACCCCACTTGCAGCGGCCAAAATAAACTCATGGCAGGAGGCATGGCAATTCATTTCGTATATAGTATTTGTTGTTACTTCACCTCTTCGCTCCTTGGAGCAACAGTCTCTCATCTCATCTCATCGCCATCTCTGAATCTCAATCTCTCAGAATTTCCTCTCTGCCGGCAATGCACCACCGTCGTGCAAAAAAAAAAAAAAATATGCATGCAAAGTGCATGCGCACTGAAGAGAGATAGCGATAGCAAATGGAAGAGAGAGGAGGAGGAACAGGTCCGTGGTGGACAACTCGAGTCCCGTTGCCCTTTGCCAACCAGTGTTGCCATTCCTTGGATTGAAGTGGGAAAATCTGAGGACATTTAACATTTATATGATGTTTGCAAAACCTACTAAAGCAAACTATTTAAAAATCTTAGTTCTTGGCGTTCTTTTCAAACTTTTACCGGTATCCAACTTTTAAGAAGGCAAGATTGAATGGATTCTAATAGCTGTAACATAAAAACTCTTGCCAAGCGATAATTGCCTCGCTAAAACTTGCGGAAAACGTAAGAAATTCGAATAGGCTGTGGAAAGCAGAAAGCTTTTTGGCCCAAACTCATCAACGGCTGTCAGAAATGTGGAAAAATATGAAAACATTTCGATTCCTAGATAATTATATTTTTTGGGAATATTTTTCTATTTAAATATTTTTCTGTTGTTATTTCGACTTTTTCATGTCAATCGAACCCACAAGCAACGTGTTTGAAATCAAGCGAAAAAAAGTGAGCTTAGCATGTTGCTTAAATAGATTTTTGTCCGGTTTTGGCTCTCCTCTTATCTCTCAAATTAGGTCTCCCTTATGTTATCCGGCAGAGAATCCCAGACCCCTATTTTGAACCCATATTTCTCTTCTAGACTCACCAGCGGATTAATTATGGGATTGTTATGACAAGCTTAGCCCTTTACCGTATTCCTAACATTTTTCAAACAGGTGCCTTTCTTCGGCCTGGCTCAAATGTATTTGTGTTTTTAAATCTTTGCCTATTTATTTAATTTATCAAATAAAATTCATTACTCAAAATAAGGTACGATAGTTTTGAGAGATTTGACATCCCTACCGGCGAGCAAATGAAAACGAAATTACAAAGACGAGAGAATCCTCCAAGTGAAGAGAGAAAGTGAAGGCGAGGGTCAATGGGAGAGTAAATGAGTAGTTCCGCAGAGCTCATCACTGTGGTGAAGAGAGAGCAAGTGAATCATTTTGTTCGCGTCAGCAGAGTCTTCGGCAGCGCCCTCCGTTCAGGCGGTGTATTTTTAGGCATTTATCACTCTCCTCTCTCTTTGAATGCTTTTTGGATGGCACTGGCACTCTATTGAACTCTATTCTCTCTTTTTGCAGCGGGAGAGGAAGCAGCGCAAGCTCTATCTGGAGGAATGGTCACTGGGCGATGAGGATGGCGAGGGGACGAGGGGCTTCAGCGTCGCCGAGAAGCTCGAGTCTTCGAAGTTCGCGCAGGCGGGAATGGTGCGCGAGATGCGCGGGTGCGATCTCACCGTCGCGTAAGTATCTCAAACTTTTGCGTTATTTATCGCTTGCTAATCACCGGTGATTATCGGTGTGATACTTGACGGAAATGCTGGTTTAGTGTATTTTACATTATTTTATGACCTACATTAAATGGCGGATGTGCTTAAATAAATATAACTTGGTCGTTACCTTTATTAAAGTCCTTTTTAAATTTTAATAAATCATTTTCACTATTCTATTGGCTATGAATTGATAACTAATCCATTTGGTAAATATATAAGACTGGTTAAATAAACTTTATTTCCTACTTAGTTTTAATATTTTTTGCTTTGATTTTACGTATTTTAAAAGTTTTTTTTTATACTTCGTTGACTACTTTTGGAATTAAGTTTATTAACTGAAATTAAATTATCCCTGCTTCTTTCGCAGATTTCTACAGCAGCACGGCTTCAATATCCCGCTTTTGTTCCGGGACAAAGCGGGATTGGGTCTACGGATGCCCGATCCTCAGGAGTTCACCGTGAACGATGTGCGACTGTGCGTGGGATCGAGGAGACTGCTCGACGTCATGGACGTGAACACGCAGAAGAACCTGCAGATGACAATGAAGGAGTGGCAGCAGTACTACGACAGTCCGCAAAAGGACCGCCTGCTCAATGTGATCTCGCTGGAGTTCTCGCACACCCGCCTGGACAGGTTCATCCAGAGTCCGGAGATCGTGCGTCAGATCGATTGGGTGGACGTGGTGTGGCCCAAGCAGCTGAAGGACGCCCAGCGGGAGGGCACCAACCTGCTGGGCGGCATGATGTACCCAAAGGTGCAGAAGTACTGCCTGATGTCGGTGAAAAACTGCTACACCGATTTCCACATTGACTTTGGCGGCACATCCGTTTGGTATCATATTCTGCGGGGGAGCAAAGTTTTCTGGCTCATTCCACCCACGGATCGTAATCTTCAGTTGTACGAAAAGTGGGTCCTCTCGGGCAAACAGGCGGATGTGTTCTTCGGCGATACCGTAGAGAAGTGTGCCAGAGTGTATTTAACGGCAGGCAACACCTTCTTCATACCCACTGGATGGATTCACGCTGTCTATACGCCCACTCAATCGCTAGTGTTTGGCGGGAATTTCCTCCACTCCTTCGGCATTGTTAAGCAACTGAAGACAGCCAGTGTAGAGGACAGTACGAAGGTGCCGCAGAAGTTTCGCTACCCCTTCTTCACGGAGATGCTGTGGTATGTCCTCGCTCGTTATGTTCACACGCTGCTGGGACACTCCCACCTAGAGGGTGAAGCCTCGTTGAGCGAGGATGAAATGGCTGCCCGTCCTCACACCCACCTTACGCACCACGAGCTCTTTGGACTAAAGGAGATCGTGATGTATTTGTACGATCTTCCGCCGCAAAAGAAAAATGTTCCCAGTTTGGTTCTCGATCCTGTGGCCCTGATCAAAGATGTGCGATCGTTGGTGGAACGGCACTGCAAGGATCAGCAAGATCTCGCCATCACAGGCGTCTCCGTGCTAAAGTCACCACCTGGTTCGCAGCCACCTTTTCTCCTTTACGATCGCACACGGGTGAAGCAAGAGATAAAGCAGGAAATAGTGCGCAAAAATGCGGAGGTCATTCGGGAGCAGCAGCAATTGGAGGCGGGAAGGGCTAGGGAGGCCGAATCGGATACTTCTCAGTCGACGGGAGTGGGATCTGCATTGGGCATAGGCGCTGGCATCGAGTACAGCAATGGAGTGATGAAAAAGGAGCAGTTAGAGAACGGTACCGGAGCGTCGCAGCCAGGTGCGTTATATGCTCTCATATATTTGTTTCAGAGTAATATGGCAATGTTCTACAATTTACAGAGGCCACCTTTGTCCTGCCCACCGATACGCTCAAGTACCGCCCACCCAAGAAGATGCATTTGGCCACCGCGTTGGTTGCAGCGGCCGCAAGCAGCAGCAGTGGGGGATCAGGAGGGTCAGTAGCAGGAGGATCTGTTACCATGGGAAGCAGCCACAGTCACAGTCCCACTAATGGTGGAGTAGGAGTGGGACTTGGCACAGGAGCTATTAGTGTGATTGCCACCAGCTCCAGCTACAGCGAAGGAGGAGTAGTGACCAGCATGGACAATTGCCCATCTCCCGGGGATGGGGGTGCCAAATTGTCGCCAAATCTGACAGGCACTGGACAACCACGACGTCGCAGGACGCGCTGCAAGAACTGTGCCGCCTGTCAGCGCTCCGACTGCGGCACCTGCCCCTTTTGCATGGACATGGTCAAATTCGGAGGACCAGGAAGGGCTAAGCAGACGTGCATGATGCGACAGTGTCTGTCGCCCATGCTGCCAGTGACGGCGCAGTGCGTCTACTGTCACCTGGACGGCTGGCGGCAGACTCCAGTCTCGCCTCAGACCAAGCAACTGGCCTCCGCGGATGGGCCCTCGGCGCTGATGGAGTGCTCCGTGTGCTACGAGATCGCCCACCCGGATTGTGCCCTCTCCCAGCTGGATGGCACAGAGGACGCGGCGGACGCCAAGGGCATCGTAAATGAGGATCTGCCCAACAGTTGGGAGTGCCCCAGCTGCTGTCGCTCCGGCAAGAACTACGATTACAAGGTGAGCATTGGCTATTGTGCACTTAAATACATACTGTTGCATTCAAAATAATAGTAGAACCCTCATGGCAAAGGACTAATTTTCTTTTGATTTATTTTAATGGGTACATAAGAATAAACATTAAAATTAAAATTCACTTTTCAATATAATGTAGTAAATGGAATTTCAGAAAACGGCCATCATTCGCAATTTCTATTTGAATAAAAACCATTTTTATTTAAGCTTTAAAACTACTTATGTTTTGATCGCATCTGTAAATACGCATAGTTAGTGCTTAAACCAAAAAGCTAGAATATTAAAAATTGTTTTGTTTTTAAATAGCAACTAACTTAAGCTTATTATTTCCACAGCCTCGTCACTTTCGAGCCCGTCAGAAGTCCTCCGAGGTGCGACGCGTTTCCGTTTCTCATGGTCCTGGTGGCGGACCGGAAGGGCACTCTGAAGGAGGAGCTCCATTGCTGCCGCCCCCGGTGGGTCAGTACAATGACTTTGTCTTCACGAGTGAGTCTGAGATGGAGGCGGGAGCAAACAGCCTCGGCCATGTGACTCATTGGAAGCACGGGATGAAGCGCCACCACCAGCTGGAGGTGAAAACGGAGCGGAACAACAGCTGCGACACCCCATCGCCCGGAATCTCACCTAACGCGGGCGAGTCCAAAGTGGGGAAACGGCGCAAGAGCGACGATGGAACCAGCGTTTGCAGCAGCATGCATGAGAGTAACGATGCCCCTTGTGGTTCCTCGGCGGAGGGAGCAGGTGGGGCAGGGAACGCCAATTTGTCCACCAGCCAATGGGGCGGGAGTGGTGGCGGAGGAGGCGGAGGCTCCCGCAAAAAGAACTCGATCAGGTCGCAGCTGGCCCAGCAAATGCTGAACTCTTCGACGCGAGTGCTCAAGAAACCTCAGTACGTGGTGCGTCCGGCCAGTGGAACCGGCTCCTCTTCGTCCAGTGGCAATGGAGGCAGTGCGTCGGCCACCAATGGACTTAGCAACGGAAGCAACCAAAGCGGAGCCAACTGCAGTGGTGGCGGTGGCAATGGCGAGCGAGGAACCAATAACGGAGGATTAAGCGGCTCGAATGGTTTAGGCAATCAGCACCACAGTTCCGGTCAGAATCTGGCCCTGGATCCCACCGTGCTGAAGATTATCTTTCGCTACCTGCCGCAGGATACGCTCGTGACCTGCTGCTCGGTGTGCAAGGTGTGGTCCAATGCTGCCGTTGATCCGGATTTGTGGAAGAAAATGAATTGTTCGGAGCACAAAATGTCGGCGTCGCTTTTGACAGCGATTGTTCGTCGGCAGCCGGAGCACCTGATCCTCGACTGGACGCAGATTGCCAAGCGGCAGCTGGCGTGGCTGGTGGCCCGCCTGCCGGCGCTCAAGAATCTTTCGCTGCAGAACTGCCCCATCCAGGCAGTGCTGGCGCTGCACACCTGCCTCTGTCCGCCACTCCAAACGCTGGATCTGAGCTTTGTGAGGGGCTTGAATGATGCTGCCGTGAGGGACATCCTTTCGCCGCCCAAGGACTCGCGACCTGGCTTGAGCGACTCGAAGACGCGGCTCAGGGATCTCAAAGTTCTAAAGCTGGCCGGTACGGACATCTCGGATGTGGCCGTGCGCTATATCACCCAGTCGTTGCCGTACTTGCGGCACCTGGATCTCTCCTCCTGCCAGCGGATTACGGATGCGGGCGTGGCGCAAATAGGAACCTCCACCACAGCCATTGCCCGCCTCACGGAGCTAAATCTGAGCGCCTGTCGGCTTGTCTCCGAGAACGCTTTGGAGCACCTTGCCAAGTGCGACGGCCTGATCTGGCTGGATCTGCGCCATGTGCCCCAAGTGAGCACCCAGTCGGTGATCCGCTTTGCGAGCAACTCCAAGCACGATCTGTGCGTCAGAGACATCAAGCTGGTGGAGCGGCGGCGAAGGAACTCGACGACGACGGTGGCCAGAAGCTGGCACAATGACTGAGCAACTGGCGGGAGCAGCTGGAGGAGCCCCTTAAATCTTAATCATATGTCCCGATCCTCATACCATAAATCACAAATCTAATCCTTCGCCGGAATGCAAGCCAAAGAGAGTCGTCGGGCCCGTTGCATTGCGTTTGGTAAAGTGTTTTATCTTAGGGCTTTCTGGTTGTCCGTTTTTCCAAGTGGTCTGGGCTGTCTTAAGGTCACTGATGAGGATGTTTGGCGGCATCCGAAATATGCACACATTCTCGAACTCGCTATCTGACCAGCCCAATCCTGTGTCCAGTAGTTTCTAATTAATTTGGCAATTTATAATTGCTCAAACTTTGGATTTCTGTTTGTACCTTTTGTGGTATTACTCCATTATATTTAATAGAACTTCTGGAGGTTTAAGAATCTCAAATATTTCACTTTTCGGAAGAGCACTTCTTCATGGTTTCACTATTTCTAAGAGAATTTTAAAACTAGGCTGATGAAATCTTTAAAACGGGTTAATATGCAATATTTTAGGAGACGTTTAATATTTTTCAGACATAGCTTTTCCCCTTTTCTCAAACCATTTCCGGGCAGTGTAAAGGGCACAACTTCGGTTTTTCCGAAGATAGATGGCAGCCATCCCCCCAACGAATCCCCGTTTATACAGGTCTACTCCACCCTCACACTCGGACTTAGCGTAGTGATTAAGATTAGCATTCCCGCGATGGTAATTACATTTAATCAGTGTCATATATTAAGTATGCAGGAAGAGTTAGAAGTTAGAGAGCAGCACTAGGTGCACCGATCCAGCTTAAGTAGATCCAGCTCGTCGCACAGCAACTATGAATCACATGCAGTGCGCATCGGGACTGTAAGAGCAATGCATCCGAATAAAGAAACCGTCGGACACCCACCCTTAAAACTTCCCAAAATTTGGCCTTACTGGATATGCAATTAAAATGCGAGTTCTTACAGTTCTGAATGCCACTGTACCAGCGCTATTGCCGCAAATATAGTCGATAAGTCAACCTGCCAAGCTCCCTTAAAACCTTTCCCATTTTACCCCCACTCCAGTAGCAGTTAAAATAGTGATAACGTTGCTAAAATATATATTTGAGAGTATGTAAGAGTAACACAAGTATGCGCATACTTATATTTAATGTTTTACAGAATTACATTACAAATATAGAATAATGTTTCAAGAATTTCTAGTACTTGGAGGTTTTGTATTCGGGTTCATCGCCACCACCACCGCCACCTCCACCATCCTTGGGAAGTTTTCGTTTTTGAATGATTGTCTGGAAGGATAAATGTTAAAAAGATACTTTAAAATACTTTTATCAGAAAAATATGATGTATTATACACAAACCTGGATCTTCTGCCACTCCCTGTCCAGCTCGGCCTTTTCGTTCTTCTCCGTTTTATTTTTGCGCGTCTTTCGGCCATCCTGCATCTTGACACCGTACTGGAAGGCGGCCTTGGGCAGCGCCTCCTTGGTGCTCATGTAGTCCGAGTACTCCTCCTGCGTGTCAAAGTCCCAGCGCCCAATGGGTCCCTTCTTATTGCCCAGATCCATCTTGGTGTAGTCCACCTCATCGTCCGAGTCGTCGATAGCGTCGTTCATCTCCTCCAGACCCGGATAGCACTCGGCATAGCCCTCGGGCTCAGCGAACCGGGAGGCCATTGCCTTGGATATCTTGGGCGGTGGGGGAATGCTGGAGATCAACGGCTCTTCAGTTGCCTCGGGGGGCGCATCTCCAAAGTAGGAGGCTGTTGCTTTTCCGGGCTCTGGCCTACTGCGATCCCCTCGCGACGCAGTGGGTTGGTAATCGCCCACATCGTCGTAAATGTTGTCGCCCAGTGGAGCGGGTTTGCCTTCCTTATTGTTAGCTGATGATGAAGAGGAGGAGTTGGCGTGTCGGCTATTGCCACCACCGCTAGAGGACGATCCCCGTAGGTTCTCCACTTCCTTCTCATAGAACAGCGGCTTGTCCTTATCTCGCTTCTTGTTCTTCTTGGTGCGACCACCAGCACGCAAATAACTGAGGATCTGTGACAGCTTGTTTATGACAATGTCATTGGTGGTCAGAGTGGCCACATCCTCTCGTGCCACAGGCACCTCAAACTTGGATCGCTTCAGAGTGGTGGGAATATCCGATTCGCCCAGCTCATCGTCCAGATCGATGACATAGGCCATTCGTCCGGGAGCAAAGAGTTCATTGCGAGGAACTTCTTTGGATCGCCGTGCCTGCACCAGGTTGTAAATGTTGCGGGCCAGCGCACCGTTGATGGCATTGATGTCCTCCGATTCCCGGCGCTCTGCTTCCAGTTGCTCAGCGGCGGCAGCCGCTTCGGCCAGCTTTTCCCTGGCCACGGCGGCGGCTATCTCCTCCTCCTCGGCCTCCTTGGAGTGCAGCTCGGAGCGCACCTTTTGCAGCAGGGCATAATCCAGACCCTTTACCAAATGCGTGTGCTGGATGTCACCGCCCAAGAACTTGGATTCCTGGATGATCCGCCTTCTACGCTCCTGCGCATCGATTCCGGACTTCATATCCGGGGCTACGGCTCGGTAAGCATTGGTGCTGCTGCCGTGTCCCGGTGTGCTCACGTTCACGTAATCCGGATTGGCGCCATCCCGCCGCTCTCGTGCTCGGTCCCTGTACTTTTCCGAAAGCTCCAGCAACTTCACATCCTCCTGCTTCTTGAGTGCCGCATAGAAGTTCTTCTTTTTGCGCCGCAGATCATTTCGTTCGCTGCTGCTCTGGCCCTTTTTTTTCTCGCCACTGGATCCGGTGGAGTTGGGGGCGGCTGCGGAGGGTGTGGCAAAGGTGGCCGTGGCCAGGGATCCTCCGCCGGAAGTGCTGCTCGTCCCAGAGCCTGGGGGCGGCGCCCGGGGCGTGGCCAGCAGTTTGCGGAAGTCATCGTTGGTCAGTCGCACCGAGGGCGGTGCTTCCAAGTGGGCATCCGACATGGCGAATGGGGTTTTCCGGGGAAATTCGCAAAGGAAAATCTATATTTACAAACTATGCTTCTTCTTGTTTTTCCTCGACAGGGTTGTCAGCCTGGTGGTGTTGTTATCGATTGTTATCTTCGAGCTGAGCTGGGGTCGATAACATCTTGTCAGTGATGAAAGCTCAGCCACTTTTCCGTTAAAAACTGAATAGCTTTTAAAATTAAAGAAACAAACAAAAATTCAAATTATATACCAAATGTTTGAACCATATATATATGTAACGACAACATTATCTGTGATGACTACTTTTATAATAAAATATAAAATAATTATTTACGTTTGGTTTCTTAGCTAGTTCAAAAAATGTGAATACATAGCTATTTTAAACACATTTGTGATCGTATACTTTCATACGTACATGTGGCAACACTGCCGGGACACCAGCTGATCGGTTGATAAGGATCAATGTTATTATTATTGTTCTATGAAAAATGGAGCAATTTCTGAAAGGACTTCCCAAAGTTGAGCTTCACGCTCATCTTAATGGCTCTCTGGGAATCGATAGCTTGCGCGATCTTGCCGAGCGGTTGAATGCGTTCGCCTCAGATAAGTTTTTGGAGCTGTGCTTCATTCGCAGTGAAAAGGATTTGGATGCCTGTTTCGAGACGTTTACCTTTGTGCACCAGTTGACATCTTCTCCGGATGGCTTGCGCTATGCTACGGAATTGGCGGTGAGGGACTTTGCCCACGACAACGTGCAGTATGTGGAACTGAGGACTACTCCGAAAGCAACTGTTAACTATTCACGCGGGGAATACCTGGAGATCGTAATCGATGCGATCATTGGGGCAAGGAAAAAGTATCCGGATATCATGGTTAAGCTACTGCCCTCCATCAATAGGGCGGAACCAGTGGACGTGGCTGAGGAAACCGTTTCCTTGGCTTTGCAGTTGGCCCAAACGCATCCGGATCTAATACTAGGAATCGATCTCAGTGGGAATCCAGCCAAGGGGCGGTTCTCCGACTTTGCTCCTACTCTTGCCAAAGCCCGTGAAATGGGTCTTAAGCTAGTAATTCACTGTGCGGAAATCGACAATCCTTCAGAGGTGAAGCAAATGCTGGAGTTCGGGATGTCGCGCTGCGGACATGGAAGTTTTTTGACCATGGAGGAAATTAAGCAGCTTAAAGAACGGAATGTACCCATTGAATGCTGCCTTACGAGCAATATCAAATCGGGAACAGTGTCCAGTTTGAAGGAGCATCACTTGAAGAGGATCATTGAAGCGGGTGCACCCAAGGTCATTTGCACAGACGACAGCGGTGTCTTTGACACCTCGTTGACTCGTGAGCTTCTGCTGGCAACGGAAACATTTGGATTAACCCGTGAGGATTGCATTGCCCTGACTTTGGAGGCTGTACATCACTCATTCGCGAGCGACCAGGAGCAAAAGAAAATGGTGGAATCGGTGGTAAACTACGCGGCCAGCTTGCCAAAATAGGGCTTTCATATTTCTGTATTCAATCCATTCTGACAGTAGATATTAAAACGTAAACACCCAAATTTAAACTGTTTTTTGCTAAAATATTTTGTTGTACTCAAGTTCTCTAGAAATTTTAAGACGTAGTTTAACCAATATTGTAAATGGAATGTAAATAATGGAATAAATTTAATATTGAGCCCGTAGTATAAATCCCATTCGGTTGGCATTCGATATTTTTTCTTTGGCCAACTTAATATAATTTGTGCTTAAAAATTAAAGCCCAGTGCTTCGTAAACGAAGTCTAAAAACTAAGCACAAAAGTATGCAAGAAATAAATATGTCTTAAGCCGCGCTCATTATGGCAAAGACCTGGCCGAAATTGAAATGTACTGTGGTCCAAAATGCAAAACCAAATAAGAATAAAACTTATCAGAAAACGTCTAAAAATTCATCTAAATTTTAAAATATATACAAGCAAAATTTTAAATATAGTTTGAATTTATTAAAATCAGCAATTTGTACTTCATTATATGAAATTCAAAAATAACTGACCTTTGAAATATAGCCAGCACAAATCGCGTTAGTGTGTCGTTGAGTACCTTTCTGTTGCGCATCGCAAAAGTCAAGTAGACGGTCACACTTCGATCGCAGTTGCATCTGGCGGTGTTTTTCGATTTTCTCATTCCTCTTTATCGCTCCGGCCAAGCGGCATAACTCAAAAACTCCGCTCCGGCTGAAATCGTTTGACTTGTGAGTTTGTGTGACTACGCCCGAGCAGCAGCATTAGCTATTCGAATCGAGTTGTAGTTGGCACAGACGGAGGACTAGCTGAAATCAGGACTCTTGGGCAGACCAAACGCAGCAGACACCAACAAAAACAACGAAACGACGAGTGCGAAGAGTCACGCAAACAGGCATTTCCAAAATGGCGCCCACAAAAGCAACAACGCGCGCCACCATCACAGGCGGGCATCATCAGCTGCAGGCGGGGGGCGCGGCCGGGAATCCGCTCCTGGCGCTGGGCGCCGCCACCAGGAAGGGCCTCACCCGCAGGACCGCCAATGCGGGCAACATCATCGATCCCAACAACGCCGAGAACATGCAGACGCGCGGCAAACGCAAGGCCGACCATAGTCCCATCAAAAATGACAAAATCAAGCGCTCCGCGTTGGGTAACCTGACCAACAATGTTAAGATCATGACACTGCATCCCGGCCAGGATGAGCAGCAGCAGCAGCAGTCGGAGCAGCCGGCCAGGAAACCCACGGCCCAGCAGCTGCAGGCCATGCTGGATGCTAAGAAACAGGAGAACATCTTTGTCGCCGCCAACAAGATGACCACACGCGCCTCCAGCAAGGTGGAGGACTCGGTGGAGCACTGTCACAAGGTGCTGGACAAGCTGGAGGAGGCCCTGGCCAGGCCCAAGCCGCGTCCCAAGGCAGTGCCCGCCGCCAAGAAGTCGGTTCTGGGCGAGCAGCTGCCACCCATGCAAATACCCGTGCTGCTGCCGCCCATGCACAACTTGGCCGCTCCTCCGGCGCCCGCCATCAAGCCAGTGCGCCGGATCTCCAATGACTTCAACAAGACTGAGGACAGCCTGTACATGTCCGCGCTGGAGGATGTGTCCAGCTGCGATTCCATGCGGCTGTCCGGGAACTTTGAGGCGGCGCGTCGTCGCTCCGCCAAGTTGCAGCAAAAGACTGAGCAGCAGCAGCCGCAGCAGCCACTGTTACTGACCCTACCAGAGACTGCTCCCAGCCAGGTGGTGCCCATTCTGCCGGTGCCACAGGATGTGGAGGACTTTGACCGCAAGAACTGGGACGACCCGTTCCAGGTGTCGCACTACGCTATGGACATATTTAACTACTTGAAGGCGCGCGAACCGGAGTTCCCCATTGCCGACTATATGCCGCGGCAGATCCACCTGACCACCTGGATGCGCACCCTGCTGGTCGACTGGATGGTGGAGGTGCAGGAGACATTCGAGTTGAACCACGAAACTCTGTATTTGGCGGTGAAGATCGTCGATCTGTATCTGTGCCGCGAGGTCATCAACAAGGAGAAGCTGCAGCTCCTGGGCGCCGCTGCCTTCTTCATTGCCTGCAAGTACGACGAGCGACAGCCGCCCCTGATCGAGGACTTTCTCTACATCTGCGACGGGGCCTACAACCACGACGAGCTGGTGCGGATGGAGCGCGAGACGTTGCGCATGATCAATTACGACCTGGGCATCCCGCTCTCGTACCGCTTCCTGCGCCGCTATGCCCGCTGCGCCAAGGTGCCCATGCCCACGTTGACCCTGGCGCGCTACATCCTGGAGCTGTCGCTGATGGACTATGCTACCATTGCGTTCAGTGACTCGCAGATGGCCTCCGCCGCCCTCTTCATGGCCCTGCGCATGCACGGCGGCCCCGGGCAGCTGAACCAGAAGACCTGGAGCTCCACTCTCGTCTACTACACCGGCTACCAGCTGGCCGAGTTCGCCGAAATTGTGCCCGTGCTAAATGCCGGACTGCACCGCAAGCCGCGGGCCACCATCAAGACGATACGGAACAAGTACTCGCACAAGATATTCCACGAGGTGGCCAAGGTACCGCTGCTGACGAACCAGGAGCTCTTCCAGAGCAACCTGGACCTCAACGAAAGCAATCTGTCGTAGGACAGCCTCAAAGTTTAGCCAAATTCACCATGAGCTGCAAAATGTTACGCTTCAGTTAGGCTCTAAGACGCTTCAGCCCCCAATTCAGCCCCACCCAAGTTCCCGCCTCAAATCGGTATAGACGAAACAGCGGATAATCCCCTGATCTTAGCCCTAGACCCTAGTCCTTATTAATCCCCCGCCAAGTCCTCACAATTTATTATATTTAATTATTCATTATGGTGACCTTTGCATTATTGACATGTTTTTGCATAAATAGTGTGTTAAGAGTGCTTATTGTTTCTTTTTTGCCATGTATTATTGTTTAGTTTTCATATATACGTTCAGTAACATAATATCAATATCTAAACAGGAAAAGCGAAATTATCTGTAGCACACCCACATCCCTTACCAAACGATTCATGTTATAATATGTACACTAGTTTTAAGAGATGCCAGCATTAAATAAACCTAACTCGTAAGCCACCAAAGCAGACATATATGGATCGCCAAGTAAGTTACTCTACAATACCCAGATATACAGAAGCAAGGATATCGACTAGCAAAGGCACGTGTGTCCTGTACAACCTGGAAATGAAACGAAATGAATGCGCCGCGATCAACCCTCGTCCTGTGCATCTGTTCCTGTGGCCGTGTTGTTAATGCTGTTATTTGTTAAGCCGTTCATGGACTCTCTTCGCCCCTCTCCACAGCCACATCCACATCCATATCCACGCCCCTCGGAGGACGCAAACCATCCAGTTCCAAATCCAATTCCCTCTCCCAAGTCATGAATGTTGATAACGTTGCATTGTTCCAGTAACTAGTTATGTATGTACTCAGTGTTATGTATGTATCGTTTTTGCCCAGAGAATACCAATAAACATTTTTACGTCCGTTCAAAAATAATTCAAATTTGTACCTTCACAGCGGGCCATTAGGAGTAGAGTTGAAAAAAAACCAAAGTAATACATTTTTGAGAAGGCAAGACTAACACATTCAAAATTTTTAATGTATTTTATATTTAATCAAGAAAACAAATCTATCTGAATGAAGGATTTCATCTAATGCTTCATCTACGGTTTTCGGAATATTTTCCTGTATGTATCCTCATTAGAGAACAAAGAAACCCATTAAACAGTATGTAACTAAAGTTTTAAAACCCATTTAACATAAAACCTCTAAAACATGTATAGGGTAACTTAGACTGAAATCTTTCAAAGGTTAAAGGAAAGGGTATATTAAATTCAAACTAGTTATGCAGTGAGTATCGAATCTTTCAAAATCAAAAATGTGTCCATCAATATTTTGAGGTCAAAGGTTAAAGGAAAATTTCTATAAAATTCAGGCTTCCTTTGGAGTGAGTAACGAAACTCATCTATTGTTTTGAACTTCTCTCAGCTGAGATTTGTTACCTTTTTACGCTCATCCTCGAACAGCTGATGGCTGATGACCTAAGGACATCAAACCCTGTCTGGAATCGGTTCGATTTGCTACAGGTAAGACCCACCGAAATCATTCAAAATCTGTGTGTGTATACACTCGGGTCGTGTTTCCTGCGGTTCCTTGATTTTTTGGCGCGCCCGTCTCTCATTTTAGCGCCAAAAATTTGTTAAGGATTTGCGCGGCAGGCTGCGCATGCGCCGCAAGACATCAAGACGTCCTCCGTCCTCCGTCGTCCTTTTTCTCGACTCTCAGCAAATCTGCTGCACACCGAAACCCAGCCGATTTATGTCGCTGCAGTTGGGTCTGAAAATGGGTCCTCCTTGTTCCGATTTCCTACCACCTTTGCCTTGTCTAGAGTCCTTTTTTTCGGCTGCCTGCCAGCCAGGTAGCTCCTGTCCCCTTCAATTGTGTCCTTTGACGGAGAAAAGAATGGGAATAGATATAAGAATAAGAACACGAAAAAGAATAAGATGTGTATGCGTAAGGTTATCTGTCTGTATGGGAGCCGAAATGCATGTGCTTTATTTTTTCCGGTTCAAGGTGCAACTGGCAACTGGCAACTGGTAACTGGTAACTGGCCAGCATTGCTAATTATCTTGGTTGGGTGTGCAGAAATCAAGTTTATTTCGCAGGGACACACAAATGGAGAGATGGGTAGAGACAGCTGCCCAAACAGAAGGAGCAGCCAACTTATGACTACGACTCGGATTACTTCACGCCCCTAATCCCGTCCAGCTTCAGTAGGCCGGCGAGTTGTAGGCGCCATTGTAGCCGCCTCCATAGCCACTGCCATAGCCGAAGGCATTTTGGTTGTTGAGCACTCCGGAGGGTCCTTTGTGAACCCCTTCCTCGTTGTACTCTGTGTTCAGCGCGAAGTGGTGATCCCAGTGGTTGGGATCGGCGGCATTGTGGCTGGGATACCGATGGAAGTTCTGCCCACTTGTGGCCGGAAAGTGACCAGCTGCTCCAGGAACTCCAACTGCTCCAGGAGCCACTCCATAGGGAGGAAACTGAGCTGGCTGCGGATAGCCGGGATACTGTGGCAAGTACACTCCTGGATACGAGTAGCCGGGATAGGCACCAGTTCCCGGATAGAAACCAGGAGCCCCAGTGCCCACCGGCTGCTGAGGTGGAACACCAGTGGGATACTGAGCAGGATAACCAGGATAACCACCTAACCAAGAAGGGGAATCAAAAGATAAGTGTATTTACTCATTGGTAAATCGACTCAAAACATAAATGCTTTTAATAATATTCACAAATTTTTCCGATTTTGGTAAGCATTATATTGAGTTAATAGCCTGATATTTATTTGCGCTGTTGCATTTTGTTATCAGTGTAATTGTTTGTTATGCTTGAAGTCTTACCTGCACTTTGGAAACCACCTGAAGATGATCCTCCAGCAGAACCTCCTGCAACTGGATACGGAACCGGAGCCTGTTGGCTTGGATATCCTGGTGGCGGATAGGCCGGAAACTGTTGTCCTCCTGGGAACTGGTTGCCAGGGAAAACTACAGGGTTAGTGCTGGCCACTCGAACGCCAGAGCCGCCCTGCTCATGGCCATGGGCATCATCGATGGATCCGGTGGCGCCGGCGTATCCTGCTCCCACCTGACCAAGACCCGGATACACAGGCGAGCCGAGATGGGACCGCTGGCGATGGCGACTGCTGGAGATGCCAGCGCTCAAAGTGGAGGCCAGATTGAATTCCGTCTTGTGATCCTCTTGACTCTCGTCCCTGTCGAACTGAGATCCCTCAACAAAGGCGATCAGGATGAGGGCCAGAGCGGCAAATGCAATTCCCCTCCTGCTGCTGACCATGGCGTCTTTAAGTAAACTAAACCTCCGAAGCTCTCGGCGCGTGTATTTGATGCTGGGATCCGATCCGATCCGATCCGATGAGAGCTTTAGGTTATCAGCAGGGGCTCAATGCCCGGATAGGTGCTTTAAGTCTCACTGAGTGCTATTTTTCGTAGAATAAATGAGAAAAACCACACCGAGAAAAAAGATATTAATATATGAATAAGCGGAATACTGTGCAAAAATCGAATTAATGTTTAAGAATTTTATTGAATATATTTACTAAAATTAATAATGAGACCGAAAAAACAGTAAGTATAAGCTGAACTGCATCAGTTTATAATACTGATAAAAAATATAATGATTTTTCAATGAAATTGCAAAAATTGAATTAAAAAAAAAAATAATTGGAAAACATATATGGAGCCGCATTTAAAAAAAAATAAAAATAAATGGAAAAACCTTTTTTTTGCTGAGTGCCACTCTTAAGTTGTGCGCCGCCAAAAGTGTGATAAGCAAAGACGCAATGAAATTGTGGGGATTTCCCAAGCATTTAAAATCTATACCAGCATAGTTGATAATTATGTACATATGTATGCTTTGTATATTAAACGAAAGCTTTCTCAGACAACCTTGTTTACCAGTTCGCCAGATTAGCGCTATAAGCAACATATAGCATTTGCTCCAGTAATCAAGGTTCTTTCACTAGATTCCATTCATCTGTCTTATCACCATGCGCAGCTGGGCTATAAAAGCTGGAAGGAGGATTCGCAAAAACATCAAAATTAATTCAATTACTCCAAGATGCAGTTGCTGGCTGTGATACTAGTGCTAATCCTGGCCAGCTTGGCCCATTGCCGACCCACTTTCGGCAAGATCGCCGAGGTCTTGCTAGGGGTATTGGATGATCGACCAGCAGGGCATCATCAGGCAGGAGGAGGCTACCCACATCCAGGCTATCCACATCCACATCCTGGACCGGGTCCACTTATCCAAGAGGGCTACGAGCATGGGTACGACTACCACTATGGCGGAGGCTATGAGCATGGTGGCTACCAGCAGCAGGCATCTTCTCCTGGCTATGGATACTATCCACCACCGCAACGGGTTCCTCCTCCAAACGCCTACTATCCATCGCCTGACCACTACTCGCATTACAACCACCACCCACCACCCGCATCTCCGCCTCATGGATACTATCCCCCCGCAGGTAAAAAAAAAACGTAGATAATACATTTAAATATTTTTCGTTTTGATTTTTATTCACTGTGGCTTTTAGTTAATTTAAAAATGGAAACATTTTTTATGTTCCATTTGACTATTTTAGGATTTTGAAAGTGATAAAGATAATGCTTTTAAATCAAACAGAAACCATTCGAATATATTCCATATGAATTCTAAAATTGAAATATTAAATCTTGCAATTTATGTTGTATAGTATCTAATATTAATATTAAGTATAATTTTAATGTGAAATATAAAATATTTAATTTAATGTAAATTTGTTTATTTTTAGCAGTGTACAAGGCACAGGATCTTTATGGAGGCGGCTACAAACAAAGGGGTTACTAGCGTTCATCTTTTAGAGCCCCCATCCCATTAAATCTCGTGCCGTTTCATCTTTTTGTTTATGTGTAATTTATTAAAATACTAATTTACGTCAACGAGCTTTTAGAACCTGTTTGGGCAACGTCACAAAGACGATCTTGAGTGGGTTAATTGCACAATAGACTGTAGGAATAAGCAAGTGTGGGCGGGGGAATCCCTGCCTGCCCAGCAATCATCTCCGTCGCACATCGATGGGCTGCGATGGAACATCCTGGTTGGGCAGGTGGACATATCTGCTGGAACTGGGGAATATGATGGCATCCTGCTCGGGCAACTTATCTAATGGATTTGGCAGTGGCTGGGGAGTTGGCCAAGTTGGATAGGTGGGTGTATCCGGATTCTGGTGCGGCACCAGCGGTGGTCGATTGGTGCCTACGATAAGGGTGTCCTTGGTGGGCTGCGTGGGCGGAGGACGTGGCTGGATGGTGGGCTGTGTTTCTGCCGTCCGAGGAGTTGTGCTTTGGACATCGGGCATGGGTATGGCAGGAGTTCTGGGAGTGGAAACATTGGGTTCTGGCTGATCTGGAAAAGGTTGCTGTTGATTTTCGTCCCATTCTGTCGATGGTCTCATGCCACCGTTCCATCCAGGTCCATTCCAATCTGGCCTCGGTGGTGGAGGTGGTCTTTCGCCATTCCAGCCTGGCCTTGGCGGTGGTGGTCCTCTTCCACCTCCTCCATTCCAGCCTGGTCGTGGACCCATTCCGCCGCCTCCATTCCATCCTGGCCTCGGCGGCGGCGGTCCCATTCCTCCTCCGCCATTCCAACCTGGTCGTTGTCCTCCTCCTCCACCATTCCAGTCGGGGCCATATCCCTGCTGGTCCCAGCCAAATCCTGGCTGGTTTTGGTTGCCCCACTGCCAGCCTGGAGGCCAGCCAGGAGGAGCTTGCTGCCGGTTGGGTGGCCCGAATCCAGGTCCTCTTCGATTTGGGCCCATTCCGGGCCTGCCCTGCTGCAGCCGCTCAAATTGCTGCTGTTGCCTACGGTTATTGTTGTTGTGCATGGCATTGATGAGTCCATTGATGGCTCCAAGCCCGGGCAGTTGGGCCACCACAGTGACCCCTCCGGCGGAGGCAACTGCTCCGCCCGCCGAGGAATAGGCAAACTGGGCGAGGCACGTGGCCGGCAATGCCATGAGTGCCCAGAGCCAAACGGGGCTCCAAGCTGACGAAGATCGCGTCATGATCGAGTAATCAAGTGATCAAGCAGTGATCACCGCGAGAGGCGGATTCCAACTGTGGGGGGAAGATTTTTGCTCCGCCTATGCGATAATATTAATCGTTGACGCTTCAGTAAACATTGGAAACCTGTCCGGCGAGCAGTGAGAGCATGATTTAGATAAGTAGCCGAATTCGGAGAGATCCGATCCCAACAGATCCGCTCTCTAACGGTCGTCCGTCTCGGAGCGGTCATCACGATCATCTCGATTATCTTCAAACAAAAGGTAAACAAAGACGGAGCTTTAGCAGCATTATTATTCACACATAAGTATGAAAGAACATTGATGAAAAAATCTGTTTTAAATGATGTAAAAACAATTGTCTTCAAACAAAAGGTAGGAAAAGATGTGGCTTACACACCATTATTACTCATATTTATGTTTAAAAGAATATTGATTAAGAAATTACTTCTCAATGATGTAAAAACAAACAATAAAATGTTTAATATATAAACTAATTCTAATTGACAATAAATTGATGGTCAAAAGACGATTTATGATTTATATCTTAATGAATATTATTATCTAACTACGATCATTACGATTATCTTCAAACAAAAGGGTTCTAGATGGTAATTTAAGACAGCAAAACAGCATTATTTTATATACATAGCATAACGAAATTAGATTTAAATACTGTAAAAATAATGAATATCATTTAAAAAAAAATAATTAGACTATTGATTAAAGTTCTCAGTCGTAAGAATAATGTTATATATATATAAGCAGTTGCAGTTAGCAAAACAAATAGGTAAATAAAGAAACTAAGATAAAGCTTTTCCAATTTAAGGATTGAATACAATTTTTTTTTCGTCTAATGTCATACAGTTCAAAATGGTAAATGGTCTTAGTTTTAGTGGCATTTTATGTCTATATTATGGATGGAGATGGGATGTCCGTTGTATGCTGACCATACTGACCGTCTGCGATCGGTCAGTCTTTCAGTGAGTGGCGCGTGATCCGCATGCTGATTGTGTCAGTCCATCTGGCATAATAAATCCAGCAAAATCCAGTGACTTGCCCGTTGCCCGAGCTAATCTTCCAGAGATCCCGACCGTCTTTATGGGAACAAGAAAACGTAAAAAAAGAAACCATTTAAATGAGCTAGACCACAATGTGTCACCATCGTTGTCCCAACTCCATTCCCCAGGGTATAAATAGAGGAGAACTGCGTAGATGAGCTGCCAGAACTGGAAGTTATTCGAAATAGAAGCAGCATGAGAACACAAGCCTCCCTCTTGACGATCCTCAGTCTGCTGATCATATGCTGTCTGGATTGGAGTAGTGCTCTGTTCTTCAAAAAGTCCTGGAAGTCGGCAAATGGATATGGAGTACGAAACTATGGAAATACTGGCTATGGAAACTATGGTTATGGAAACAACGGCTATGGAAACAACGGCTATGGGAACTATGGTTATGGAAACTATGCTGGAGGCTATGGCTATAATTACCCATCCTATCCAGAATATTCCTCATCCTACTCATACCCATCTTATTCAGGAGGACGAAGGCCTTCTGGAAATAGGCAAGGACGCACCTACTCGGACATAGCGAGGGTCATAAATCCCGCTCCATATATCGGTCCTGGAGGCAGTCGATTCCTGCCTCGCACTCCCTTTTCCGCGCTTTGGGGTTGAAGTTTTCCATATCTAAGATCGTGTTTTCAACAGTATTAACCATTAAAATAAAACCAGCGAAAGTTACAGATTTGATTACTTGAAGCTCTATTAAATCGCTACTAGTGCTACATAACACACGTGTATATGAATCTACGAGCAAGAGATTTATGATCACCGACTCGCATTTACGGAGCAGACGCGTTCAGTGGATCGCTTGGACGTGACTTAAGTTTCAATTTAAATGAAACGAAGGCGCGTCGCCTTTTTAGGGAGAGATGTGTTCATGTGGGGATTGTTCTCCCGGTTATTGGGATAGTGGGGTAAGGTCCCTGACTGGTACTATTTACCAAGGGATTGCTAATTGGAAAAACCTTGAAATATTCTTTACACTGCACAACTGCATCACCAAAATTTCAAGAAAATCGATCCAAAATTTCAAACCAATATTTAAATGCAGATTTTCTGAGCTTATAAACCAATAAGTTAAAAAGCTATGCCTTTTTAAAATCGGATATATGTAAGAAAAATTATGGTTATGAAAAAAATTGGATAGGGATTTTAACCATAAAATTTCTTAAATTTCTTTTTTTTTAGAAATTCAAACCACAATGATTGTGAGTTTTTAAAATGGAATTTCTGCTTAAAATATGGACGCGAGTGGCATTCAAACTAATTCGTGTTATATTATTTCGGTTTACTAAAGTAAAGCCCCTAAATATATTGATAATTTGGGGAATACCTTTGTGTAAATGTTTAGTATGTTAGTCATGCTTTTATAATATTTTTTTGTTAAACCGACAAATTTTCAAGAGTTACATCTATGCATCCAACTTTTTCCGGGTGGTTTATAATAACTTTATAAATCCCCAAACGAATTATTAAAAAAATCTCCATCAATAAGCTGGGAGGCTTATTGATGAATCATCAACTTATTTTAATGGATTTGTTATTATATTAATAGTAAGAATATCCGGAAGAAATAATTTAATTAAGTAATGCCAGAAACTTTTAATCGGCTGTTGAAATTCCTTAACAGAAACACTTGACAGTAAGTATCGGCTGATCTGATAATGACCCAGGGCATCTTCTGACTGAACTCATGGCATACAAGTGTGGTATATATAGCCGTTTTACGAGCCCACCGAAGTACTATACTTACTCGTGATTCAAGCCCAGTGATTCAGATTGAGATGCAGCTGCCCGCCTAGGACTTCCCCTCGTGCAGCGATTGTTTTTGAGGAAGCGAAACCACAAACCAGACCCCATTCAGGAAGGAAGCCTTCTCCCTAAGTCGGTGTCAACTATTCGCACCGAACATGGCAATTGTTTATGCAAGAATTTGCTAATACGGCGCACCTACGTCATTACTTCCAGCCGTCAGAGTCGCTAATTACAATTTAAATACGTATGCGCACTTATGCTGGGAGGCTGAGGCTGAGTCGACTCGGATTGAGCAGTGCCGATAGAGCCAAATCATTCACCACGCAATTAGAGTCAAGATCATATACAGTTGCGGCCAAATTGGTAGTAGTGGGATAATGTAAAGTGCTCAAAAGCTAACCTTTAAGGCACTTTGCTTAGTTAGCAATAAACAAAATTATATAAATAAAACTCTTGATATTTTTGTAAAGTTTTTTTTAGCAGTCTTTTCTATATATTCTATGTGATTTAGTTTGTTTATCCAATACTAGGCTTCATGATAATATAAACAAGATTTTCAATAGTGCGTTTGCTATTCACATTAACTGAGAAACAACTATTATTTTGATGGCAGCTGTATGTGCTTACTCACTTTCGAACGGCGGGTATAACGGAGTGCGGTGTGAATGACTTGTCGCCGGCAGCGTGTCAGTAAATATTGAGAAAAAAACACAAAGTGATCATAAAAAGCTATATCATACAAAGAGACGAGATCTACGTGAGCGGCAACGCAATGCTGCTGGGGTTTCTGTCCGGGCCAAAACCTGATTGATAAGCCAAGCCAGCGGCGCTTGGGAACGGCAAGAACCGATCAGCCGTCGATATCCATATAAATAGGCCGGTCTCGGGCCTGGGTTGCAGTTCAGTTCTCCAAGCCAAGCCATGTCAGTCCAGGGATTCCTGCTCAGCCTCTTGGTTGCCCTGATGCTCCTTCTCCCGGCACCCATTTGTGGATCACCAGCCCGTGGATATTACCAATCTCCAGCACGAGGCGGTCGCAGCTACACCGACATCGCCCGAGTGGTCAATCCCAATCAATACGCCTTCCCCGGATCCCGAACCTATCCTGGGCAACCCTTCTGGCCATCGGGATAATAAACGCATTATAAACACACCGTGTTAAGACATTTACAGGACTCGATTCAGGTTTAGCTAGACAATGAACTGCTACATCTTGTACAGGAAAATATTCAATAGAATTAAGACTAAAATCGGTACTATTAATAGTGCGTTGAAACCGATTCCGATGGAATCTTGTTATTAAATAAATAAATGTATTATTAGAACGTTTTTTAAAACTAAATTGTTTCGTTACTATAACTTTTAGCTTATACAAAAGAGTTAAACCAGCTAAAAATTAGGTAATTGGATTTATTAATTAAAAAAAATAGACTTTTGAAAAAGAAACTTCAGTTCCTTTTCAAGAACAAAGTGGTTCATAGTTGTCCTGACTATAATAATAATTAGGACGGCGTTAATGGATAAAGTGCATTAGCAAGTCACGCCCTTTTTCTGCTGGTTTTAACCATCAAACAAAAGTTAATATCCGTAGACAACATTCAGAATACGAAAAACAGTTCGTTGAAAAGGTTTGCAGATAATACAACTCTCTAAGAAATGGTTAAGCTGGAGTCAACTTCCAATGCCATTTGGTGGATTAAAAATCCCAAGGCAGCTAAAGAACGTAAGGCTAAAGGTCGACGTAAGACATCATTAGGCTCCGCTTTTTGCTTAGATATGGCGGATCTGCTCAAGAATATATCTCTGCAGGGATACAACAAGCTTCTGTCACCGGATCTAACTTTGGGACAAAGGTACGAACATTTATTACCTAATATCACTCATACGCCATGTGTAAAAAAACATGTTATTTAGAATGATTTGGTTGCTGCTTCATATGACCACCGCCATCGCACTAGTGGTGGTGCTCTCGCTTACGTGGGAGCAGTTCGTGGCCCAATACTTTGTGACCAATCTCAAGGATCCACTTTATCCGGTGGAAAATGTTCCATTTCCTGCTGTTTCCATATGCACCAACAATCGTATTTCGCGCCAGGCGGTTATCAAGTATGCTGAAGAGCTGTAAGTATACGCTTTTGTTAAGTTACCAAATTAATAAACAGTATTTCATTTAAACTTATTTTTAATAATATATTGATTGTCCTAACTGGACAGATGATAAATAAATACCAAATAATAAATAAATAAAATACATAAATTACAGCACTAGTCATTAACATATTTCAGTTATGTATCAGAAATTCACTAATCCTATCAGATGGTTTTAAAAATATTATATATTTTTAATATCTGTATTTATGTTAGCTTATATACTTTATTATCATAGATTAAAGGTTTCAAATTTTAATTAAATAAGATATTTTTCAGAATTTGATTATTTTTTTTTAATAACCCACTTGCAGAAGATTAAACAGCCCTGTGATGCGTCCCGTGGAATACTTTTTGGAGCGTTTACGCTTCTTCCGCGAGCTCTACGTCCGTGTGGGTGCAGTGGAGGACACCGATGACTTTGTTATATTTCAAACCTTTCTTGATGTTTTTGGCACCTGGAACAACGAGACCTTCTTCGACACCCGACGCATAATGAGAATGGTAAAGGAACTTCAAAGTACTTAGCCCGATTGATGGAAAAACAGTGCTTTGTTTCTCGCAGTTGACCCCCAGCTGTGAGGGATTCGTGCTGAAGTGCAGCCTGGCCAATGTGGAGATCCCCTGCTTCAGCAGAGACGCCTTTCAGGAGAGCCTCACCATGTACGGTCCCTGTTGCACCTTCAATATGGAGAACAAGTGAGTGGCAGTGCCCAAATCGAACTGTCCTCACTTTACCCAACATTTACCAGATTAAAGAAACGGAACTTCAAGAATCGGCTGGCCAGCTCGGAACTGGGTCTCACGGTTGTGCTCAATGACAGCCACGCGGATTACTTTGCACCCATCCTGAACACCAATGGATACATCGTCCTGGTTCATAACGCTGAGAACTATGCTTCGGTTAGCTCCTCGAATGCCCTGGAAATGTTTCCCGGTCAGGGCGAGGACAGTTTCCTGTCGATCTATGCTCGAGTGGTGGACACGGACGACAGCTTGAAGTCCTTCTCGCCATTTAGTGTAGGTTTTTAAATACGTATTATTGCCCTTCCTCACTTTTAGGGTAAAAGGTTATATTGTAGTTCGTGGTACAATTTTTTAGCTGAGTAATGGGTATGCAATAGTTAGTTAGTATTATTAGACAGTAAGTTTTAAGCTAATCAGCCCACAAGCAGTGTTCTTAAATCGCTTAAATTTTGTGTCTTAAAGCGGCGCTGCTATTTTGACTACGAGGCTCAGAGTCCAAGCAACGAGCAGGTAATGAGGACCTATACGTACGCCTACAGCTTTCCAAACTGCATTACCAGATGCCGAATCCGTAGTATCGTCGCTCTGTGCCGGTGTCTGCCATTTCAAATGCCCCTGCAGCTGGTGGAGAACCTCGATGGCGTGGTGTACTGCACCCTGGGACACGTTTCCTGTCTCAATCAGTACAAGTGTAAGCGAATCCCACTGATCCTACAGAGTTCCGTCCACATAAATCTCATAATCCACAGTCAAGTGGCGCAACGTGCTGACGGAGCGGATCATTATTCCCGGCTTGGAGCGGGAAATAGAGGAGGCCTTGTACTGTCCACAGTGCCTGCCCTCCTGCAGTGATGTGCAGTTCGGGGTTTCGATGAGTTCTCTGCCCATCGACAACTTTTTGGCCACCCTTAAAGTCGATGAGAATAACCAGACGGAATTTAGCTCGAATATTTCCGTGCTGCGGGTTTTCTTTGGCGAGCCACATGCCCAGTACTACATCCGATTGCTGAACAACGCCTGGTTTGAGGTGTTCAGTGGGTCTCGCAAAATATACCTAATCTTTCTTCTATCGCTTATCGTTTACAATCTTCCCACTTTTCAGGTACCATTGGCAACATAATGTCCATCTTCGTGGGCTTCTCCATGGTGGCCATATTCGAGATTCTCTTCTTTCTGACTAAGTACATATATGAGGGCTGCAATCGCATCGTGGAACAGAATGTAATCGACCGGAAGGCCAAGCAATTGGAAACCAATAAGCTGTACATATGTCCATAGAACATTTATATCTGAGAGTCGGGCAAATAAAAGTCAAAATTATTGTTCTGTTAAATCTGTTGTATATGTTTCTTGTGGGTAGAAGTGTTGCCCTTGCTAGTTTCGGGACCAGAAGCCACTTTGGTTTTAACTATGATAAACAAGGAAGGGACTGGACAGTTGAGGGCGGTCAGAGACAATCGCCAATTGCACTTTGGTCGTGTAATGTATGCCACTATTGCCTGTTATTTCTAAATAATTGTTTTCGTATTATTAAACATCAAAGACCGTTTCCTGTAATGTCCCAAAATTGGAGCTGGTAAACTACAATAAACGTTTGTGCGATCCCTTATCCGTGATCAATAATGGCTTAACTGTCCTCATGAGAATTCCAAACACTGTGGAGGGAAAACAGCCGTCGCTTTGTATCAGCAGTGAGTTTGGACACGTCTTCGAGGCCCAGCAGCTGCATTTCCATTGGGGTTCCGAGCTCTTCAAAGGATCCGAGCACAACTTGGATGGGCGTTTCTATGACGGGGAGTTGCACATAGTGCATAAGAATGCCAGTTTCAAAACCAACCAGGAAGCTGCTCTGAATTGCAATGGATTTGCCGTTTTGGCTGTGCTATTGAGGACTCCAGAGGTAGGGAAATGGTTAGCCAATCATGTTCACTCGCTTCGTATTTTCTTTAAAGAATCCGAAAAATCAGTCGCCAGCTATGAACGAGATCTGCAAACAGGTGTCTAAAATATCTGAATTGAATGATAGCCAAGCTCTGGAGGAGAGTATGTCCTTGGAAGATCTAATTGTTGGCGTAGACACCCAAAAATACCTGACCTATCAAGGTTGGTACGGCCAGCTTGTGGCTCCTTTTTAAGTATAATCTTTTAGGTTCCCTTACTACACCGCCTTGTGCTGAAGCCGTCATTTGGTTTGTGTTCCAGACACCGCTCGATGTACCCAAGGAACACGTAAGTATGTAGGCCAAAGAAAACTCGATTTAAATTAAAAACTCAAAGGATTTAACTTCCTATTTTTTTGGGAAGCTTCGCATTTAGTATGCTTATGCGCTTTGCTGAATTTAAGACACATTTTCTTTTTTTGGAATACAAGCGTTTTTGGGTTTTTACTTTGGCTTCAACGGTTGCCTTTGACAACGAGTCGTATGAGTAATATTTACGAAACTTTTTTTTGGCTTAAAATTAAAATAAAAGATTTATATGAAAATTAAGTTCCTATATGCATTTACCAGTGGCAAAACTTCTGGCAGCTGAGGGATTATCGTGGAAAGCGGGTCCTAAACACCTATCGGGTTTTACAAGAGGACCATGAACGACCTGTATATCGAAGTAAGGGCAGTGAAGTCTGCCCATCCAAGTGAAAGTCTAGTGATGTATCAAAAGTCGCCAAATGTATAGCATAATAAATTGTTTAAAGTGCAATGGTTATTTTTTAATGCAAAAGCTTACCTCGAGTGCTTGAATGGAAGCTTTTTTGCCGGCCGACAGCTGATGGCGCCATCAAATCCACCCCCAAGCCCCCAGACATCCGGAAACTGCATTTTCTAGCTGCGTAGCAAATTCAACTGGTGTCGAACGGATGTAATCCGCTTAAACTGGCCACAAATTCGATGAAGCGTTTGACCGAGCGAGTGCATCACGAGGAGATAGAGTCCGAGGAGGTGGTCTGGGTGAAGCGGGAGGATGCCCGCTCCGCCAGCAAGCTGCCCATCGTCTACTCCCGGAAGTATGCGGTGCGCTTCGCTGGCCTTGAACGCCTACATCCCTTCGATGCGGCCAAGGGCAAACACATCGAAAAGGTCTGTTTATTGATGTATTCCTCGCCTGGATTCCATCCTTAGTTCATGCTGCCTTTCGCCCCAGCTCCTGTGTGCCGAACTACAGCTGGATGGCGGCAGCTTCTACGAGCCCAAGGAGCTGAGCAAGGAGCAGCTGCGTCGCATCCACACCAGGGACTACCTGAAGTCGCTGGAGTGGAGCATGAATGTGGCCTGCATTGCGGAGGTGCCGGTGATGGCCTTCGTTCCGAATCGCTATATCCAGCGCTCCTATTTGCGTCCCATGCGCTTCCAGGCGGCGGGCTCCATTTTGGCCGGCAAGCTGGCCCTGGACTTCGGCTGGGCCATCAATCTGGGCGGCGGATTCCATCACTGCTGCTCCTACAGAGGCGGCGGCTTTTGCCCCTACGCCGACATCTCGCTGCTCATCATCCGGCTGTTCGAGCAGGAACCCTTCCGGGTGCGCCGCGTCATGATTGTGGATCTGGACGCCCACCAGGGCAACGGACATGAGCGCGACTTTGGCCACGTGGCAGCCGTGTACATTCTGGACATGTACAATGCGTTCGTCTATCCGAAGGATCATGTGGCCAAGGAGAGCATCCGGTGTGCCGTGGAGCTGCGGAACCATACTGAGGATGCCTTCTATCTGCGGCAGCTAAGGCGCTGCCTGATGCAGTCCCTCGCCGAGTTCCGTCCCGACGTGGTCATCTACAACGCTGGCACCGATGTGCTCAAGGGGGATCCCCTGGGCAATCTGGCCATTTCGCCGGAGGGCGTCATTGAGCGGGATCGGTTGGTGTTCAGCACCTTCCGAGCGTTGGGCATTCCGGTGGTCATGTTGTTGAGCGGGGGCTACTTAAAAGCATCCGCCGGCGTCATTGCCGATTCTATTGTTAATCTGAAGCAAAAGGGATTGCTAAATTTGAGGAATTAAAGTATTTAAGACTTTAGTAACCATTATGGATAGGAAAATGATCACTTCCCGGCATAATTTGAGTATTTTCTTTCCTTTTCATAGAGTTCTTTAAAGTTAAATAATACTAATTATAAGAACTCTTTACTTTTAAATCTATTGAACCTTACCTTGATGAAATCTTCGCTGAAGGAATTGTCAAACCCAGAGAGCTGTGAAAGAAAATGAGTAACCTGATTGCCAAAAGGAATACCTGACAAAAATACATAGACATACAAGACATCGCTTTACACCTTATCAAAATTTATTAAACATATATAATTTAAAGTCGTTATAATAATTATTTGTCTTCTATGAAGTGATGATTTCAGATCATTAAGTTCAGTATCGCAAAAGATGCAGAAGGTATAAATATTTCCATTGTTGTATGATTTATATAGCAGTTTCTCGTCAATATTTGTACAGACGTCTCTTCAAGCTTGGCATTCTCAGAGGTTCAATTACATTTGTTTGTTTATCTCTATGTACAATGCGAAACGGGCCGGACAATTAGAACGAATTTCATACGTAGAAGTATAGATTTTGTCGCAATTGGTTTAATGTCTATATATATGATACAACATAGTCGCTAGAGGCTAATTTACTTGTTTAAAATACAAAAATACATACAAATAAACGTTTGCTTAATGGTTTAAATTAGACGAGTTAGAATATCATTTTTAGTGTCTTTTTGTTAAGTCTGTCATTTGCTTTCAGATCCTATTCAGCTGCCAATCAGCTCCGTCGTCATGTGCTCAGATTTTCTCGAAGATTTCCGCTGACTAACAGGCCGTCGGCAGCGGCAACCTAAAAGGGTTCGCATAAATCAGAGGGTTTTTATCGATCGCTTTACCACTAACTACTTTAAGAACTGTAAGAGTTTGCATGCATGCGGAAATCTGTGGAATGAGCAGTCGCTGTGGCAGTTGTGACATCAACCAAATAATCTAGAAACAATAAATCTCAAATGAATATTACAAGGAAACAAAAAGAGATATAACTAGGCCCTAAAGATGATCTGGAACTGATGAGCAAACTGGCGATGAATAAGGGGATGCATCTGAAGAGACTTACGCGGCATTGCTAGCCGGCAAATCCTCGAAGAGGACTTCCGAACGGGAGCTTATAATGTACACCAGGCAAAAGGAGATGATGAGCACCACTATGCCAACGCTGAGGGTTGTGATCTGGTGCACATTGGACGGACGCAGAAATATGCGCGCACTGAACAGTGACCAGGTCGATTCCGTCCATGTCGAGTACTGGCCGGAACTCCAGTCGTAGCCTATACAAAATGGTTGGATTTTATTAATATTAAGCTAGATTAACTAGAAGGTTTTCAGGCTGACCATCAACAATGAAAGCTGGACTCAGGGCGTGACTGTAGTTTTGCGTGGTAAGGCGACACTCTCCGATGTTGTTAAAGCCTGCGAAAAAGTGCAGCGGCAAGTTGGTGCAGTTTTCTTCGGGAATATCCGGCTGGGGCTGCGACAGGAGATAGCCCAGCAATCTATAGGTATAGCCGGATGACTCTTGAGATCCGCCCAAGACGCTTATATAGCTGGTTAAAAAAGAAGGGACATCAATTGAATCTATCAAACTAAATCAGAAAAAATAATCACCCACCGCATTGGAGGCAAATTGGTTAGTTGACTGCCCGGGTAAGATGAGGCTTTGAAAAGCGGGCAGTCTGCCGACTGCAGGAAACAGTAAAGGAACTCATCCGCCAGCACGGGATTCGCCACCTTGGTGCCCGTGTACTCCTTTCCAGTAAGGGTCTGATAGAGAGTCATGGCCAAAATAGAGGAAACGTTGCGTACTTTCATTTGGACCGAATCTGCCCTCAAGTTCTTGAAGTCGTTTACTTCCGCCAGTTGGGTGAAGTCCTTGCTGGTGTTGGCATAGTTAAAGTCCACATTATCTATGTCATCATAAATGGAGTGGTAGTACTTGTTTGTAGGTCGAGCGTTAAGAATCAAAGCCGAAAAATTTCGATCGCGTCGCAAAAATGATTGCGCGGATGTTGGAGGTAGGTGAGCGCTCATCTCGGACTGGATGTCTAGGTTGAAACCGTAGCGGGGTGACTTGGCATAGTGGTTCAACTGCTCTAGAATTTGTTTGGCCCGAGGTGTTCCAGTCAGCGCATGCAGCTTAATGTTTGCTATGTCATCTAGTGTGCCAATGTCGAGCATAAACTCTATATTGTCAAAGGCGATTGGAGGGCTCTCAACGGACTTGGGAGGGAAGTCTAGGTGCTCCATATCGTAGACAAATCTCTGCGATCCAATGTAGTCGTATGATTCGCCATTAAAAGTCACAAAAAGAACATTGCGCAGTGGGTCGGGCAGCGAGCTTTGCGCCGGCAGCAGCTGTCGTAGAAGATATGCCACCTGTGTGAAAACAGCAAATCCCAACAGGGAGTCCATGGCTCCAAGACCTTAAAATTGAGAAAACAACCACATTATAATCGAAATAACTAGGTCCTGAAAGAACTTTGACACAATAAGATGCTTTTAATTCGCTTTATTAAGCAACACTTACCAACGCCGTCGAACATGCTGGCGGTGTCCAGGCGACAAGAGACCAGTATGAACTTTTCGTTCGTATGGACTGTTTCAAGCCCATCCTCGACAGCTGGTTTTCTGGGGTACAAAGTGGCGTACACATTGCGTCCCTCGAGCGGATCGCAGTACTTGCTGCCGCCCAGGTTGTTGATAAAGTTGGTGCGCCGCATACAGACCTCGGTGTTTACGGCGGCCGACATAAAGGCCTTAACCTCGACGGCACACAAACTTCGCAGGGCGTGCGTCTCGTAGTTGTAGTTGTTAAACTTGTGAAAGCACTTCTCGAGCTTATCCACTTGATCCAGATCGGCAATGTAGTATATGGGAAAGGGAAAGTCCTCGTGCAGCAGCCCGGTGCCCCAGGGATTCCAGTTCTTTGCCGAATTGCTGGCATCGCAGGTCTCGCTGCTGCTGTTTAGACCACTGTACTGATTGGGGCAGTTGAGCTCGTGCGAGAACTGTTTCATCTGGGTAGTCTTGTTGATGAGCAACACCACGGAGATGTTTTTTGGCCCGGCCTCCTTCAGGCGCATCAGGTTGCTGCGTGTGAACAGGTGCGGTGGTATCATAGGGGCATATGGGGGTGATGGAGCACTGGTCAGTAGAAACTCCAGGTCGGCTTCCACGTTTATCAGATGAAGCACGCCCACGGAACCGGAATAGGTGGCTACGGGGGAGGAGGTTTCTGTTATAAAAGAAATTTTTCTTAGCTGATCTTAAGATACTCACAGGAGCAGCCGGTCTGATGCGTGCCATTCAGTCGGCGAAAGCAGCTGGCTCCCCCAATGGGCTCGTACATCTTATCTCGCGTTCGTTCGCCCAGAGCTGTGGACAACAAAGAAAGGGCGGTTTAGATGACTCAGGCGAATATGTGGGCCATCTAGAAGAGTGGGCGTGGGAGTTCCGGCTAGTCTCAGTCGTCGCCGGACGTCTGGCTTTCTTTTTTTTTTGTTGCGATCCTTACCCACAAAAGCTCCATGCAGCAGGATTAGCAGCCATATTGCAGCCGCATTCAGGCGATTTTCCATCGAAGGGTCTTTGCTAGCCGTGTCGCTGTATATCCCTCACTATCCCACGAAATCGCCAAAAGAAGTTGTTAGCAATGTTCCCTAAAACAAAAACATTTTATGCAGAGGTGGACAGACATTAGAGGTGGGGAAAGATAGATGTCATCGATACTTTTAAAGCATCGGTAATACCGATGTTTAACTGCGCGTTATCGATGTTTTACCATCTCTAACGATTATTGTCGAGCGAAACACTGCTTAACAAGCAGTGCTTGCTGTAAGGTTCAAAAGTAAATTTTTACCGACATGGATTTTCGTTATTACAATTTTTATAAGATCTGTACGGTTCAAAAGTACATTTTAACGAATTATATTTACGAATTTAATATAATCTTTTGCTTATGGATGGCGTGTTAATCGTTTGAAATAATTGCCAATTTTGATATACTTTTGAGCAAAAAAGTTGTCGATGATAGTTTTGTTGGCAAAATAGGAACAGATTGGAAGATATTGATTAACTGACTTAACATGTAATTGCAGGCAGTCCCCTAAATCCAAATGAGCGAATGTTTTCAACCTGTTATTTCAGTATACTTATTATTTACCTAAACATGGTTATTGCTATAAAACATGTAAAAACTTAGCATCTAGGGGTCTCAAAACAGCGTGTCCTCGGCGCGTATGTACTCTCCGATGTCCGACTGGTGGAAGCAGACGGTGGTCATGGGGTCGGCGGTCTTGCAATCGGTTGTGGAACGGGCCAGGACTCCGAATCCGAGGGGCAGGTCGTTCATGGAGTAGACCACCACACCCTGATACTGTCCGGCGTTCTCGGTAATGCGACCCAGTCCGGTTTTGGGGATGTGGTTGCCGTAAAGGAACTGCTGCTCGAAGGAGGGCTTCACCCACACTTTGTACTGGGCGTAGGGAGCCAAATAGTAGAGGGCCGTGATGTGGAACTTCAGTTTGTTGGTCTTGGAGAACTTGCCGAAGCAGGTGCCCACGCACACCAGCTGCTTGAAGCCAAAGCACTCGCTCAGCTTCAGGATCCTCTCGGAGACATAGTAAACCCGATCCCGGTGCTCCCGAAAGCAGTAGGTTCCATCTGGACGGTCGATCAATTGCTTTACATTCGTGCCAATGCTGAAAACACCCTTATTAGCTCGATTTTGATAATAATCTCCGGTTACCCACTATTTTGACAGGTGCTCAAACAGAATCTTGGCACGTTCGTCAGTCAGGCGTTTCATTTTAAGTTAATTAAAGCCGAAATCAGGGGAAAACAAAATGTAAACTGACTACACGTGAGAAGTGTTCCAGTGTTGTGTAATGTATAGAATTAGGGAATCCTATAACACTGAAAACATCGCTTAAGTCTTATCGATAGTTGGGAAGTGCTGTGTAGGGACAATAACAGTGCTGTAAGGTTTCAAAACATTTAAATTTAAATAGGTATAGTCCGTTAATATTATAAATTGTATTTCAAGAACAGGCTTAGATAAAAATAAATGAAAAGCTAATTCTAATATTAATTGTGCGCTATTTATTCATTATTATAATAAAATTGCATATTTGTGGAGCTCAACAAAAATTAAATTAAAAAAAATTTAAACAACAAAAACTTTTTTTCAAGTTTATATAAGTAGAACTGAAAGCGGTTTTTAATATTAATTATCCGTTATAAATAGATTGGATAACATTTTGATTTATAAAAAAAAATTTAATTTTTACCCCCCAAATTACAAATCACCAAATAAATAAAACTTTCCATCCTCTTTGTATCATTATAATTCAGTAATTAAGAAAAATACTTATTTGCTGGGCTTACAGAACCTAATAGGGTTTGTGCTTTGTATAATACTACACACTTCTATCTATTTACAATACCATAAATAACTAAAGCAAAAACTTAGACTAATCTTGTTGTATCACGTGTTGAGGCGGAGGAGTTCAGACCGTCTCCAGGCGTTTCTGTACGTAGTTCCGCTCCTTCAGCAGCTCGTCCAACTGCTGTTCCTGGTAGTAGACCACGAACTGAGCCGCCGACACCTGCTCGAAAATGGAGCAGATGCTCGGCTTGAGGTTGTAGAAGAAGAGCAGCTGTCCCCTCTGGTTAAAGTCACTGATCAGCGAGTCTATAACCGTGGCCGTTGTGAAGTCAGCCCCATAGACATGCGAGGCATCTATGACCACTGGGACGTTTTGTCGCATGGACTGCTTGTTCACCAGGTTCCTCACATAATCCACGGAGGGAAAGATGAGGCATCGATCGGGGGTGATCATGGAGTATTCCACACCCGACTGTGTGGTAAGCAGCTCAGTTGTCAGCTTGGGACGCGCTGCATGGTAGAGAATGAAGATCACATTGAGTCCAACTCCAATGAGAATGCCCCATTCCAGGGGTAAAACAAGACAGGCCAGAAAAGTTCCAACTCCAGGCACCAAATCGCTCTCTGAAATATATTATTAAGTTGAAGTTAGTTATCAGTCTTCATTTCTGTCTGTTTGACCCACTCACTTTTCGATCTCCACATAGGCTTGACGACCTTAACTTCGACCATGAACACCACTGCAGATATAATGATGGCTGCGAGGGTTGGTCGTGGAATAAAGTAGAAGTAGGGGGTGAGAAAGAGCAGGGCAATCATCACCAGACCACCCGAATAGATGTTGCTAAGGGGCGTTCGAACTCCACTGGCATTATTGACTGCTCCACGGCTAAGGGCTCCAGTGCCCGGAAAGCCCTGGACAAAGGAGTTGAAGATGTTGGCCGTTCCGATGGCAATCAGCTCCTGGGAGGCATCCACCGACTTGCCATTGGCTAAAAAGATAGTTCTTTAGTAAAGATCAAAGTGTGTACTTATAAAAATATTTGAAATAGTTTAAATTGCGCAATTTTGAAGGTAAGAAAAAAATATTGTCCCTTAAGTTACTTTTTGCGTTTTACCTTTAAAATTGGCAACAAGTTTTCTGAGTTCTGAAAACTTATTTCGTTTTCAAAGGCAATTTACACTACAAAAAACAAAAAAATCTACCTTAATTAAAAAAAAATTGTCAATTTTTTTTGGACCATTTTTCTCAACTGCCCGTGGATCCGTGTTTGCGGCAATTGCCGTAGTTTAAGGTCAATTTCGGGCGAATATTTTAATGAGTGTGAATTAGCTAAATAAATTACTCACCGAAGGCCTTGCATATGGCTATGTTTTCCATGAGCGAGATGAGGGGAATCACCAGCAGGCCAGAGCCCATGCTGTGTACCATCTCCACGAAACTCTGGGCCACTCCATTGCTCGTCTCATTGGCGCTCAGCGAGGTGGGTGGCAACTGGATACTGGGCAGTCCGGGTGGAATGTCGCCCACCACCCGGAAAGGAGCTCCTCCGTGCTCCTCGCTGTGCAACAGGTAGCCCATGAGGCAGCAGACCACCACCAGGATGGCATTGCGAGCGGTGCCCACAATCCAGAGGATCTTGTTCACGGCACGCTGGAAAGGTGAGCACTCCTCCGGGTCCGCTGGTCCAATTCGGCAGGACGATAGACTGCGCATGAGCAGCAGGACCACTATGCAGGTGAGTCCCAGCACCGTGTCACCCGCCCGCGTGTCCCCGATGTTGTGGAACACCTGCGTCCAGATCTCCACGAAGGTGTTGCCCTTGGCAGTGATGCCCAGCACACTCTGGATCTGCGAGGTGAGGATGATCAACGAGACGGCGGAGGTGAAGCCGGAGGACACGGGACCGGAGACAAAGTCAATGAGGAATCCTAGGCCAAAAAGGCCCATCAGCAGCTCCACAATTCCGCTGAGCAGGCACAGGAGCACCGATTTCTGCCACGACCCCTTGGCCGCCTGGTAGGTGAGCAGGGCCACAATCGCCGAGGGACCCATAGGCACGTCCTTGCAGCTGCCCAGGAAAATGTACACGAAGCAGCCCACAAAGGAGGCATATAAGCCATACTGAAATAAAGGAAATGAAGATATTAATTAAAATTTTATTAAAATATCTCATATACAACTTTTAAAAATAACAAACAAAAAAACCAACTATCAGCAAAATGAGTCTTTGTTAAAATACTTCGTCTCATAAAATCACCGAAAAAAAACGAATTATACAAATTATAATATACTTCTACTAAAATAAATTATTTGAAATCCAACTTAAAAATAAATTGAAGTATGAGAAATATTTTTATATGTTTGCAGATTGAAAGACTTGGAAAAAAAGGAATATAATATGAAGTTTTTATAGAACTAATAATAATAAACAAAAATTAAAATTAAATTAGTTTTTAAATAATATATGTTGAACAAAATTTGGCCAACGAGTAAACAATTAACTTCAAACTAAGTTTGTAGATTAGATTTACTAGTAAACTACAAATTATATGAGCCATACTGACACAAGGTGATAATCAAGATGATATAAATAAATTTCTAATATGAATTTTAACAAATTAATAAACTTAATTAAAATGCTAGTTTCGGAAACAGTTTGCATATTTCAAAAATTACAATGGCACAGTTGTAAAGGAATTATCAAAAACATTAAGTTTTTATAGCAATGAAATTTATTTTGACAAACCAAAAATTAAAAATGTTTTTATAGATCTTATTTTAGCCTCCTTATACTTACGGCTACGGGTAGTCCGGCAATGCCCGCGTAGGCCAATGCCTGCGGAATCACGGTGAGGCCCACTGTGATGCCCGCCACTAAGTCGCCCACTGCATCTTGACTGTTGTATTTGGGGAGCCATCCAAAGATGGGCAATCTTTTATGCAGTGTCTTGCGGTTGAAGGTGCGCCGTTTGCAGTCCTGCAGCCAACTTCTGGTGCAGTCCAGTGTGCTCAGCGGGGGTTTTACCTTCTTGCCGTCCTCGGTTACTGAAAAATGTGAGAATGAGAGTGGGGCAGTTGGTCAGATATGGCGGAAATCAAAAGAATTAAATTGCTAAAATGCCTACGATATCAGTACGGATTCATAATCACGTATAAGGCAGCAGACCATGGTCGATCAGCTTCTGCTCTTTCCCACATTATTTCTGTTTGCTTTCCAGGTATTGTAATTGCTTAAGTTTTTTTATTCTGATCTACGTGCATTTCATTACCAAGGCCAACAGTTTAACCGTTGAGAAAACGTTGAATACAATTGCATTTATCTCCCAGAGGGGAAACGAGGCGTATACTTGATGCCCCGCTTTTTGCTTGCCAGAAAAATTCGCTGAATTCCAGTATTTTAATTGCAGCTAACAAGGAACTAATTATGAAATTAAATTGTTTGTTCTATCCTACGTTTTTTTTTAAATGAAGTAGCTCAAATCGTAATATTGCATTCCGTGATTGTGACAAACCATTTATAAACAAAGAACAATTACTATAATTTGATTTTACAATTCTCAAATCACTAGTTAATAGTCAACGTTGTTAAAACTATTCCAGCTAATTTGTCAAAAAATAATAAATCAATTTTATTTGATAGACCATTAAATTACTAAAATAAATAACCATTATCATTCCATTTGTTAATCTGTTAAAATTTTCATTTTCTATTCCATTATAGTGTTCTGTCATGTGACTTTTTAAATACATTTTAGCGGATATGAACTTCACCTATTAAATAGCTTTTAATGATTTTCCTACACAATAAATTCATGTGTTTTTAGTTGTTAGTTTTATGTTCAAAAATAATGACTACTTTTAAGTGAAATAAAATGTATCAAAAAGTAGTAGCTCACAGATAAACTCCTTGGATCCCTGGAATCCCACGCTGTTGCTACTCCCATTGGTAGTGGGTTCCGTGAGGTTGGTGCTGATGCTGATCGTTGAGCACTTGAAGCCGTCGTTGAAGTAAACGTGGTCCGAGGCCGGGTTCGCCTTCATTTTCGGTCCGGGGTGGTGTCAACAAATCAAAACAAACACACTGCGTACGAAGTACAAGTTAAAGCTATGGCCGCCAACAAAAAAAGCCGGCGGATGGCACCAAATGACACTAGATCTAATATATAATGGCACTTTATATTATACGGATTTCTAGATATTTATCCGCACTAAAAAGTATCTGAAAGATGCTCGTTGTTGTGTGAACGGTCGGTTCTGGTCGCTTGGCTCTTCACACGGCAGCGTTTCGAACGAAACTGATTTGTACTCGATGCGAACCTTGTCTTTTATAAAAATCAAAACTTTGTTGTCGTTTCACTGCTATTGTTATTGTTCTCGTCGTCTGCGTAGTGTTTGTTAACTATTTTCGAGTCGGGTCTCAGATTCGGGTCTCCAATGTGGCTTATTATTGTTTTTCCCTTTTTGGGAACCGGGATGATCACCTGTGAAACTGATAATCTGACGAAGGGAAATGGAGAAAAACCGAGGGTCCAACCGAAAAGTGAGGTTCCCACAGCGTGTTTCGTGTTTCGCTCTTTCGAGCACTTACTACCCAGGTCTCCAGTTTCGTATTTTTTTGCCCTAGTTGCTCATTGAGTAGCTGAATTAAAGGAAGTTGTAAATTCTTTTCGCATTAGTCCACAATTATTTGCTTGGCTCGGCGTTTTAAGGGATCATTCGGTCAACACGTGAACTGTTCCCACTAATTGTTTATTATTACTTCTCCCTGATGTTTCGGAGTGAGTGGAATGGAAAGTTACTCAGATTTCGGGAACATTAATATTTGGGACTTTTTTAAGGGGAAAATTTTCCGTTCATTGCAGCAGCAGGTAGATATCGTTTCCTTTGTTTTCAAGCAGTCTCTAGTCGAGCTCACAAAGAAGTCAGGTATGAAGATCTGACCCAAACCAGATTCGACCGAACCACTCTTTTGGTTATGCATTTAGAAACCCACACTGACAAGTAGTTTTGGTTGCCATCCTCCTCCTCATTACTTAAATGCACTTCAGTTTTATAAATAAAATCGTAAGTACAATTAATGAGGTAATGAGCACTTGACACAGCTAATTGCATTAACTTGAATGCGCTGACTTGTATTAATATCCCAGTTTTGATAATCATTAATTTAAAATTGCCAAATTGGTTTTGTTTTTATTTAAGGAAATAAATGTATCAGCCTAAGTTATATACTTTTCCTTATCCACAGTCCTAATAAAACTAATAATCAACGGAAATCCAAGCCTAGCAAATAGCTGTTGCAAGTATTCTGAATATTTATAAATATGATCTTGACACTATATAAACACAGAGCCTAAGAGGCAAACAAAAGCCGATACCAAAAAATGTCATGGGTAAATAAATATTTAAATGCACGGCTTAGTGACAGCTTGGGGTCGAATTGGTTTTCTATGGAAATCGGAGACATAATTTGTGCGTTACCTCTGTGAAATATCATTTTGTAAATGCTTGAAATGCATTCAGATAAAATGCGAGGAACATTTTTGGTTTCAGATTGAAACTTTCTATACTCCAGAGTCAGTCCTAAAGGCCTTAACGTTATGGATAGATAAAATGGATAATGTACGGCATTTGTTGAGACATTGCACTTGGAATTCAGATACAAATATCGAAATTTAAACAAATACTCCAAAAAGCTTCCTAGACAGCTGATGCTGTGACAAATGGAATTATTTAAATTAATTGAAACGGGCTGTATGTGATAAAAGGCCATAAATATCACTGTCTTTATAGCCCGGCCAAGTTCAAAAACGGAGAAGCAAGCGGTTATATTTTCGACAGCCACTGTTTTAATGGGGTTTATAAGGCTATTATATATTTAAAAACGGCAAATAGGTTGTTCATAAATGCGTTGTATATTCTTAATGATATGAGTGAGCACTCAGAAACTTACTCAGTAAAATCTCAGATAATTGTTTATAAAAATAAAATTGATTACATAAAACACTATTGTTTTGCAAAGAATTTTTAAGAATTTAAATGAGTATTGACTTGTTTCGAAATGCGTTTTATATTTTTAATGATACAATCAAGCAGTCAGATAATTTTTATAAAAATAACAATTAAGAAGAATTTAAATATCTACTAAGTATTTTCCAAGTCGACACTAAATGTTTTTTTTCTCTTACACGTTTTCAAACCACTTTATGTTTTGAGCTTTTTTTGCTGACTTTTTTGTTGTGCATTTTGTTTCCTAAACACAGTCATTGGACTTGATATTATCAGTCAGGTGGCAAAATAGCATATTATTTTGTTAAGCAGATACGTCGTCATGATGCCGGTAACTGGTTTGATTCAGACCTCAATGATTTGTAAGACTGTGATCTTGGGGGGGAAATCTCCTTTTCCTTCTCCAGCTGCTGAAATTTCAGCTAATTTTGGATGATGTCAAACGAGCCGGTGCTGCGGTAACGAAAGTCTTCTATATATATACACTTCGAAGGCATTCCCCTTTGCTTTTGGTTTATTTTTAACTATTTAAGCACACACATTTGAAAAGTAAGCGAAATGTGGGCGTGTAAGTCAATTGGCTGTGAGATTTGTGCTAATTGCCATCAAATTAAAACTTCCTTAACAAAATAATTGTATTTAATTAAAGTTGGCTCATACGCACTTAAATATTACACATATTTTGCCCCACGTGTACATGTGCGCGAACTTTGCCACCCATCAGGTGTGTGACCTTTGGCCTCCTGCGAGTGGGTTTCGAAAAACAAATATTTAGAAACAGTGTTTGGCGTTCCTAAATTCTGATCAGCTCACAATCCAGATAATAAAGCCCTCCTCCAAACAGGAAGCACAAATGTTCAATTATTTGTTCAATTACATTTGCTGTTTTCGTTTTCGTTTTTGCTGTTCTCTCTTTTTAGCGGTTTGTTTTTTCACTCCACTCAAATTACAGGGCCAATTGCAAAATATATTTCGCATGACTGCCAAATCCCCGTCGATAAAGGGCGTAACGAACAACACTGGGCGTGGTCGATCACCGTACAATCACCACCAATTCGTACAACGAACTGTCGCCCATTTCAATTAAATGCGTTTGGTTTGTTTTGGTTTAGACTGTTTGGATTGGACTGTTTGTGGCTCTATTCGTAGCTCTATTATTACCAAAAGCTGTATTTAGCACGGTACAAGGAGGATTTTGCAGCTTATCGTATGAAAATTACGTATACAACATGTTGCTCCATTTGCAGAGACATTTGTTTTGGTTTAGATAGCTCACAAACATCATGGGGAAATTATTCGCCCTGATTTGTTGACTACCTATAATTCGATGGCATGCGAATTGGATAATTGTAAATAAATTGGTTATATACACTACCCATGATCAGAATTCTGTGTGCAGTTTATTTACTATGAACTTTAAAACTTAAACAAACTAATTCAACTGAAGTAACTGAAACTACATGCTGCAAATCACAATTATGATTTCGTCGTTAGTTCATTATTACTTGATTTAAGGAGTGATTAATTGCATTGTAAATAGAAATAAATTTTAAATCTTATTAAACGGGTTTTATAATCTATATAAGACGTCGATTAGACTTGGTCTATCCATTCGTTTTCAAATTTAATGGTCCCAAGGGGGAGAATTGCTACCGGCTTTTGTTTGTTTTGAATATTTATGACTCGGTTGTTTATATTTGATGGCACGCGGTTTTTGATAAGTTGGCGATTTGTATGCAAAACGCGTATCCCCCACGATTACGCATCAATAAAAAGAAAAGAAGCGGAATCTTATCTATCCATCTTAATATTTTTAAACCCTAAGCTTCATTCAGTTTTCTATATCTTTTGTCTTAGATATGCAAGCGAAGCTTAAGCCTGAGGTGATTAAAACCGAACTAAACCAGTTCAAGCCGCAATCCATGAGAATTTGAGCATAAGACAGCTTTTCAGCATTTTTCGGAAAGAATCAGAATTAATAAAAGACAGACACCTGATGCCTGTTAAAATTAAATTGAAATTTTAACTTGAAATATACGAAATACTTTTTATAATTTTTATCATTTATTAGACGAGTGAAGAACGTGGAATTGATTCATTTTAGGCTTTTAAAAGGTACAGTAGGCTACTAAACACTTAAAAAAAGGCTAGACTGGAATTGCGAATGCATGATTGGGCTAGTTAACGACCCAATTTAAGAAATCTCCGTTTTGAACACGTTCTCGCGTTTAAGTCACGTAACTTATTGATGAATTTCCACTGTCACATTCTTATGTCTTGGCCTTAGAACAATTTCCAAGTTACAATCTCTGGAATGCATTATTAGGGCAGCTAAACTGTGAGCTTACATTAAGTAAAAACTAAGTTTATAGGGCTTAACAAAATTAGAAATGCTATCATAACAAACCCAATGATTCATTTAATTGGCACTTCATTGAGGATATTATAAAATTAGCAACTCTTTTGGGCAGCCAATAATGCCAATTAGCATATGTCGTTGGCTTTGAGGGAGTCATAAACAAATTAGTAATCGTTCGATGTTAAATTTTAATCGACCGTTTAAATTGCGTCAATGGGTGGCCAAAAGAAGACGCTAAATATCACAGACAACTGAGCAACTTTCGCAATGGGAATTTTCACTGCCAAATCTTTTTGTTGGCCCTAAAAGTCAGTGTCACTATAACTCTGTGGCACAGTAGTATCTGATGTCAGAGGAGAAAAATGTGGATGGGCTTACCTCTGGCGGTTGACGATTGACGGTTGAAAGGGGGCGCAAATAGCCCAATTACAAATGGAATGCGTTTTTTGTCTCTGCTCTATAGAATTTGGCTCAAACGATTTGTGGCCACCGGAAATGTGATTTTGCTGGCTTTGACTTTGGCGCGCGTCGCACACCTCAAATTTAATTTTGTCCCCTTCAGTTCTTCATTGTTAGCGTTTGCGTGCGTTCTAATAATAATAGTTTAATTTGCAATTCAATAAATATTTATATGGCACTAGTTTCAGAGTTTTTGGCGAATGCCAAAATTTGCATGCAAATCACAGCAGAAATGCACCCATAAAAATGGCGAGTTAAAGTTTTATTCGCCCACACGAAATGTATATATCTTGGATTTTTCACGACGAAATATCAATCTTGCGGATCGCACAGCCGAATCGCTTAGATAAAAAGCCGTTACTGTTGTTTCAGTATTGTATCTTCAAATGGAACTGTCGTCGGTTTTCAAAAGCCCTCGAAAGTTGTCACCTCTCGCCAACCGATCGTGTAATAGTGCTTTTGTTTGTTTTTCGGATCAAAGCCGAGACTCGAGCTTTGATCGGTGAGCTTTTGCACGTCGCTTTGCCCCATTTCTCTCCTCTCTCTTTCTTTCTCTTTCTCTTTTTCTCTCTTTCTCTAGGTGTGAGAAATTTGAAAGTAGCGAAAGGCGTTGGCATTACAAAATACCCAACTTGTTTACATATTGGTAACTTTGCGCTGCATTAAATCTACACCAATCAATTAGTGATCAATGCCGAGCATTTAATCGATTAAGGTTAGATAACTGATCGTAGATTGGAGTTAAATGCAATTCATAGTTGGTAGTTGCAAAAAACTATAAATAATTTCTCCTTGGCAGTTGACATAGATATCATATCCGCATTATGCATTTGTAGGCCGCTAAAAACACACTTTATTTTGGGAAGAGTTGTAAAAGGTGACGCTGATAAGAAATTTTGTACTAAATTCAAATATTTTCCCTTTCATTTTTATCCGTTGCGGTTTTTAGATATTCTAAATACGAATCTGTTTAAATTTTTTCTAATTTTGTTTATGAGTTTTCTCGGAATTGCTTTAATATCTAAAAATTTTATTTATTCCTTAATCATATATAAATTAAAAAAAGTGCGCTTGAATCAAATACTAACCATTTAAAATCTAATATTTACCTTGATGATCCTGTAATTTAATAGGCATTATATTTAAGATTACGATTAAAATAAATATAATATATAACATTTTGAATTAATTAATCGACGTCAAAAAAATTAACTAAGCCATTATTTACTCATTAAATTATTTAAAAAAAAAATGATTCGCTCTTTGAGCAAGCAGCAAACAGCTTAATTCTAAAAATGACAGACAAAAGGCATTTAGTTGTCCTCAGTTAATCGATACAATACAATGTACGCAATTTGGATTCGCTTAGTGATGATTTTGACTGTTTGGAAATTGGTCAGTAAATTAATAAATTTTCAATCTCAAGTTTAAAACAATATTTTTAAAGATTTGTGCTCGAATCGAGTTTACCAACTTTAAGTGTGACTCTTTGGATAAGGACTTTTGCGAATTTGAATATTGCACCATAAAGGCAATTAATCGGACCTATAAGTATGTTTCGACAAAAATCCGTCTCTACCAAGTTCCCATTACCGAAATAAAGGTTTGTAGTTTAAGATATATTTATATTTGGCCGCATAGTGAAATCAAATGTTAAATTTTAAGGTGAAAGTTGGACTGTACAAGCGGTTTAATGGATATCGGCCCTTTTTGTACAATATAACCGTGGATGCGTGTCAATTTTTGAAAAACAAGAAGTCCAATCCAGTGACTAATTACTTTTACGAATTCATTAAGAGCACATCCAACATGAATCACACCTGTCCCTACGATGTGTGTTACGATTTTTTTTTGCTAATCTTAACATGACTTCTATAGATTGTTTTCTTTTTAGCACGATCTTGTTGTGGATAGGGTTTCCACGGAGTTTGTAAATCACCGATTCACGAATATTCTACCTTTTCCTGAAGGGGATTACATGGTTGAGATGCACTGGATAGCCTATGACATAACCCGCGCAGTGGTTAAGGTGTATTTGACTCTCTCCTAGAATTTTGTATTTATAACTTAATGAAATAAATGGACCCATTTTCCATATATGACTGCCTCATTTAATTGACGACCAATCAGAAAATAAAACACCGATATTTTAGCTAGACTCAACAGTCTATAAACACATTTGTCGTAGTTTTCACAATAACTGTGGCTTAACTTAAATGTATGCCTTATTTAATCTTTAACATACACAATTTGAAGAACTATTTGAAATTTGTATAAGATAAATATATAACTAAAAATATCGATTAAAAAATTAAAATAAGAGCACTCATTATCTGCATCACCTAACTGTAACCAAATCACAATTAAATCGGCTGGGGAATATATAATATTTAAACTAAAGTTAGCAAATATATGAGAAAAACAGCTTTAGTTTCATTTAGGATCTCGATGAATCGAAATGTATTCAAAAAAGCATTTTTGGTTTCGCCTTCTATTGACTTTTGCTGTCATAAGCCAGGTCAGTTGGCAACCAAAGATTCAAAAACCTATTTAAAAGTTCACAAAATATTATAGACAGGTGCTCGGATCAAGTTTACAAACTTTAAGTGCACATCTATGGCTAAAAGTGTGGCCGATTTTGAATATTGCATTCTCAAATCCAATAGCCAAACGGAATACGTTTCGCTTAAGTTAAAAGTTTTTAATTTTCCCATCAAGTCTTTCAAGGTTTGTTGTGTAATGTAATGAATTACATTTCATAATATCAAATATTTCAGGTTTACTTTGGATTGTACCAACTGGTCAATGGGTACAGTCCGTTTCTATACAACATAACCGTAGATGGTTGCAAATTTTTCCACAGCCAGAAAAGCAATCCGGTCACTAAATACTTCTATGACCTCATCAAGCATGTCAGCAACTTGAATCATTCCTGTCCCTATAATGTAAGTCATAAAATGGTTTTCGAAATCATCTCATTGCCTTTCTTATTCCTTTTTAGCATGACTTTATTGTGCATAAGTTCTCATCTGAGATGGTTAATGGTCGACTTCCGAAAAATCTTCCCTTTCCGGAAGGGATTTACCTGTTTGATGCGCATTGGATCGCCCATAATGAATATCGTGCAATAACCAAGTTATATATGTACATTTCCAAATCCTGAAATAAAATATAAAATTGTAATACACTAAAAAATGTTAATATCTTGATAGGTGATACTTTCCTGCTTTCTAAACAATTAAAGCCATTGTTTTTTAGTTTTATAAGGTTTTTATTAAATAGTACGATAGATAACAGCTACGAAGAAAACGGTTTTAATGGGAAAGTTCTTAATTGGCCCTGCAACTTTGAGATGAAATCGATGCTGCAGCAGCCTCAAACATTTTATTCATATATAGTATGAATAGATTTTCTTGTACGAGTATTAATTAATATTCTTGATTGTGGGCTGTGAGCTCGTAAAGCTATTTATCTTGAATACATACAAAAATTAAAATGTTTCACATTTGTAATTGCGATGTAAGCGATCTGAATTCACAGTGCTGCCGAAAAGTTGCCTATCTGTGGATAATTTGTTTGGTTTTTCTGGTTATTCTTGGACACACGTACACACATATAAAATTACAATAAAATGGGGTGCCAAACATTTCCTCTAAAGTTACTTCTGGTTGACTATTGTAAGGAGTACTGACTAAGGTCGATAGGGGATCTATATAGAAAACATTTATCAGATAATATAGTTAATATGTATATTGTATATAACGCAACTTGTAGTGAGAAGCGAATAAATTTGACGGTGGTACATATGAAACTTATACAATAGAACGACCTTTAGGCTAATGGCGACTGAACGATATTCATCTTTATCTAGCTTTCTTAGTTTTCTCTTTTTTGATTTTTTTATTTTTTATATTTGAAGTGTACATTTTGAGTTCATATGTGAGGGGGATGAGGGGGCGATGGCTTTTTGTTTCTGTTGGTTTCACTGAGGCACATTTGATGGATCACTAGGGGAGACAAACGCCAAACTACGACTTCCATGAGCTCCTTAGGTCGCCTTCTAGAAATGCTTTCGCATGTGGGCGGATACCAAAAAGGGCGCCAGAAGCGAACAGATCGAGACCAAGAAGCTGACCAGGCCTTGCAAGTTGGCTGCAAGTTAAAGAAAACTGGTTAAAACTTTTGAGGGTTGAAAAAAAAAACAAATAAATTGATTTGTAAACCAAAATACAGGAAACAAATTTGTATTTATTTGTAACGCATGTACATTGCTAAACTATTAATGGTAAATGCCGTTAGAGGAGGAAAAAATGAGGAAATAAATAAAAATAAAATCAAACGGTGGTTTGAAATGCTTGTATTTATTTGTGAAACAAAACTTAAAGAGTATAAATTAAATGAGTAAAGCTGTTTTTTAAGTAAGAAAGTTTGAAGTAAATCCAAAAAGGTAATGGGATGACTCAAAGCAGGAGCGATTATGATTATATAAATAACTATTTACCGCCACTGCAGATGTCGTGTAGGATGTCCTCCACATATCCGTTGTCATTATCGCACAGGCACAGTTTGGTCTTGCTAGACATGAACTTGGCCACTCCGATGGTGCGGTTGCTATTCTCGAGCTGGCACACCATTCCGTCCTCGCAGTCGTTGCTGCTGTTGCACTTGTGACGCAGGCCTAAAAAGGTACAGAATCCGCAAGTTATTATAAAAAACCGAAAGATTTCACCAGAAAATATATTATATTATATTATTTAAATTCGATTTAATTATATTTCAGATTTTTATGATTCATATTATTCCAATATTCAAATATGTATGTCCGTAAATAAACAAATTTTATGTTCAACAACAAGGAGTTGTAAAAGCAACTTTTTAAATTGTAATTTTTAATTCGAAATTATTTTTAGACATTTTTTAAAGCTAATGACTTGATCATTTTAATACGTAATATGATTTTGAAAGTCTCAAAAATATTTTATAATTTGTGTAATGCTGTTATATGAGTAAAGTTATGACTTTGCATGACATGTATTTCATTTGTTTTTAAGCATAGCAACATGATGAGCTACAAAATCTTAAAAAAGACGACATCCAAAAAAATGTTCTGCCAAAAGTAATTTTGCCGCCGGAGAATAGTTCTCAATGCCAAGTGCCAATTCCAAACTCCGGACATGTGCATGCTAATATCCCGTATAGCTTTTCTTCTGGGCTGTGCATGTCACAAATTGGCACTGCGGCGATTCCCTTTACCATTTGCCTCTCATTTGGGCCCTCGTTTGGCTTCCCCAGTCGCAGTCACGACATCCTAACATAAATCCGGCATCGACATTGCGCTGCCATAAAGCCAAGTCCTTTGGCCCAGCTGAAGAATGTCCTGCATGGAATGTCCGTAAGGAGGAGTAGTGGGCCAACAATGGCGGGCACAGGACCCAAGGATTTTAGGATCCCAGGAGCAAGTGTGAATTGCGCACGAAAACTAAATAAATAAGCAGGCAAATAGTGAACAGTGAAACAGGGCCCCCACACCCACATCCACACCCACACCCACACTCACACCCACACCCAGTATCCTTTTGGCAGGATGCTTTGTTTAATTCTCATTTAGGTGGCGCCTTGGACACATCACCTGAATGCCACTTGAGGAATTCACATACAACATAGAGAAGGCCTCCACGAACGCAGAGCTGGCCCTTAAATAATAAATGTAATGTGCATGTCTTAGCAATTAGTTGACAACCAACAAAAGCTGTTCTATTTCTGGGATCTAGCTAAAGGATTCTACAAAGCCAGTCAAGTTAAGTTGCTTGGGAATAAGCTATTTAAACTATGCAATCTGTATATTTTATGCAAGAGAGAAAGTCTTAAAACCTTGTTTCTAAAATGCAATGTTTTATAAAAATAATAATGATTTCATTACCATTTAATAAAAGCCAATTATGTAGTTGTATAAAATAATATATTAGGAAACATTGCTTTTTAATAAAAGCTTAATAAACATTCTTTGTTAAACCAAAATAATTCAAATTAAATTTCTTTTATTTTTAAAAATAACTTAAAAGTAAATTAAACCTGCTTAGTTCAATGCAACATTTACTAGATTAAGTTATTTAAACAACATTTGCGTATTATTTCTTTTGTTCCAAATCAATCTTTAGTTCGACAAATTAAAAAAATTGCTAATTGGAATAAGCTTAAAGAACTTATTCCTCCTAAGGAGAATTAAGTAATGTTTGAATAAATATTTCCTTTGCTGTGCTTAGTTTTAGATTAATGCTTACTGTGTTAAAAAGAAAATAAACATGGCTGATAAATTACCTTTCAGGACATCCGGGCAGCTGCCAGCCGAAGGAGCGGAGTCATCGCCGCAGAGACATCGCAACTTGTAGTCACTTGGATCCTTGACGCAGCTGGTGCGATCTATTGCCGTGCACTCATCGTGGGCACTGCACTCGCGTCCTTTGACTGCAAAGGTCGAAGAAATCGAGTCAAGATAGGGTCAAGATAATAAGAAGTTAAGGAAGGAAATCAGTTGTCAGTTTGCTTAGCTAATTGCCCACTAATTGTGTGTGATTATCGCCTGCTCCCCCTGGATTTCCTATCTTTTCCTTCCTGTTCGCCGACTCCAATCACAGAGCTATTACCATTACCACCCCCCGGAAAAACCCACTCCTAGTGCCAGTGATTTCTGTGGAGCGTGGGTTGTCATTGCACTTGAGTGACTTGTTTGATCAATTCTCGATTTGTGTTAGTGCCTTAATTTCTATGTTCTGTGTCGTGTCACTCAATCGCTGGCTCTTTGCCATAATTATTATTCCACTTATTTATGGGTGGCTACAAAGTCAATCGAACGACAAATGATTGGATCAGATAAACTTAATATATTGTCTAGTTGTTTGGCTACAATTGGGCTGTCTTAATTAAGCGTTTAATTGGCAATTGTCTAGATTTAAGTGATGAGGGTTAAACGTTTATTCAGGCATGCCTTTAACATCTCTGTCATAAATAAAAATCTAATTTGGGCAATACGTGAAGTAAAAAACTGAGATAAAAATAGTTAAAACAAAAAGCAGAGCAGATTTTCTTCATGACAACCCACAACCGAAGGACTTTTTAATCAATTTAAAAGCATAGATAGTCTAAGGACTTCTGCAATTAATTACGAATAATTATAATATAAGTTTTATTTACAATATGCAAATATATAAGCGGGGTTTTAATTCTAAAATTGTGTTTTAAATGGCAATACCATTAACTATAGCAAAGTAGGTACAATAAAAAAAAACCTAATAAATAATATGTGATTCTATTTGAATATATTATATTTCTTGCTCAGTCTCGAACAGAAACTCCACTTGTGACCTGCCAGCGACTTTAAGAAGGGTTTTTATTACCAACGCAAGGGCGATGGGATTTCTTACCAATGGGAACGTGCGTGGGCGGCGGCTGGTTATTGGTCTTGCCAAAAGTGGTCAGTGCCGTGGAACTGACCCCGAAGAGGATGATGAAGATGCCGAAGAGCATGGTCAGACTGCCGCATTGTGTGAAGCGCTTCAGGGGCTGCATTTTGGATTCCGGGATTTATGGAGTTTCGGGTTGAGATTAAGCCAAACCCCCGAGGTAGGTGTTCTTTTCTGGTGTTATATAAATTCCACACACGACGATGGGTTTCGCACGCACTTTGCAAGCTTGAAAACTAACTGCCCAGAGGCTTTAAATCGCTTTCCTTTAACGTTTTTCGTTTCTTTGTCCGTTTCGCGGGGGTAATTTTATGCAAATTTTCACACCGAAATTGTTTCCGCTCCGCTGGAAAGTCCGAAGCAAAACAAAACCACACGAGAGGCGTCACTCCAAAAAATCTCCTGTATACTACTTTGGTAATATAGGTATATATGGGGTATGCTTCTTCTCAATAAGGTCTTGAGACGGTAGCTCCAACCAGTCGCCTGCGCGCTCGAAATGCAAGTGAAGAATTCGCGGCGCACACGGACCTTAAGTTGGTTCGACGTCGCTGTTGGCTACTTGGCGCTCGCGCACCTCACTGGCGCCACCCACCACTCACCATCCACCCACCGCCCACTGCTTAGCTCTCCAACCACCCATCTCCATAGCCCCCAATCAGAAGCGAACCCCTTTTTCAGCTCGAAAAGTAATCAAAGACGATACTAAGATACCCTTTCTTAAAATTGTTTTCTTTAAAATAACTATTTTTTAAATCGCATGGTTAAAATAAAAAAAATCATACTATCATAAAAAATGGAAAACAAGACATATTAAAATGCATGATTTAATATTTAAATACTTTAATTTATGTGGAAAATAGGAAATTAAAAATAACATTAAAATAAATATTTCATACAAATAGAGCATCGAAAAATTTAAAGAACAAAGAAATAAAATTTGTGTAAATGATTAAATCTGTAACTGACTTGTTTAAATTAAAAATGCATGGATTTTATTATTTTATTTTACATTAGACAAACTGTAAGAAATAAATAAAAATTCAGGTATTTCTTAAAAAATTGAGTTTATTTCACATTTTAAACCTGTAAAAGATTATGATTCTAAGCTAAGTTTAAGTTTTTTAAATTTCTCGACTTAATTCAGGTTCGAAGAATAACAACAACCTCGGGATTATTAATTAATTTATTATACATTTATACTCTAGAAAAATTTCTCTCATTTGCTTTAAATGAATTCGTTGGTATATGGAGACGACCTGGATTTAATGATAAATCTTGAAAAAAATTTAACTGTGTTTTTAATTTAATCAATTAGAAATACCGGTTTGCTGAATATTATTGATATTAATTATTGGATCTACTGACGCAAAGCATAAATTGGCAAAACTGATGACGACAATTAATAACTCTCTACAAATCATATTTACGCACTAAGCAACTTTCGATGAGTCTGAATAATTTTAAGGAATCCTAGGCATTCATAAAATTAGAAACTGACATGCATAATTGAGGGATCCCCCGAGTCGGCGAAGGGTATTTCACTACATTAATGTTCCGCTGCCAAGGAGGTGGATGAATCTGCGGGCAGATTCTAAAATACTCGCAAACTACTGAGTTTGGGCTTAGTTTTGGGCCGTACTCGTATGGTAAGTAAGCTCCAACGCACTTGGAACTGCTTCGTTGTTTCGCGAGCCCTAGTGAGTTTTGTTAACGAAGATGGATTTTTGTAGCCGCCTCACCTTCGTGCAGTTGTTTTTATTGTTCCCCCTGGCAGGACCTCGTCCTCGTCTTAGCCCATGAGGTGTTTGGTGTGTTCGGGGTGTGTGGGGACGTGGACTATAATAATGACGAAGGCATTAGAGGCATGGAGCCATTGCCATTGCATAGCCTACTTTTTGGGGCCCCGCGAAGTCGAGCAACAGCCACAACACAACACAACACAACAATAAAGTGTAACATTAGCACGCACCAGAAACAACAAAAACTGGTTAGTCAAAGCCAAATAGTTATTTTGGCCATTATTCTTCGCCGCCTTTCTCTCTTTATTTGTATACCCTTGCAGAAGGAATTATAGTTTCAGACAAAAGTTTGCAACGTAGTAAAGGAGACATTTCCCACCCTCTAAAGCATATATATTCTAGATCGGCATCACTAGGAGAGGCGATCAAACCACGTCCGTCCGTTTGTCCGTTTGACCGTTATTACGAAAACTAGTCTCTTAACTTAAAAGCTATCTGAATGAAACAGTTTTCTTTCAATTGATAGTATATTAGTGGAAACTGATCGGATCGGACATCTATATAGTATAACTCCAATAGAATGAACCGGAAACATAATTTTAAAAAAATATATTACCTTAATGTTTTTAATTTATTAAAATATACTTTGAGGTATAATAATGTTTAACTACTTCAAAATTACGGTTTTAATGTTATTCAGCGCACGTATAAAAACCAACTAAACTTTTTTAGGATATTTAATTTGTGTAATAGCTGCAAGAGTATATGAACTTTGTCTTGTCGAATTTGGCTTCCTTTTTTGTTTATGATTATTTTTCGTTGGGAGGTGCATGGCCCTAATTACGTTTTCTGAATTGCCCAGATGAGTGGGTTGTGCTTGTTGCTTTTTAGCTTTTCAACTATCAAGACTCGACTGCAGCCCAAATTAAAAAAAAGGTTGCAGGCCACGCCCACTGAACAATTTGGAAAATCAGCATTTGTGATGCATATCGAACAGCTGACAAACGGATGCGAAACTTTCGGCCATGTCTGCCACGGTCTCCCAAAAACGCCTACACCTAACCCTTTCGAAAACCAAGTCAATAATTTACACCGAAAAGGAACACTTTGAGGTCAATTTGGACATGTTAAATACTTGCCCAATTCGCTTACACAAATTCCTTTCTTTCGTTTCTTGTCGGCCCTTTTTTCGATTGCGGAAAATGTCAAGCTCCAAGCTGCAAGCTCCAGTGCTCCTTATCTCCTGCCTCGATCGCCTTATAAACGATTGTTTTAATCGCTGCGACAGCATAAACAATTTTCCCTTAACTAAACGCGCGCCATCGCAGCGAATTCATTTCGCACACGCACGCCGAACGGAAAGGCTTTCCAGAAAATATTCACGAAAATCAGTGGATATAACTAATTCGGACACGATTCTGCTCGGGTCCAAGAACGATGGAATGGATCAACAAATTAACAAGCGAGATTAAAAACAACATGTATTCCTAAATGTAGAACATTTTCTTATAAAAAAAAAACAGTACCGGTTTTAACTTGTTCTTAAGTATCTAAATATTTATTTTTCTAAATGGCTGAATATTTTTATTATATTTAACTCTCTGGAGTTTTATATGGATTTCATAAAATCTTACACTCGCAGTGTCTTGACAAATTCATACCCTTCTCGGCATGACGATAATTTATTCCACAGTACTTTTACCATTTACGCAAATCCCACCGCTCCACGCCAGACGAAATGAGAAATATTTATATTTATATGTAAAAATAAATTCCTTTAATTATTACTCAGGTGAGCTGGACTGCCAAGTCCACTCCATTCAATTCGCCATGCGGCAAAGACCGACATTTATTTCGGATATTTATTTCTTGACATTATTGATAAATGTTGCTGGCCACAGGAAAGAAATGGAAAACAAGCAGGAAAATTATATGGAAAACTCACGAAATCTCTTGGCCAAATCAGAGACTGCAACGAATTGGACGGGGTTTTCCTCTGCCCAACCGAAAGACCACTGTAATTAAAGAACTAATTCCCTTTCAACAATTTGGGCGTCATGTTTTGGTCTTAACTGATGATTAATTAGTGCGACTGTAGAATTTCTAGGGCCGTCTGGAGCGGTACCAGCGAACGATATATAATTTTCTCACGAATTCTCGTTGGGGTGTACTCATGCCTAGAGGTCATCATATTTCTGCCGATTATAACTCCTAGTCCTAAACTCCAACTCCAAGTCCGCATTAGGCTGTTGAAAAAATGCCAATTTAAGGGACTTAATTTCATATTATGACCAGGTCTAATTGCGAACACACACACAACTCACATAACACACACAGAACGTAGAACGCCTCTGCATGCAAGTTTGTTTTCGTGCGTTCCTGGACATGCACACACCACCGAAGAGGTGGCCTAGTGGTGAAGTCGCTCCTTCTGCCCCCGAAAATTGCATGCCTCGCAAGGCGAGAGCGATGGCTACTTGTTGTAGCCTTGTCTCTTGGCCAAGTTCTGGCCAAATAACCTTTCCATGACTTTCCCAATTTATCACCCTCGACCACTGCCACACTAAATGCAGCTAAATGCATGCTAAGTATATGTGTGCCAGACCGTATATAACGATTACTTCAAGTTCATTTGTTAATGCACACCTTGATTCTAGCAATGGGCGACACTTTTGGGGGTCTTTTGGGGTTCTTTGGGGGTCTGTCCCCAAGAACAGCCCGATTCGCATGTCATGTTGGCCAGAACTGAAACAACTCCAACGCAACTGAAAACATAAAAATAGCTGCGAAATGCTAAAGCTCACGAACTTATTATAATAACTCATGCGTGGTTAGTTTAAGACGTCATTGCCAAAAGGCTGTGAATCCCCAGGGGGGATTATAATTAAAGCCACATTTACAACGCTTGGGAATGGTCGAAAAGTCCGTTTGGCAGTAAAAAATTTACATCGCTTACGTTAAAAATAAAATAAAATATATGAGTCGAAAAATTAAAAATAATCTATATACTGCATCTGTTAATTGTGGCGTTTTTTAATAACAAGTAAAAACTAAGATGTATAAGTGAAATTATAATATTTGGTTAATGTATTTGAGAGAGTTTCAGCTTTTAAAAAATAAAAACCTATTCAACACGGGTTACCTAGTACAAGTAACCCAATAATTTGAACCACTACTCATTTAATTTGGTAAAAACATGACGATTTCAATGACCTATCTAAAGGCGAAGGAAAAACTAATTAACAAAGGCGTCATCATTATCGGACGTTTTCATTATTCACCCAAAGTCCAGGCAAAAAGGTAAGGGCAGTGCACACTCCCTACAACGTCCGACAAATATGCAAATTTACGCACATCAAAAAGTGAAAGTTCTAGAGGCGACCATAAAACCCAAAACCCGAAAACGCAGGAATGAAGTACTCCTACAAAAAATCAATGCAGGCCAGCGGAGCAATGTGGTCGGTAGTGGTAGTAGTTGTAGTAGTTTTGAAATGGATGTGTATGTGTACTACTTATAAGAAGGGAGCTCCCCGCGCCGCGGGTGGAACACGATTAAACCGCACTGATTATGGGTTACGAAGACCATTTCTTATGGTAGCCCAAAAGCGCCAAAAACTTCTTCAACAAAATTGCCCAAGTCCGAGGGACCATTTGATGACGGCTCCGCTGCACGCAATCCATGACATCACCGAATCACCTCCCAAAGTGACCCACAATTAGATTGAGTGCTGAGCCCCGCTCATTTTCCATAAAAGGGGGTTTTCTCAGGCAGATTCTAACAACTGGAAAACCAGAAAAACCATGGCAATTTCAATGCACCCTACTAAGTTATTCTACCAAGTTTTTTGCGTCCCTGAAGAGCACTGAACTTGCAACAGAATGTGGCAAAGGTAGTGTGTAAGTCAGTCGACCTGAGTGACATTCCGTAATTGGAATTCAAATTAAAAAGTGCCTGAATTAAATCGCGTTCTCACTGGTTGTATTATTAAAATGCAATTTTTTCGGATGCCGACTTCTTGGACGCTTCCACTTTCTTACCGGACATGCAATTTTCAATTGTTTGTCATTAGGGCAACATCAATGTAAATGCCTGACCTTTTGCGAATAATCACTTTTGAGAAGGCGATTGCAATGGGTTCATAATGATTGCATGACTCCGTTTGAGAATTTAAAGATTATTTAAGCAAGCAGACTTTTTAGTTCAAAAAGTTTCAAAGGCATCTTATTTTAAAGTGGAAATCATTCTCTTTACGTTTTAATTTTAATTTAAAGTGCAGAAGATACCGAAAGATTTACACTTCAGCGTTTTTAAAGTTTTATGTCCAAAATTATTGTTTAACCCAAGTTCTTAATGATCACCGAATTGCAATTCCAATCTATTCCACCTTCCATCCTTACCATAAGTTCAAACAAAATGTTTATTTGTTTGTTTTCGCGTTTTATCGCGGCACGTGTCCCAAATTTACTCGAAATGAGTAACTTCCGTTCTCGTGAATGAAAAATTACTTACCAGAGTCGCAACATTGAGCCCAGGCTTTCATGGATTTTCAATTTTCGCACAAACACTTGCGCGCTTAGCCTGGGACTACCTAATCTATAACTAATTATGAGATTTAAGCGTGGGCGAAAGTCAATGTACCATAAAAAGAGGTTAATTCTATGCAATTTTCATGGGCTCCGTGATTACTTTTCCTTAGAGCAGACGTATTAATTACAAAGCGGAATACATTAGGTCAACACTCTGACTCCAACCAAGCGTAGTGCTAATTACAAGAAATTAGAGTGAGCCGATTTGTTTGGGTCCATCTTTAAACTTAAATAGTATAGAATTTCCTTGGATTTTCAAATAATTTTAATTTAAGATTTTTTCTAAAAAAAAAACCTTCTTGGAATCGAAAAAATAGTTGTTTTGGTTGTTAAATACATTAATTTAATTCGTTTGATAAAAATAAAAAATTTTTTAAAATATACGAAACGATCATTTTTTTTTGCCTGCCCGGATTTCTTTGCCGCTACTGTAAAGTGTATTTGATTAGGTCATTAAAAAGATCATTTGAATGGTTAGCAAACTTATAAACAGAACAGTTTAAAGCAGAATTGATAGCTAGTTTTTAAAATGTCTACCTCCATTATTTGTATTTGTCAAAAGACGGCTCAGCATTTGCGACTTTAAGACTCGCTGATTTCAGGTTCAACATATTTACTATATAATACTTTAATAACTTCAATCTTTTGGTCCATTTTTTTGGGCAGTGCTCGCTCGAGTTTTCTAAATATTTCTTCCATTGACTTTTGTTTTGCGATTTCTTCCTTTTTTTTATCCCGATATCTTTGTTGTCTGAGCCGATCGGTTTCCCTCTTTGATTTGAGGGCCTTTTTGTTCTTTTTGACCACTTCATTTATTTTCTTGCGATATATCCTACTTCTTTCAGCTTCTCTGGCCCGATATTCCTCTAATTTGATGGGATCATTTTTGATTTTCTCCCGGTAGCGTCTGGAATTGTCCCTGGTGCCTTTACTTGTTCTTGTTTTGGGTATGTCTTTATTCACTCTAGGGGTTCCTTTGACTTTATCCATCGTCCTACTTGTTGTTGATCTACCCATCTAGATTGTATTCAGTTTTGTTTTAAGTTATGATTTTGAAAAATTAGCAATGCTTACGTTGTTTAATTGTGTTTGAATCGTTCGGGTGAACCTGATTGTTTTCCGCCTTTTCAAATTTGTACACTAGTTTAAGAATTAAAGTTCATATTGTTTTTTATGTTTTACTTTAGTTTTCATAAAATTTGTTTATGTTCACTGCATCTCAATCAGCTGTTATAAGTTAACAGAACAGTGCTGACATGCTGTAGATATTTGCGGGCGTTGCCAGCCTTTCGAATATACTTTAGCGGGAACTTTACACTAAAGAAGAGCTAAAATTTAATAAAAATAATAGACTATAAAATAATTTATGTTATGTTATGTATTTATGCTGAGTAAAATCATTGTAAATTTTATATTATTACATGTATACAAATTTAAACAAAAAAAAACATTTGTCTCTTATAAACAATTAAAAATAGAAAAGAAATAGTTAGCGGGAATGCCAGCATCTGAGCAGCACTGTCCGCTCGATAAGCTGACTGCAGCCGATCTGGCAGCCCCTGCACCCAAAAAAGCAAAACAAAGCAAGGCAAAAACGAAAAGAAAACGCAATTGCGTCTCAAACGAGAGGATAAAACCAATTTGCATCGCATCCGAACAAAAAGCAAAAATGTCGGAGATCAAGGCGTTGGAGCACGCCACCCTGAAAGTGCCATACGAGATGCTGAACAAGCGCTTCCGCTCCGCCCAGAAGATAATCGACCGCGAAGTGGACCAGGTGACCAACGTATCGCGTCAGGTGGAGAAGGCCCTGGAGGCGGAGGAGGCTCCCATCCTGGCGGAGGTGACCAAACTGGTGGACAACGTGGCCCAGAAGCTGCAGGTGCTCAAGCGCAAGGCCGAGGAGAGCATCAACGACGAGCTGAGCGTCACTCAGATCTGCAAGCGCAAGCTGGAGCACCTCAAGGGCATCACTCCGCCAAATAGCGTCACTGGCGACCTGTGGCAGGGATCCGTGGACCAGTGGAAGCGCATCCGACTCGATCGCCTGGTCATCGAGCATCTCCTCCGCATGGGCTATTACGAAACAGCCGAGGAGTTGGCCGCCAAGTCCGATGTGCGCCACCTGACCAATCTGGACATCTTTCAAACGTCGCGCGAAGTCGAGGACGACCTGGCCAGCCACAGCACCACGAAGTGTGTGCTCTGGTGCATCGATAACAAGTCCAAGCTGCGCAAGATCAACTCCACCATTGAGTTCAGTTTGCGGGTGCAGGAGTTCATAGAGCTGGTGCGCCAGAATCAGCGCTTCGAGGCAGTGAAGCACTCGCGCAGGTACTTCCCCGCCTACGAGAAGACCCAGCTGAACGAGATCTGCCATGTCATGGCCCTGCTGGCCTATCCCTCGGATGCCCAGGCCGACCACTACCGCAAGTACATGGATCCGCAGCGCTGGCAGAAGCTGGTGCTTGACTTCCGCCACGAGAACTACCGCCTGTTCCAGTTGTCCAGCACTTCCGTGTTCTCGGCGGCCGTGCAGGCCGGTCTGTCGGCCCTGAAGACGCCCCACTGCTACGCGCAGACCTGCCGCAACCTAAACTGCCCCGTCTGCCAGGAGGATCTTAACCGCATCGCCCTCAAGTTGCCATACTCGCACTGCGTGCAGAGCCGCCTCATCTGCCGTGTGACGGGGCTGCCGCTGAACGAGCACAATCAGCCCATGATGCTGCCCAACGGACAGATCTTTGGCCAGATGGCTCTGCAGGACATCACCAAAGAAGACGGCACCGTGACCTGTCCGGTGACCAACACCAAGTTCTCCAACCCCAAGGTCGAAAAGGTCTTTGTGATGTAAGCGGCGAGGGCGCGGGCGAGGACTCCGGGATTCGACTTCCTCAACATCCCAACCCAACCCAACCTAACCGCACTAAGTTAAGCAAGGAACGACTCTATTTTTGAACATGTAACTCCATATCTATTGTGTACACCTACCTATGTCTAATATTATTACTATTAGTAAGCGAGATGAGACAGCGCCCGATTTGAATTCCGATTTCGATTGTTCGACTGCTGCTGCTGCGCGTGCGCAGGTCTATTGATTAGTTGACTCCACTGGTTTGTTTCGCTGTCAGTGCTTCGAGGCTGATTCACGCGAACGGCGTAATTCGAATCGCACCATGCACACACCTAACACCACTCATATATTACATTAAAATACGAATCAAATAAAGGTTAAATCAAACGACTTATGCCAGAAGCCACTTGTCAATTAGCGTGAACTCTCCGGATTGTTTTCGCTGTGTGGAAACTGTGAAAATTTACAACAATTCCCCGTGACGCCGCTGCAGTTCGAACAGTTGAACAGCTGCGAGCAGCAACAAACAAGCCAGGCCAGCGGATACATAAACAAGTAGTCCGCTGCAACCCCTCGGAGCCAAAACCAAAAGCAAACCACCACCGCCACCACTTGCACCACCCAACCACCAATAACAACAACGGCAGCCCATCTGTAACCGAAAACCTCCGCAGTTAAAATTACTATTCCGATTCCAAATCCTATTCCGATTCCGATTCCTGTCCAACATGGCACTGGACTTTGTGGCCACCTATAAGGTCCTGGTACTGGGCGACTCCAATGTGGGCAAGACCTGCATCGTGCACAGATATTGCGACGAGAAGTACTACGACACATACATCTCCACCATAGGTAAGTGCTCCCAATCTGCGCACAGCAGCATCCGAAATAATACTATTTTTAGAATTGAGTTAACTAAAGTTAGTACCTAGTTATTTTTTTGTATTATTATACATTACATAGAGACTTATTTACGTTATACAATCTTCGTCTTGAAGAAGTTTGATTATCTTTATGCTAAAAGCATCCCTTAGTTAGTTAATTAGTGCGATCCCATGGCTACCTATAAAATGTATAAATTAATACTTTAACCATGTATACAATTTTAAGAAATTTCTTGAAATAACTATAATTAGTACCTGTTTATGGGCATTTTTTACTATTACTACTATTATACAGATGCAAATTTATGGCTTAAAGAAAATGTATTGTAATTTTTATTATAAAATCATCCCTTACTTAAATAGTGGAATTCAAACATTTCCAATGGATACCTATAAATTAATAAATCATTTTAAAGTTTAAACTAGACAATTTACAAATTGCTTAAAATAAAAAATGCCTTTATTTTGAAAAGAAACGCAAAATATGTGCGTGTTTTAGGAAATTATCTTGTCAATAATTATTCTACTGAGCTATTATTTTAACCGCAGCTGTTTCCCTTCGTATATATATAACATCCTATTATCCTCTCATTTTATCTTCCCCAGGCATAGACTTCAAGCAGAAGCTTATTAACCTGGACGGCGTGCCCATTAAGCTGCAAATCTGGGACACGGCAGGACAGGAGCGATTCCGTACACTGACCACTGCGTACTACCGCGGAGCCATGGGCATCCTGCTCATGTACGACGTGACCAACCTGGAGAGCTACAACAACCTGTCCTACTGGTTGCGCAACATCCAGGAGAACGCCTCGCCAGATGTGGTCAAGGTGCTGGCGGGCAACAAGTGCGAGTGCTCCGCCACCCAGCGCATGGTGGACAAGGAACGGGGCGAAAAGGTATGCTTTGTGCTCTAGTCGGGTCAAAAACACCCACTTATACCCCCTTAATCCTTTACAGATTGCCGAAAACTTTGATATGCCGTTTTTCGAGGTGTCGTGCAAGTCAAACATAAACATAGAGGATGCCTTTCTATCACTGGCCCGCAAAATCCGAGAACAAAGAGAGCGACGGGTAAGCAGATTTCAGATTTATCCCCACACATAACGAATTTGCATTAATGTTGATTGCTGTTACCCTTGGTAAACAAAAATTAACCTGTTTTTTTTTTGAGTATCCGTAAAAAATATTTATTTAGAAATCGTCGTAGAATATTTAACCATTCAAATATACACGTGGAAGGGAAAGGTACTAGTTTTTGGAGAATAAATACTTAGATTAGGTGAAAAGTTAATGAAATAAAATACATTTTTAGTTAAAATTCAATACCCACGTAAGGTCAAAGATAGCATTTTTATTTTGTATTTTAAAGTTATTAACATTTCTAGCCGTCAAGAGCATTGAAAAAAAATTTAATTTAATATTAAATTTATCCACCAGGGGGACAACTTTGACAACGACGAGAGCAAAGACAAGAAATCACCTGGCACCAATGGCCTCGGAACCTTCAGTTTGGGCAATCTTTCGGGCGAGAATCGCTGCACCTGCTAAATAATAGTAATAGTCGATGGATTACGATTACGATGACGATGCGATCGCAACCGCAAACCGCAAAACCTGAACAAGTTGTCCAAAGCTATTGAGCGTTGTAGCATTGTAGCCAAGTTCGTGAGTAGGCCACGTTTTAAATGCAAACCAAACCAACCACTTGAGGGGCTGCCTGCATTGCGTTCTATGTGTAAAGCGTTCAGATTGTGCATTTTAAGGTACACTTAGTCCAAGAGAAGATAGCATAAATATTTTAGCATATTCCTGCAAATACATAACGGTCGATTATACATGCATATTGTCTCGATTCCAATAACTATAATCTAATGCTAAATACATTTATACTCGTAAGAAAACAAATCCTGGCTTTACACTTTGGGGGTGGAATGAATAACATTATTTTAATCGTTCTAGTGTTGGCTTTACTGACAATATTTTGTAGGTGCACTGGAACACAACATATCTCTCAGATCTCTAAGAATTAATGCGTGGAAATTCCTTAGCTTCGAAAGTCGTATCAGGCTGTTTGTGGATGAGATTCAAATATAATACATACAAATAATGCTCTTTGCTTGTCTTACTTAATCAATGATAAGATCATTTTTTATAGCTCTGTCTAAAGCTTGCTTTTTAATAATCACAAGCCGTTCTATTTAGTAAGTTTATGTCGCTCAGAATGTACGCGTGGAAATTTCTATTTCTTGTGATCGTATGCCTGCAGATTCTGGGACAGCTCCAGGGACTATCACCAAAGCATATGCCAAATGCTTTGGGTCCTTCTTATCCATGGACTGCTCGCCGCTCGACGACAACAAAAACAAAAGGAGCAAAATTCCTTATCACCACTTTGGATAACTCCACTGAATCAAAATTAATGTACATATAAGCTGTCAAAAAATAAATAACTAAAAAAATCAGTTATATTACAAGTTTACAGATGTTTTATTATTTACAAATGTCTGAAGATTGCCTAAAATTTTTTAACTGTTCTATGTTTTTTATAGTAGTTAAATACATGCATCATTTTTGGGAACTCTATCTGTGGAATATATCTTATCAGATAAAATTGATTAGTCTTATTGAACAATTTTCTGTTGACAAGTGTTCAATATGAAAGTGTGCCTAACATCATTATTAATTTTGATTTCTCTCTCCACTGCTAACCCTGAAATTAACATCGATTATTCGGAATCGTGGCCCTGCAAATATTGTTCCTTTTTGCTTATGATAATTTTCCCCCTCTGCGGCTGTCCAATTAGCAAACCCACTGATAACGTAAGCTGAGAGGCACCCATGGCACACCACATCGCCCAAATCACCCACTACTTCTCCTAGCAACCACAATTGACCACAACTTCGATATGCGAACACGCCAAGGGACAATTATACAATAGTCCTGTCCGTTCGGTTCGATTTGGAACGTAGTACGTCGTGGCTGCGCTCCAAGGAGATGAAGAAGTTCCGCGCCAAGGCCAGCTCCCTGCCCATTTTCAACGGTCGGATAACGGACGCCACCACACTGACCACCAGCTCGCTGCAGCTGCCCTTGGGTCAGGTGCGGAAGCAGCCGTCCACCTGCAAAAGGGATAGGGTCCTGCCCACGGTTTTCACCATTACGGACGGCACGACCGGAGCGGCCAGTACCTCCTTGGCGGAGGCCATGTCCAGCAGTAAGGCGCTGGTGCCAGTGCCCGCCTCGCGGCAGGATAACCTCCTCCAGCTCAGTGTTCCCCGGGAGTGTGGCTCGGTGGCTGGTCCGGAATTGGCCAACTACGAGAAGGTGCGAGTGGTGGGACAGGGCTCCTTTGGCATCGCCATCCTCTATCGACGCAAGTCCGACGGCCATCAGATCGTCTTCAAACAGATCAACCTGAGCGAACTGACGCCTCCTGGTCGGGACTTGGCCATGAACGAGGTGGATGTCTTCTCGAAACTACATCATCCGAATATTGTGAGCTACTTGGGAAGCTTTATCAAGGACAACACTCTGCTCATCGAGATGGAGTACGCGGATGGAGGAACCCTGGCCCACATCATTGCCGAGCGTCACGGAAAAGTGCACTTTCCAGAACGCTATATAATAGCCGTCTTCGAGCAGATCTCCAGCGCCATAAACTATATGCACTCGGAAAACATACTGCATCGGTAAAAAAAAATGTATTTCTAAAAAATTTAAAAAAGGTTCTGACTTTAAAATGGTTTTATTTACGTTTGTTTTAATACGAATTGAATTCCAGCTTAATGCAAAACAATTAAAAAAAATATTTATTGACTTTTCCGGTTTGAAAAACTTTTTTGTTTTAAATTATTTTTTTGACTTAACTATAACAAATTTTCCATGAATTAAACTGTAAATTTATACTGCACATATAATATAAATATTTTGATATGCTTTCAGGGATCTAAAGACAGCGAATGTGTTTCTCAACAGAAGAGGCATCGTAAAGATCGGGGACTTTGGTATTTCCAAAATAATGAATACCAAGATTCATGCCCAGACTGTTTTAGGTACACCCTACTATTTTAGTCCGGAGATGGTAAGGGTTTTTCCCGATTGAGACCCACTATATACATAGCTGACTTTTTGCATCGGTTTCCAGTGCGAGGGCAAGGAGTACGACAACAAGAGTGACATTTGGGCACTGGGCTGCATTCTGGGCGAGATGTGCTGCCTGAAGAAGACCTTCGCTGCCTCCAACCTTTCCGAACTGGTGACCAAGATCATGGCCGGCAACTACACGCCCGTGCCGACGGGTTACACCTCTGGACTGCGCAGCCTCATGTCCAATCTGCTTCAAGTGGAGGCCACCCGGCGACCCACTGCCTCCGAGGTTTTGGTCTATTGGATTCCGCTGATATTCCGCAGTCTTGGAAAGAATAAAGGGTATGGCTGAGACTTGTCACCTATTTTTACCTGTTCTTATCGAAAAACATTTGAAGCTTTGTGTTTTTTCTATGTAATGAAGCTGAATATTACTGCTCTATTTGTCTTTATGCTTAAGAATTCGCGCTAATTATTCGAGTATTATAAATTTGGCAATGCGTTTTTGGAGTTTATGTTTGTTCTCGTCGTTAGGCTTAAGTATTCACCTTTACACTTCAATAACGATTATTTGACAAGAAACTTGAAAATGTAACTTTAAGTTTTTAAAAAACCCAAGCATACATACATAGGAATTTTATAATATTATTTTAAATCAGCTACTCCTATGAGGACGACTTGGGTGGCATTAGTGGCAATCAACTTACGGCTGCTTCTGCTGTTCCGGCCGCTGCCCGCAGCAATGTGTCCATGGAGCTGGAACTGCCCACCGCCCAGACGGAGACCAAGCAGCTGATGAGTGCGGAGACGGCGGCCCCGCACGAGATCCTCGAGAAACGGTAACGGGCTAGTCCAATCCGACGCTCTAATCCAGATAGTGCCACCCACCTCCAGATCCGTGCTGTACCAACTGAAGGCTTTTGGCACCTGCTTCAGCATGGCGCCCATCCAACTGCCGCCCAAGGCCGTCATCGTGGGCGTGGCCATGTCGGACTCGCACTTCGTGGTGGTTAACGAGGACGGATCCGCGTACGCCTGGGGCGAGGGTAACGACGGCCAGTTGGGCCTGACGGCTCTCGAGGCCTGGAAGCACTACCCCAGTCGCATGGAGAGCGTGCGCAAGTACCATGTGGTGGGCGCCTGTGCCGGCGAAGGCTTTACCATCCTGGTCACCCAGGCGGGCACTCTGCTCAGCTGCGGCAGCAACTCGCATCTGGCCTTGGGGCAGGACGAGCAGCGCAACTACCACAGTCCCAAGCTGGTCGCCCGCTTGGCGGATGTGCGGGTGGAGCAGGTGGCCGCCGGACTGCACCACGTGGTGGCCTTGAGCCGGGAGGGAGCGGTCTACGTGTGGGGCACCAGCACCTGCGGAGCCCTGGGCCTGGGCAACTACCAACAACAACAGTGAGTACGCCACCACAACGAAACGTATAGTTGTTGAAATTGTTAAAAAAATAGGTAAATGAAAATAGTATATAATATTTTTAATTACACAGAATAATAGTAGTTGTCGTTAAACATTTATCTTGAATTTTTTTAATCGCGGTTCTTTAAAATATATATTTTTTTCTATTTACAAAATACATACAAATTTTAAAAATAGTTAAACAATTAATGTTTATTAGATTTTAGATGGATATATGGAGATTAGGAGATAAGTTTAAAATAACGTATCGATTTTTTTAAATAATTATAGTGACTTGTTGTTTTTTGTGTGTGTGTGTGTGTATTAGGAAAAAAAGACAATATTTGATTACATTTAAGATATAAAACCGCATTCAAGCAGTATTTTAAGACTATTAAATTACCTATAGTTATAACCAAGGTTGTACCTAGTTTATAATTATACGGTGTATATAACTATTAAATCACAAAAGAAGTCTTTAACAATAAAGCACAAAATATATATTTATTTTTCAACTTGTAAGTCCCTTTTGTAGGCCCTTTATTTAAAAACAGTTTTAAAATTGATACATTTTTAAGAACAAAAAATTGATTACTACTAATTTAAAATAAAATTTTAGTTTACCATTTTAAAATGTAATTTTTTTGTATGTGAAAGAAGCTCTTATACTAGAGTTAGTTATATTTCCTGGAACCAAATACTGTTTTAAAAAATTGACAAACACCGCTCTTGTTTATTCACCCAGGAAGTATCCCCAGAAGATTCTTCTCTCGCATGTGAAAACCAAACCATCCAAGATTTACTGTGGCCCCGATACCTCCGCCGTTCTATTTACCAACGGAGAACTCCATGTCTGTGGCAGCAATGACTATAATAAACTCGGTTTCCAACGCCCATCGAAAATCACAGCTTTTGTAGGTAGACCACAATCTTAAGATCTTTAAACATACCCGAAAAATCTCCATGCTCTGCAGAAGAAAGTCCAACTGCCGCACAAGGTGATCCAGGCCTGCTTCTCGTCCACCCACTCGGTGTTCCTAGTGGAGGGCGGCTATGTCTACACCATGGGTCGAAATGCGGAGGGCCAGCGCGGGATCGGGCACTGCAACTCGGTGGATCATCCCACCCTGGTGGATTCTGTCAAGGCCCGATACATTGTGGTTTGTAGAGAGCGCTTTTTCGGTCGTGATTTTCCTTTGAAAGCCATCCCCTGCAGAAGGCTAACTGCAGTGATCAGTGCACCATCGTGGCCTCGGAGGACAACATCATCACGGTTTGGGGCACTCGCAATGGTCTGCCCGGGATCGGGTCGAGCAACAGTGGCTTGGGACTGGAGGTTTGCACACCCAACACGGAATTGGAGCTGGGCAACAACACAGCGGCCTTCACAAACTTTCTGGCTTCGGTGTACAAGTCCGAGTTGATCCTGGAACCTGTGGATATATTGGCGTAAGTTATCTGCTCCTACATCGGCGGTCAAAATAATAGTAGTGGGACATTGTAGAGTGCTTCAGGCATGGTACAACTTTTCTTTTAATCATAATGCTTTTTTATCATTTACCCATCTGCACCTTTGTATTAATATTTAGTATAATCTTCAGGAAAATTAAAAAAGATCTATAAGATGCTACCAAACTATTTTGTGTTGCTACTTCCATAAGCTTTAAAAAGACTATTTTATTGACCGCCACTGTATAATACTTCGTTAATAGTTGTTTCAATCAATAAAATCACTTACATATCCTGCAGTCTGTATTCCTCCAAGGAGCAGTGCGACCGAGGCTACTACGTCCAGGTTCACGATGTCTATCCCTTGGCTCACAGCGTTTTGGTGCTGGTGGACACGACCACGCCACTCATATCCTCCTATGAGGGCGACTGCCCGCCGCAGCTGTAGGCACAAGAAATCGAACAAGTACTATATGATTATGCGCACATATTTGCCACATATGTTTTGGTAATACATTTATTGGTTTCCAAATGTAATTGTTTAGAAGCTAAAAAGTACAACTAACGCGAACTAAACTAGAAGCAGCGCTCCTAGGCGCTGTGGGAAAGTCATTCGGGTGGTGGGGTCTTAAATAGGTATTGGCTGGGAGCTGTCAGGATGCCTAGTTCGAATTGCCTCTGGTGAAATGCACACGGTTCCTAGTAGCGCGACACCGGTCCGCTATAGCGATCCTGGGCGGGACGGCTGGCTCCGTACATGCCGCCTGCTCCGCCGCCACCACTCTGGCCCTGGTAGCCGCCAGTGGAACGGTCGTTGTAGCTTCGATCAAAGCGTCCGGGCACTGGGCGCCAGCTATTATCGTCGACGGTGGTCGACTTTTGCCACGAATTGGTGCTATGCATATTCGAGGATATGCCGTTGTTGCCGTACGACTTCATCTGGTTACCACCGCCGCCACCGCCGCTGCTGCCCAGGTGGGAGCTTCCGCCGGAGGATGGGGCCCAGATGTTAACACTGTTCGAGCTGCTGCCTCCGTAGCCACCACCGCCGCCGCCGCCGCCGCTGGAGTTGTCGTAGCGCTTGTTGCCCCTATAATTATCAGAAAGAATTATCTCAAAGCTCGTTTAATCGTTCCGCTCTTTAACATTTACAGGCTGTGTGAGTCATCGCGTCTATAGTTTGAGGTGTTGCTGCGATCCGAGTCGTTGTAGCGTCCACCGCTGCCACTGGCATTGTTCTTGTGCACATAGGAGCCGGCTCCGCCCGATGTGTTGTTCTTGTGCAGATAAGAGCTGCTTGAGCCGCCGCCGCCGGCAGTTCCCGAAAGTGGCAAGTGACGGACCTCCACTTCGCGCTTGTAGTCATCGCGTTTGCTGGACGACGAGCCGCCGTAGTCGTTGGAGCGCTTGCTGGGAACGGCCGCATAGTCCTCGACAGCACCACGCTTCGATCCGGACGAGGCTGTGTAGTCGTTACGCTTGGCGTAGTCCAGGCGCTTGTTGGAGCTGGAGTAGTCATCCAACACACGCTTGGTGCTCGAAGAGGACCCATAGTCATCGTGTTTTTTGTCATAGGTGCTGTGGGTAAAACATATTATTTAATATTATTAAAGAACAATGAGGGAATTGGCTACAGGAAAATAAAAACAATAAACTACTTAAACAACCACGTTTGTAATTTAATCGTATTTTTATTTAATTGCAAGTATCTAATAAAACGTCTTTAAAATTTGAAGTAATTCCGAAAAAAATTTGGACACCGAAAAAGCAAATCAGAAAAAGGATAATTACTAAGCAGATATTTTTTGACATAACTATTTAACGTTTTTCAATGTTTTTAAGTAGAAGAACTTTCATATTAAATGTTGGACGTTTAAAACAGTTAGGTAATTAGTCATTGTCTTTTAGAATATAAATATATTACCTGCGGGAGCTGACTAAATTCGTGTCGAATCTTGGTGGTGGTGGGGCATCAAAAATGGCTGGGCGCTTGCGATCGGAGACGTCTCCGTAGCGGTCGTCGGCGCGCTTGCTCACGCCGCGCTTGCCAGGATCGTCGCGGGACTCCATGATCCTGTGCGACAAGAGTGAGAGTAAGAAAGATGGAAGAGACAGAAAGAAAGAAGTTAGTAAGGCAGATATGTGCTGATTGGGGCAAGGGTTTAGAGGGGTCTCAGAGTTTAGACTAGGATGCATTTGCCTATCAAATATCCGCTTAGAAGCAATTTGAGTTGAAGAAACAACGTGGAGACTGCAACTTAACACACTAATCACAAGGACAAATGCTTTCCGAGAGAGATAGTACAAAATAAATACAAGTATATCGGTAATCAGTGTTGTCGCCTCACGGTCTGTTTTGATTTTTTTTTTTTTTAGCATACTTCATCTGTTGTCGCTTCAGCTCGAGGCGCTCCAGCTCGATTTTCTCTCGCTCCAGCTTCTGGCGCTCGCGCTCCATGCGCAGAAGCTCCGCCTTCTCGCGCTCGAGCCGTTCCCGCTCGACGGCCAGCTTGCGTCGCTCTTCCTGAAGGCGCTCCTCCTCTATGCGCTGGCGCTCGCGGAACTCCCGCCGGCGACGCTCCTCCTCGCGGTGCTCGCGCTCCCGCTCCCTCACGCGCTGGCGCTCGCGCTCCTCACGTATCTTCTGGTAGGACAGCATCTCCCGCTGGCGCCGCTCGCGCTCCCTCTGGCGCTGCTGGATCTCACGGTCGACGTCGCGCGGATTGCGCCCCTGACGATGATCCGGCCCCTTGTTGCCAGCCGTGCCCGATCGCTCGCGGTCGTGGCGCGGCCGATCCTGGCTGGCGGACGACTTGCCCCGGTCGTCGATGCGCCGCTGGTGGCGCTCCCTGTTGCCCTCCTTGCCATCGCGCTTGGAATCGCCGCCAATGGACTTGTTGTCACCGCCGCCGCTTCCATCGCCGCCCTTCTTGTTGTCGTCGCCGCCGCCGCCGTTGGCATTGGAGCCCTTGCCACCGCTTGCGGGTTTCTTGCCGCCATCGTCGTCCTTCTTCTTCTGGTTTCCGGCCTCACCACCAGGGGCCTTGCCCTTGCCCTCCTTGTTCACGCTGCCGCCAATCTCGTTCTTGGTGCGCTCCACCGAAATGATGCGTCCGTGCAACTCAGTGCGGTGCAGATGCTCGATGCACCGCGAGGCGTCCCCCGAGGAGGACATGGTCACGTAGCCGTAGCAGCGGGTGCCCGGGGTACGGGTGTTGGTGACCACCTTGGCGCCGATCACCTTGCCATGCTTCGAGAAGACGGCCTTGAGGTCGCTGGCCCGGGTCAACGTGGACAGGCCCGAGACCCAGAGGTTACGCGACAGCGTGGCCTGCTTGTTGTTGCTCGAGCTGGAGCCACTACCATTGCCGGCACTCGAACCGGATCCCGACTTGCTGCCACCGGCACTCGATGCAGTGGAGGATGCGGCACCACCTGCTGCTGTTGTCGATTTCTCTGCAAGTTCCATGTAAATAATAATATTGGAAGAGAGATATGGTCAGAGCTTTGAGTGGCTTTAACTGGTTAACTGTTTTGGTTTATGATACGTTTTTTTTTTAAGGGAAGCATATTGTGAACGCACACACTTTGTAGCTGCTGCAGATGTTGGAGTTTAGAGCGCAATCGCACGATAACCGACTAACGTCACCGAAGCTAAGAGAGTATGAATTTGATTGGGTCGCTGGTGAAGATCAATCGCTGCTGCTGTAGGCTGGCTTCTAGATGGTGTAGGGGTCCAGGATAGAGACAGGAATAATAAGAGGGAGTTTCCAGGTAGTGATTTAATGTCCGCAGCTTCAACCGTCTTCCATCATTGCCTCCAGATAAGTAGTTGTGTGTTCTATCTAGTAGAAAGCGAAGAAATCCAATGCAGGAGTGACCGGCTGAGAAGAGTAAGTCTCTGTAACTCCTAGCGACAGCAAAGGAAAGTGTCCCTCCATTTGCTCTGCAGACCAAGATCTCCAACTTGTCTATTAAGTTCCTTTTGGAGGATGCTCCGCACAGTATAGTATCTGCTAATATGTCTGTTCCATGGAGAACATCAGGATTCATGCTGGATTAGTAGTAAGAAGTTTCCGTTGAAGTAAACTGGAACAAACACTGTTAGATTAACTGCTTTCGCCTGAATCGATATATCCATCGCCGCTCTTTGGCCACAAAAGGACGCCTCCTTGGTGGTTCCACGTACCATGTCCAAGTCCCAACCAAATTCACACTCTCTTGCACAATGTTTAAAAGATGTTCCTCTATGGTTTTGCTCAACTTTTGTCAAGTTCATCGACAGTTAACTGGGTTCATGCTGGGCCCGCACATCCCCAACGCAAGACCTTTCGAACATACCGAACTTATCCATGCTAAAACTTTAACTTAAATTACCTTTATCATCCTTTTGGTTCGATGATTTTCCAGACGACTTTGGATCGCTGTATTCCATAACAAATCGTGCGACAGCATAAAAAGACAAAAAAAACGTGGCTTAAGAAAGGAATATATAACAGCAGGGTTAATATATACTCTACCTAGAGTCCTTCTTGTCAGATGATTTTTCATCCCTTTTCTTAGAGCGTGCGCCATCGTCATTTTTCTTGTCGGCATCCTTTGAGTTTGACTTTTCGGATTTGTTGGCCGGTTTCACTGAGAATCATTATTCTTAATATTAGTCTATCGCTCAAAGCAGGCTAACTACGTAAACATTTTAAAGCAACGAATAAGAGCAAGATGAATATAAATTCCCCTGATGGAAAACCGATTTAAAATGTAAATATACTCGCAGTAAGAAAACAAGGCATCTTGATTGCAAAACCGGAAAGACTGATTTAAAAGCATGTATACAATTACTAACCATAAAAGTGGAATTTTCTATTGCTTTGAGTTATACAATTGGATCAGTATACAATACTGGATATGCAAGTTTGTGTAAAAACTCACCAGATTTAATAGACTTGTCGTCGGGTGCCTGAATTGAATACAAATTGGATTAGAATGCATTCATTTAAAGGGCAGAAAGTGAGAAATACCTCATCGTGCAGCAACTTCTGCTCATCTTCACCGATGGTCAGGTTGATGGACTCATCGTTGTCCATGTTTCCGGTGTCCCCGGTGTTTTCCTCCTCTCCTTGAATATCATTGATGGCCTCCTCGTCCTCGCCATTGTTCTCCGCCTCTGCCTGGGCGTCTCCTTCGGCCTCGCCATCGCCATCGCCATTCTGGTGCTCATCATCGTACTCCTCATCCTCCTCATCTTCATCCTCGTCATCGAGGATCACACACTCATCGTCCACATCGCCGACTTGGTCAATCTCATGCCCATCATCGTCGGCATGGTGGGAGAAGTCGTTGCCGTTCTCGAAGTCATCCTGCTGCTGCTGTTCCTCCTCGTCGGCATCGAGGGGCTCTTCCTTGATGATTATCTCCGAATGCGGCTCCTTCATGGGCATGGCGATCGGTTTCTTCCCCTTCACACCCGGCACAATCAAGTGGCTGGCCGGGTCTAAGCCCTCCGCTTTGAGGGACTACCAAAACGGTTACACCCGGATGTCAGACACGGTATTTGCACAATTATCTCTATTCCCAGCGGAACTGGGGTGTAACTAAAGCTATATAAAATGTACACATACCTTTTCCAGACGGTCGATGAGCACAGCCTTTGGGCCCACAGTTTCCAATTTGCGTTTCTCGAGTTCACTTTTTAGGTCGCATACCCGCAACTCTGCGATTTTCTTTCCTACCTCGGGCATTGTTTATTCTTAAAAATCACTGGGCCAGTATGCAATCAGTTAATGAAAACTTGTTCACTTTAATATTCCGGAAATTATTCTTTCTTTCTGCCTTCTCGGAAACGTGTGAAAATTTTCTGTCAAGAGTCACGGATACACACACAAAACAGGGCTGCCATGATTCCCAAATATCTATCGAAGATGGCGACCTCAGGTTTATTGGTATTTTTAAAATACCAACATTTTCACAAGATATCGTATGTTTTCTATTTAAATTTAATAAATTCATCTCTTAAATTTAATAATTTTTAAGTTCTTTGTCACATTAAGCATGGCCTTGAACTTAACAACAAAAACCAGAGTTTTAAAAGTTTATGATAAAATATGCTAATATCTGCTGAATTAATTTCATGATTAACTATTAAATTGGTTTTACAAAGTCTGATAAATAACAGTATTGTATGTACAAAGTAAAAGGCATTGTTTGCTTACTAAGGTTTCTGCTTGTGCCAGAACAAATATACTGTCAAGGATTCAACCAATTTAATGGACAAAAGTTAATGCAATAAGTAAATGAAACTGAAAATTAAAATATTTTTTTTTAAATATATAGAGTGCACCAAATGACAAATAAATAACAAAGGCAATAAATATTACTAGATTATTATAACTACACCTAAAAATATTGGAAGTAAGAATAGCTCCTGTTCAAATATTTTAAAAACTAAACTAATTACAAAAACTGGACTTTTAAGTTCCCACGTTTATAGGGAAGGCTAATAAATAAGTTTTTTGATTTTTTCAAGAAACTTCATTATTAGCTTATAACTAACAAATCAATTTCGTATCACCTATTATAATAATATATTTTTTTTGTTTCTTGTTTAATTTTGTACACCCTTTAAGCTTGACTGCTACCGATATTTTTTCTTTAACCTCCCATCACTAGCAATAGTCCATCCCTAAAGCAAAGGCAATCTTTGGTTTTCGTGTTTATGCAGAAATAGTGTTTTCGGTCGATTATTGCCGGTTTTTGTGAATCTTCGCCATGTCAGTGGTGATTGAAACAACGCTAGGCGACCTGACCGTCGACCTGTTCACCAGCGAGCGGCCCATCGCCTGCCTGAACTTCCTCAAGCTGTGCCGGCTAAAGTACTACAACTTCAATCTCTTCCACACCGTGCAGCAGGGCTTCATCGCCCAAACCGGCGATCCCAGTGGCGCCGGAGACGGCGGCTCCTCCATTTGGGGGGTGGTGGAGGGCCTGCAAAAGCGCTTCTTCGAGGCGGAGTACCTGCCCAAAATCCAGCACTCCAGCGCAGGGATGCTGTCCCTGGTCAGTGCTGGCAAGAACCTGGTGGGCTCCCAGTTCTTCTTCACGCTGGGCGAGAACCTGACGTCGCTGGATGGCAGCCACTGCGTCATCGGGGAGGTGGTGGAAGGCCACGAGGTGCTGCGCAAGCTGAACGACGCCATTGTGGACGATAGCTTCCGGCCGTACCAGGACATCCGAATCACACACACAGTGGTGCTGGAGGATCCGTTTCCCAATCCGCGCGGCCTTCAGGCTCCCAGCCGATCCCCTTCGCCCAGTGCGGAGCGCATGCAGAACGGACGCATTGCAGCCGACGAGGATATCGACGACACGGATGGCATGACCATGGAGGAGCTGCAGGAGATGCTAGCCGAAAGGGAGGCCAAGGCGCGAGCCACAATCCTCGAGATAGTCGGTGATCTGCCGGATGCGGACATGGCCCCGCCAGAAAACGTTCTTTTTGTGTGTAAACTCAACCCGGTCACCACCGACGATGATCTGGAGATCATCTTTAGTCGCTTCGGCGTGGTCAAAGGATGCGAGGTGATTCGCGACCGCAAGACAGGCGACTCCCTGCAGTATGCCTTCGTGGAGTTCGAGGATCAGAAGTCCTGCGAGGCGGCCTATTTCAAAATGGACAATGTTCTAATCGACGATCGTCGCATCCACGTGGACTTCTCGCAATCCGTTTCGAAGGTCACCTGGCGGGGCAAAGGACGCGGGATAGTGGGCGACGATGGCAGGCTAGACTTTGATAATTTGCGGGACAACAAGGATCGCAGGAAACCCAACAATAACAATAGCCGGGACAGACCGGAGGACCGCAGAGATCGTAAGCGGTCTGAGGATCCAAGAAGCAGAATGAGCTCTGTGGAGCGGCGAACGGCGAGGGAGCAGCGCCACCAGCAGCAGAATAAACGATCCGACGATCGTCACAATGTGCGAAGGCGCTCGAGATCCAGGGAGTCAAGGGATCAACGACGCTCTAGGTCAAGAAATCCCGACCATAGACAAGTCAGGGATGATCCAGATCGAAAGCGTTTCAACGATCAAGAGCGAGGGGATCGTAATATTAGGAGACCTTCAAGGTCTCGAGATCTGTCACAAAAACGGCGATCTAGATCAGGTGATCGTGTAAAAAGAAGACGTTCTGGATCAAGAAATAGAACCGAAAGAAGACGCTCTAGGCCTAAAGATCAAAACGAAAGAAGACGGTCTAGGTCTAAAGATCTAATAGAGCGAAGGCAACCTCAATCCAAAGATCGCAATGAACGCAGGCGGGTCAACTCGCCCCATGACAGAAGGCACTACGAAAATGGCGGTGGCATGTATAGAGAAACAGTCAGAAACCAAGGCAGATCCCCAGAGCGAAGGTAAAACGTCTATTAGCAATTTTAATTGGCCAGTTAAAAACTCACAAATTAATCTTTTTACAGACCGCAATCCAGGAATCGCGATGGACATGGACTGAATAGAAATTCAAGCCGGAACAAGAGTCCCGAGAGAAAGCGCAAACATTCAGTGTCTGTGGAAAAGAGCAAAAAGCGAGCTAAGAAGAAATCGAAGCGGCCAGCTAGCAGCAGTTCAGACTCCAGCGAAAGTTCCTCGGATTCCGAGAGCGAATCGGAAACCACATCTTCAGATAGTTCCGACGAAAGCTCCAGCAGTTCCTCCTCATCGGAGGAGGAGCGCAGAAGGCGCAACAAGAACAAGAAAACAAAGTCGAAGAGCAGTCACAAGTCAAAAAAGAAACAGCATAGGAAATAAACGTAAACGCTATTCTTGAACAACAGAACAAAACAATCTTGATTAGGGATAATGAAATTATAAAATAGTTCTATTTGTTGCGGTTCTGGACCTCGGATTCCAGAGCCGCCATCGCAGCTCCACCACAGCATCCTTCCGTGTTCTTTTCGCCGCGTCGCCTGTGCGGTTTCTCGATGACTGCGTCGGGATTGAATACCACATTGTCCAGTCGCGTTGTCTCTGGCGTAATCCTCAGTTCTAAAAATAAAAGACTTCAAGATTTAAGTTTGGCGCGGAGGTTTATGTAATGCGGAGCCACTGACCATAAACATCGTTCTCCTTCTTGAGGGCTTGGATAACATTTGTGCGCAGCTCTAGGTCCACATCCTGCGCCAGTTTGATCATCTGTAGGGTAACAATATGTAATAAGCATAGAAATAACCACTAAAATCACTACCAACCTTCTGGATCTCATCCTCGCTGGTTTCGCTGCGATTCTGCAGGAAAGACTCGTTGATTTTTAGTCGTCCAGCTGCCAGAGCATTGACATCGCCTTGGAACACGTACTGCCGTGTGCGGTGCAGCTTCTTGAAGGCACTGAGCACCTGCAAGCCAAGGATTTTACATATTTATTTATTGTTTTGAGTGTAAATTTACCTCTCGTCGCAAGTTGGACATTTTTGTATGTCTGACAGGGTTGCCAGGTTTCTGTCTTCGAATTGGTTTTTTTCTGGTATATATTTTAAGTGGCCGTTTCTTCGCGGTATTTTTCCTAAAAATACTTAAACGGCAATAGGAATATTGTAATGAGTTTAAAATTTATTGAAAGTTAAATGATTGTATAATTAATATTTAAAACAGAGCTAAAATATTATTAAATAAAATTTTTGATTGACAGTCAATTGTTTTGTTGAGGTCCTCTGCTTACTGTTTTAGCGAGAATAGTTTGAAATATGGTATATTTAATTTTAAAAGTTGTGGTCAACCTGACCTGTTAATTTAATTTGGATCAGTATTTTTTATTTTTTAACCAATGCAAATATCGAAACTAGTAAATCGATATATATCGCTATTCCGTCCACCGCCAGCAGAAGCGGTCACTCTGACGCTGTTTATAAAAAATTTTTAACGTTTCGGTCGCAAATCGGCGCGCGGATAACTAACGAAAAGTAGTGGCTAGTGCAAATCGGGACGGAACGAAATGCGGCATCATATAGTTAACTAAGTTATCAATTAGCGTGTGAAATCAAGCAGTGAGGCGCCACGACGATCTTAATTCAGGAAAAGCTAGCCTCCCGGAGCGCCGATACAATAGAGTTTCGGGCTGCTGCCCATAGGAATTCCCCCAGCCTACTGGCGACTGTCAAAAATAGATGATAAATTTTTAAGTGAAGCGTGCATTAGATAAAAATATAAGCAAAACTGGCTACCAGCGACAAACTGTCCACTTTTTTCGTGGCCATGGACGATGAGGAGGAGGAGGAGGTCACGGATCTGAAGCTGCAATTGTTCCACAATACAGTACGCGAGCACATTGTAAGTGGTTTTTATCGCTCTACCTTCATCTCATCCCCTTTTCCCTTTCCACCACCCAAAACTCTTCCCACCCCACAACATTGAAAACAAAAAAACAACAACAAATCAGGGCGCAGCTGCCCCTATTGTTATTGTTCTAACTGTACATGTGGCTACGTGTGTGTTGAGTATACGCACTGTGCGACTCTTTAAGTTACAGACTGTGCCTTTTGATAAACAGAAATTGGAAGTTGGGACCTTCACAGAAATTTATTTGTTTATGGTCTCTTATCGTATTCGGACTACTCTACTCAGCGTTTTTTAGCGCCTGCGTTTTGGCTTTGTATATATTTGTTATGGGCAATTATCGGGGGAGGAAGTGGCGGCGGCGATAGCGAACAGCCACTCTCTTCTTGCACTTTCTATTTGGGCTGCGAAAATTATCACGCAGACACACGAACAGATACCCACACGGACACCTGTTGTTAATCAGAAAGTTTAAACATAATCGAAGATTCGACGGTTCGATACTTGGTAAAAACAAAAGATAATAATAACTAAATGGTGCCTGGAGATTTAAAATTTTTAATTTGAATTTTGTACAAAAATATTGAATTCCTAACATGTTTAAATGGTTTGTTTATTTTATTAATTACTATTGGAACGTATCATTATTCATTTTTGTTACCTATGTAGTTATCAAAATTAAAGCACAAATCAATTTTGTTAAACAATTTAATTATGAATTAGCTTTCGAGTTCTTAAAAACTAATTAATGAATTTAAAACGGACGATACAAACACATAATTGATGTGTTTTCAAAACTGTTTACTATAAAATGATGACTGCAATATAACCATTTGGTTTCGATTTGTTAAAGGGTTTTAAATTCCCTATTGGCTTCTTGGTAAACCAATATTAATCGTATTGATGTGTTATAAGCAAAAATGGTTTCCAGGTTCCTAGAAATCAAATAAATCGATAGGAAAAACAATAAACTCAAATAATTTTATAGCTCTTTCTTTAAGGTTTCCCATAGTCAGAAAAGTTCAGCTGGCAGAACTTGCAATGCAAATCAAAATTAAGCGGTTAAATCAAAAACAAAGGCAACAACAGCAAAAGCATCAAGTGAAAGTGTTTCATTCGAGCTACTATTTATAGAAATTTTAGGCGGGTTATAACAGAAGCCAGAGATTTATGTATATAAACAGAGTGCACCATATATAAAATACACATGTTTATTTGTTTGCGCAAGGCATTAATTTCCCTTTGTACAAAATTTGGTTAAATGCTCAACACTTTTGCAGACCAGATTTCAAGTGCACGGCTAGTGGTCACGATTTTGTGTCGTCTGGGACTTTGAAAGTGTCTGCTTGTCGTGACCAGCTGTTGGCTGTTGTTTAAACACATTTAAAAACTGTATGAATAAACTTGCAGAGAGACAAGTTCTTTTTTATGCTTCTGATGACTTTTACCTCTATACACATTTCTTTTATTCAGCGACAATGTGCACGGGTCTGTAGAATTGTTGAGCTGGTTCTGCCTGGCCAGGAAATGGAAACCGGTTTTTGTCAGTGGTTCTTGTTGCATCGGGATTGCCGAAAATTGAATAATTCGTCGCCGAATGTGAGTCAACCTACGAGTACGTGACGAGTGGGACTCGCCCAGTGTGAATTCAAATAATAAATAAATGCAAACAAGCCAAAGCACGCATAAATAATGCAGGAATCTAATGCCAAACCCAAATTTTAACCACTAATTCCAGCAATGTGTAGGTTTCCCACTTAAAAGTCGAAGGAAGTACTTGGGAAATATGAACTGGTTGTGTAACTTGTGTTCTTAATCATTTTCAAAGCAATGTTCTTTGGTTCTGCTCGCCGATTAGAAGACTTACTTTGTGTTCTTCTATAAAAAAATTCAAAAGAGACCTTTAAATGCTGTTCCCCTCTTTCGGACGCCCCTTTTTAGAAAATTAATTTCACTTGGAGTAATTAAAAGCAATTGAGGCAACTCACATCTGGTGTGTAAAGTTGCTTGGAGGTAAAAATATTTTTAAAATTGTCTCGCTTGTAAGATAACTATATTCCACAAGTGTAAGATCTAAAATGTTGTCGGCTTACAATGAGATGTGTAAAATTAAACAGAGTTTAAAATTTAAATATAAAAGATTTCAAAGGATCATAGTAGGCATTAACATTTAGTTCAAACTTCCTCATTATAAGCATGCTTCAAATACCCCGATTTTCTACAACTATTGGGTATTGAAAAAGTATACGAATAATTCGTTGCCCATTCACCGGCAAAGTTGTCTGCAATACAAGCCAAAACCCGTCCGACTGGCAATCCCTCCTTCTGTTGCCCATAATGTCGCCGATTTCGCCTGCTTCTGGCTGCATTTTAGTTTTGGTTTTGGGCGTTGCTGCTATTTATAGCCAAGTCGTCGTCCACATTTAATGGGCGTGTTTGTTTCGCCTCACGAGTTCATGTCAAGTCATTGACTCGATGCTCGCCTACGATCGCAGTGCTGCTAATTTCGTTTAGTTTGGTCAAATCGCTTGGAGCTTGACAAATGCTGTTGCTTGTAGCACAGTGCACTTGCACGTTTTCCCGGCTGATAAGTGTTAAACTAAGCTTGAAGATCGCTGGCTCACTTTGTTTTCATTCAGGAATGCTGGCTATGCGAGTGTATTGCTACAAAGGTGCTCATATCACTGGGTATTCGTCGCCTACGTGTTCCAAGTTCAACACGTCACAGTCTGTAAAATACAGTGCGTTTCATAATTGAAAACGCAGAAATTAGGTCGATATCATATTGAATTTCTTTGCTCATATAAAAACCGTTTCAAATTATTTACTGAATTACTAAAGTATACAACTTTTTACTTAATAAAGTATTGTTTAAATGATGTATTAATTAAATTATGTATCAGATAGTTTCCCTAAAGCCTTATAGTTTTGATTCAAAGTGTATCTATATTTTTCCATGATCTATACTTGGTTTCTATAAATAAACGAACACACTATTGATGGCAAGCTATTTGCGTCTCTATATTTAATTTTTTATATTTGTCCACATTTTTGGTGGGTTGGCAAAGAAAACTGTTTAAATATTTACTTCAGAATATGTGGAGCTCTAAGAAGGCCACTTAAAATGGCAAGATGAAAGATTGGAGTCCGAAAATAAATTAAAGATAATTTGATTTAATTGATCTGATCAAACGCAGTCAGAAATAAAGTTAAAAGTTAATTGGAATTCGTGTTGGATAGCGCATAAGAGTATCTCACAGATACCAGTGAAAATATCTCGAATAACAAACAAAGAATAATAAAACAATGCAGGGACGTGAGTATAAATTAATTGTTTTTTGCTCTCTCTGCGAATTTTGTACGTTTTTTGCTAGCTAGAACATGAAAAGTATCTTTCGTTAATGATTTATTTGTGTGCCTAGTCTTGTGTGTGTCTATTTATTTACGCTTTGTTTTGTTTTTCGGTTTTCACAAATATGACGTGTGCCATACGATTGGCATCTGTTTCGTGGTCATAAATAATAAATGACCAACAGTTTGTGGGTCCAATGCTTGGAAAATCACTGATGCAGATTCCGATTTCGGACCTACTCGAATTTCACTAACTATTAAGCCAGCAGATAATCACATAATGTTTGAAGTACTGACATTCATTGGGCTTTATATGACTGCCATCGGTCTAGTTCTTATCAAGTGTTTCGGGTTTTGTCGTCGGCCACTGATAAGCTTTCTATTTGGCCTTTGCTCGCAGACGAAAAGTAGCTACATATGTATATTGGCTAAATTGGCGGTCATAATAATTCATCGATTGCTTGTTTGTTTATGGTGATAAAGGGTTGTAACCTAGGAAACTCTTAGCTAGCCAAGAAACTTATTTTTAAAATACAACCGGAAATTGAAAACATATTTACCGTTGCCTTCCCCACACACAAAAGTTCCAAATCATTGTGCCAATATTATGGAAGATAAGACCCTGAGACACTTAAAACACCAGACTTTGACACCTAACTGAATCATGTACTATGTGTGTATCAGTATCAAGAATTAATCTATTCACTTAGCTAGATTAATACAGATTTTCACAAGTTTATGCTTCTGAAAGTGTTTTTGGCTCTCATGTCTACACAGTTGGCGGCGACTAGAATGACAAATATTTACAAAACAAAACAAAAGAAATGCGTGGCTGTCTATGTTTACTTTTTGACATATGTTTAAAAAAAGTAAATGTGGGGAAATGTGTTATGAAACCTATAATAAAATAAAACAAAGCAGCAGTTGCAGGTGGACAAAAAAAGTATATATCGAATTATAGCTAATGCCATAGAATTTACAAAAGGAAAAAGGCAAATGCGTCTACATCTACTTCTGTTTTAACGTCATTCCCTAAGAACAGCTAAGTAAATGAGGGTGTATGTTTGGCGAAAATGATAATGAACAGTTGCAGGTGTTAAAAGAAACAAAATAAATCAATTTAATTAAAAACAAACGCAAATAAATGCGTTGCTATCTAGCTTTTGTCGTATTGGTATGATTTTTTAAACGCAAGTATATACTTAATACCTATTAATAGATTATTTTTTTACTAGCTTTAATTGTTATGTTGTTCTTTGCAGATATTCCTGCTACTGATCATCTTGCTGTACTTCAGCTCGTATGTGGTTGTCTCACGTTTTCGGAGGCGCGATCGTGACGATCTCTATTCGAATGACGAGGACGAGGTGCTGGTCTATCGCATAAGGTAAGGCATCCAATGGTCAACAACCTGTGTGCCGCTAATTGCCGAGTCACCAGAGTGCATTCGCAATAATGAATGGATTGTGTTTTTTACCCAGCTTTTGGCTTTGCACATTCACACTGGCCGTGGCCGAAGGGGCTGCCATGCTGCTGCCCGTTTCCATCGCCAGCAACGAGGTGCTGCTCTTGTACCCCAACAGCTACTATGTGAAGTGGCTCAACAGCTCACTTATACAGGGTAAGTAAGGGACAAAGGACAAGTCATCCAAGACATGAAGAATAGACGTTAAAAATAAAAGGGACACTTGAAAATGGCCACGTCTACTAGGACTTATAAATTATTTGCAAAAGGATTAAGTTATCAATAGTAAAAGGGCTATTTTTTAATTAGGCTGTTCGTCACTACATTAACGCACTTTAACAAATAACCTTATAATTACCTGAACACAACTTAACTAATGCCTAAGAACTTTTCTCCATAATCGAATGTTAAATACAACTTTTATTTATATTCTTCTGTATTAGATTTCAAATTGACCAATGTGATAATATAATAATATATATATAATATATAATATATTCTTAATATGATCAGCACCTACCCCGTTTTCCTGTAGTCTTATTGCAGCCATAAATATAAATTTCAAAGTTTGATATCATATATTTTGATGATAACTTAACTTTCGTTCCTACAAAGAACCTTAACTAATGTATATATATTAACTCTTTTGCAGGCCTGTGGAACCACGTATTTCTGTTCTCCAATCTATCGTTGTTCATCTTCCTGCCGTTCGTCTATTTGTTCTCGGAATCCACGGGATTCGTGGGTCACAAAAAGGGCATTCTGCCGCGTGTCTACGAAACCTTTACAGTATTCATGCTGATGGCCATTATTGTCCTGGTACTAACTGCCGTCCTAAGTGCAGTCTTTGGCATTGAAAAGTTTCAATTCTTTTGGTTTCTAAGTGAGTATATGCAGGGGCGCGGACGAAATGATTGTCAAAGTCAGTTGCAATTGCAATTCCGCGCACCCACTACTACTACAAGCCCATCCCCAAATTGGGGTGGGTTCTAGTGCACAATGCATTGCTAATTTCCGCTTTTCACGCTTCACAGATTTAGGCAGTGTTCACCTGCCGTTCCTTTATTCGTGTGTCTCTTTTCTGGGCGTGATGCTTATGCTGAGTGAGTATGATATACACAGATAAATTAATTCTAATGCTTCTCCACTTCGTCATCCAACTGCTTGATGTACTTGTCAATGTAGGCCAGCTGATTCGGATTATGTTCACGTGCCTTGGCCACGCTCTCCTCGAACTTATCCACCTGGTTTAAATGCTTATAGGCATTGGCCTGGTACAGCCAGGCACGCAGATTAGTCTCCTGCAGGTTCTCCAGCACGTGTTGACAGTCCTTTAGGGCGCGTTTGTAATTGCAAAGTCTGGAAGTTATTAGAAGTATTGAGAGCAATTAAAAAAAATATATATATATATAGAGACACTATATTAAGTCAAACAATTTTATCTCTAGAATAGTTAATAAAAGCCTGAAAGATAGATATATGATAAACTGCATTAAGTCTGACTACCATCAAACCTATAATATCTCAAATTAAATAATAAGTTTTACAACTCACTTGATGTAGCACAAGGCGCGATTGTTGTAGGTTATAGCACTGTTCTTGACTTTAATGATGGCCTTTTCGTAGTGGATAATGGCCTTCTCGTATTTCTCGTTGCGAAAGGCTTCGTTTCCTTGACTAAAGAAAGGTTTTAATAAACTAAAATCTTAAAGCCGACCCTATTTCTTACGCTCTCTCTAGCTCTGCCTCGTATTCGGATTTGGCACGCGCCTCAGCACGTTCGTTGGCATCCCGTTCCACCTGATCCATGAAGCTTTGCTGGTCCAACACCTTGGGCTGAGCCTTATTGTCCTCCTCGGTGGGCTTCTTGTTGATCACTGTGCGATTTTGGCGCACTTTTAGATGCACTTTGTCCACGTCCAGTTTGTCAAAGTCGATCTTTTGCTTGGGCTCGCCACCTGCTCCATTGTCTGCCTGAAAATCATCTTCCAGGGGGCCTTTGTTGTTCAATATACTATCGATCTTTGCAAGAGTAGCCTCGAATTCGGCAAAATCATCCCCGTCCTTGCGGTTCGAGTCGAGCACCTGCAGAGACGCCTTCAGCTTGTCTACGACTTTATCGCTTTCGTTATCCATTTTTTAGTTTTGAGAGACACCCGGTTTGGTTCCTGGTTAGTTCAAAAATAAATACGATTCGACTGCTTCGAACGGACTGCAACTTCTAAGTTTACTGGGATGTCATAGAAACGGATTTTATGTTTACTGCACATAGAAAAAAATCTGGTCGAACCTTCCAATAGTTACAAAACTTAAATTTATAATAAAGCGTTCACGTTAGTCCATTTTTTTTGCAGAATGTTTGTTTGTTGTTTGAAACTTACGAGTTGGTTAGGCCGCGAATTCTTCAGAAGAAATAATCTTTCAAGTTTATTATTTTGGTGTTTTTAAATTAAATGCTATAACAAATGCGTTTATCTCCAGCTTTTCAGTAGAGAGTCTTAAGTATAATATTTAAATTTATAAAATAAGTACATTTTTCAAGTGTAGTAACCCTGGCCACCCGTCTTGTTTTCTTGCAGTTTGCACCCCCTATGGCTTTGTGCGTCTGTTTGGCGTTGTCAACCAGGTGCTGGTGCGCCCCTTGCTGCTGCGCGACGTCAACGAGGAGTTCAGCGCCTTCTACATGGAGGAGGCGAGTGTGAAGCGCAAGTTGGCCCACATCGAGCTGCACAATGTGAGCATATCGGATGCCGCCGCCAACGGAGGTCGCCTGGGCAACGGGATTGGACTGGGAGTGGGATTGGGACGTGGACGCAGCTTCTTTCCCCAGCCACTGCTGCAGGCACATCTCTACCAGCGTAAGCCGATGGCCAGCGATGTGGGCGAGCTCAACGAAAGACTGAGAGAACTGGACTCCGAGCGCAAGGAACTGGACAAGCTGCGCAAGTCGAGCACCTTCCAGCGCACCTTCGTCTACCCGCTGGCCATGCTGCTGCTGCTCTTCTGCACGGGCGTCACCATTCTGCTGGTGGTGCAGAACACGCTGGAGCTACTGATAGGCATCAAGGCGCTGCCACTTAGCACGAGGGTAGGTTGTGAATGAGTTTTGGATATGGTTAAGATTGCTAGCTGACATTGTTTCTCCTATTCAGCAATTTACGCTAGGCATTTCATCGCTCTCCAAACTGGGACCCTTTGGCGCCGGCCTGGAGGTGTGTCTCATCTTCTACCTGGGCGCCACCTCGGTGGTGGGCTTCTACAGCATGCCCTTCATGCGGAATGTGTGCCCCAAGCGGCGGCAGACATCGCTGCCACAGCTGATGCTGAACTGCGGGTTCATGCTGGTTTTGTCCTCGGCGTTGCCGCTGCTTAGCAGGATTATAGGTGAGAACATCAGAACATACTATTCCAATATATATGATAATAACATTGTTCCCCCTCAGGCATCACTAACTTTGACCTGCTGGGCGACTTTGGGGCCATCGAATGGCTGGGCAACTTCCAGATTGTGCTGCTCTACAATCTGGTCTTTGGGACCACCACTGCCCTGTGCCTGGCCAACAAGTTCACGGCCACGGTGCGCCGCGAGCTGAGAGCCCGGTTAGTGGAGAACTATGTGCTCTTTACTAACTACATGAGCTTCATCAACTGATATTGGCGCAAGCGACACGACAACGCGTTCTTTGTCCACCGCCACCTGGTGAGACGTCTTGTCGAGTCGCCGCTGAAGAGCCTGAGCCTAACTAGTTTCTATACCAAGTATCGTAATCTTAGTCGTCGTAAGAGCAGTCGCAATACCACCGCTAGTCGCAAGGCAAACGAAATGAACTGTTGAGAAATAAGCAAGACATGGGAAGATGGAAGGCAGCTGAAGCTATATAATATACCTTTACATATGTTATATGATCACGCGTAGTTGTGCAGAACTGATACTAATATTTAAATGTTGCGCTGTTCACTGTTGTGCTTAATTGTTGTACTTTATACAGAGTCCTCGAGAGGGGTACCCGCATATCACCACGCAGCCAGTTGATGTACCAAGATTAATGTATTCGCCAATATATATCGTGTAAATAGATAAAGTTATTGTGCAACATAAGCCGCAGTCAGCCGTTGCAGTAGAAGTAGGCTTAAAATTCGTGTAATTCACTCAATCTCTTGTCGTTTAGAGTCAAGTGTTGAATTCGATTTCGCATACATGTTTTTCGCTGTTCATCTACGTATTTGAGTTTTATATATAAGATTTTAACAATGTTCCTTAAGCAGCGCATCGACTGAGGCGCCTTCATTTCATTTTATGCATACTCAACTCTGTAACCCAATATTCACACAATCACACACTTACAAGCGTCTACAACTTATGTGATAAAATATAATAAACAACGCATTTTACTAATTTAATCGACATGTCATGGCTTTTTAATTACACGCTATCTCAATGGCTTCCATTTTATCTGACAATGGTTTTCTTGAACTTCTATTTCAGCTTGACCTCGCTGTTCCTGTTGGCTTGAATGCTTGTTTCCAAAAGGGAGCTGATGTTTTAAGGAAACCTACCTGCAATATTGCTGTGATTTAATGAACTAAAATAAAAGTTTAATGAAGCTGTTAGGATAAATAAATAACTAAAGTAAATATATCTTTTGGATGTTTTTATTTTTTTACACAACTAAAAACAAGTTATTTGAAAACTAATAATGATAATAATAATAGAAAGTATTTTAAAGGGAACACCATATTACAGATATATGTTAAATGTCAAAAAATGTGTTTTCCATATCAAAATAGGTGCCACAATCTAGTTTAGATATGACTTTAATGACTTTAAAATTGGATTGCCACAATCGGATTCCGTATGTGCTCAGTACTTTAAATTGTATATCCACCACTAAAATGGCGCTTTTATTCGATTTCGATAGCTCACCACGAAAGTGACAGACTATCGGGAGACATATCGCGCGCCACCTATCGCACCTTGAGCCTCATCACTAGTTTTTCGCACATCTCTGGAACATTTTTGTGGCATTTTTTGTGTGTTGGCGTCTTATTGTCCAGTTTTTAGATTTTAATTGAAGCAAGGAGCACTGGGATAACACGATGCTGAGCCGCAAGCGCCGGGCGAGCAGCATCTCCAGCCGGCAGGACGAAGATCCGCTGCAGCTGGACGACTCGACGCCGGAGCAATCGCCGGTGCAGCAGCAGACGACGACGACGACACAATCGGCGCGAAAAAAGCGCCGCCTCGATCCCACGGAACTCTGCCAGCAGTTGTACGATTCTGTGAGGAATATCAAGAAGGAGGATGGCTCCATGCTGTGCGACACCTTCATTAGGGCTCCCAAGCGCCGCCAGGAGCCCTCCTACTACGACGTGGTGGTGAATCCCATCGATCTGCTCAAGGTGCAGCAGAAGCTGAAAACCGACTCCTACGACGACCTGGACGATCTGATGGCCGACCTGGAGCTGCTCATTGGCAACGCCAAGGCCTTCTACAAGCCGGACAGCTGCGAGCACCAGGACGCAGTCGCCCTGTGGCAGCACATCCAGGTGCAGAGGCAGCGCATCATGGAGGCCAACGGCCTGGCGACGGAGGAGGAGCCCCGTGCCAGACGCATTTCGCGGCAGGTGCGCCGGATGACCAGCAGCACGGAGCCGGGAGGCGGGGATTCGACCGCGGCGGATGACGAGTACAATCAGTACGAGGAGCTTTTTGCCTCCATTATGACCGCCTCCGATCCCGTGGGCGACCGGGCCATGCACCGCATGTTCCAGCTGCTGCCCTCGAAGAAGATCTACCCCGACTACTATGATGTGATCGAGCATCCCATTGACCTGCGCTTGATTGCCACCAAAATCCAGATGAACGCCTACTCCTCGCTGGTGGAGATGGAGCGGGATCTGCTGCAGATGACCAAAAACGCGTGCCTGTTCAACGAGCCCGGCTCGCAGATCTATAAGGACGCCAAGGCCCTGAAACGCATCTTTACGCAGCGGCGTATCGAGCTGGAGACGGGCAAGGGTAAGCTGGCCAAGCGGATCAAGAGCTTGTCCAGTGCGGCCATAGCTGGTGGGTCTTACTAGTTAGGACAGTATATGTATATATATATATGAGTTATATACAATTCTAATACCTTTTCAGCACTAAAAGAGGAGGTGGACAGCTCGGACGACGAGGAGACGAGTAAAAAGGGAGAGGGTCCCATGTGGGCACTATTCGATCATCTGTACAATGCACCCGGAACTTCCGAGCACCCTGGCGTGACCGGCCCACCGCTGGGCAACTCCCTGTGGAAGCTGCCAGTGCGTCGCTTTCATCCCGAGTACTTTGAGCTGATCAAGAGACCCATCTCCATGAGCCAGATCCACACGAAGCTGAAAAAGGGCGACTATGCCAATATCAGTGATCTCACCGCCGACTTGTATCTCATGCTGGATAACGCCAAGAAGGCGTTTCCCCCCTCACATCGCACGCATAAGGATGCGCTGAAAATGCTGAAGCTGATGAACGCCAAGCTGGTGGAGGAGTCGCTGGAGGAGACGAGCGATCTGGACGAGGAGGACGCCGACGATATGGATACCGAGGTCTTTGCGACCAACTCGCAACCGGAGAGACGCAAGCCGGGCAGACCACGAGTCAACTCCAATTCCAACTCGAATGCCTCTCACACGCCGAACAACTCGAATTCGCCGAAATCCAATCGCATTGCCATCAATGCTGCGATTAAAAAGAAGATTCTGAGCATACAGAAATATCTGGTGGACTACTCGCTGGGCAACCGGCGGCCCATCGAAATGTTTATGGAGAAACCGCCGCGCAAGATTTACCCAGACTACTATGACATCATCCAGAATCCCATTGACATGAACACCATTGAGCACAACATCCGCACCGATCGCTATGCGGCCGTAGAGGACGTGGTGTCGGACTACCGACTCATGTTCTCCAACTGCCGGCAGTACAATGAGGAGGGTTCCAACATCTACGAGGATGCCAACACTCTGGAACGAGCCCTCAACGAGAAGCTAAAGGAGTTTCCCGGCTTGGTGGAGGTCAAGAAGCCCCAGCAGAAGTACAACAAGGTGGGCAGGAAGCTGAAGACCGCTCTCATAACAGAGCGCCTTTGGCAGTTCTACGAAACGGTGCGGGAGTACCAGGAGCCCAAGGGTAAGAGGCAGCTATCGCTGATCTTCACCAAGCTGCCGTCGAAGAACGAGTATCCGGACTACTATGACATCATAAAGGAACCCATAGATATGGAGCGCATTGCCCAGAAGCTGAAGCAGGGCGCATACGAGAGCTTGGACGACTTGGCTGCCGATTTCCTTCTAATGCTGGAGAATGCCTGCAAGTACAACGAGCCCGATTCGCAGATATACAAGGATGCGCTGGTGCTGCAGCAATTGACGCTGCAGCTGAAGCAACAACTTCGCACCGAGCGCGATTCCCTGCCGGATGTTCCCCTGGCCGTGCAGGAGCTCTTCCTCACGCTCTTCACCACGCTCTACAATCACCAGGACGAGGAGGGGCGTTGCTACTCGGATTCCCTGGCCGAGTTGCCCGAATACGATGAGCTGGGCGAAGGTCCCAAGGTGCGCGGCATATCCCTAGATCTTGTGAAGCGCAGGCTGGACAAAGGAGCCTACAAGCGGTTGGACATCTACCAGGAGGATATATTCGCCTGTTTGGAGAGGGCTAGGAAACTGTCACGCACAGATTCGGATGTATTTCAGGTTGGTAACGAACTAGAAATCCCAATTCCCTAATAAACACACAAAACTACTGTTACAGGACTCCATTGAGCTGCAGACCTACTTCATTCGCAAGCGGGACGAGCTTTGCAAGGACACGCTCAGCTCACCCGCCCTCAGTTTCACCCTGGAGCGCCTTTTGGCCGATGTGGAGGTGAGTCGCCAGCAAAAGGTGCAGCAAGAGGAGCAGGACCAGGAGCAGGAGAAGGAAAAGGAAGAGTTCAACGCCGCCAAGGGGGAGAGCATGACCATAAACCAGCAGGTGTTCTCGCCCGGCGACTACGTATACGTACAGATGCCGGAAAACAAGATACCCTCGATAGTTTGCATCGAGCGCCTGTGGACATCGCCCACCAATGAAAAGCTGATGCAGGCCTCGATCTTTGTGCGGCCACACGAAACGTACCACGTGACCACCCGCAAGTTCCTCGAAAAAGAGGTGTTCAAGAGCAGCCTCTCGCAGACCATCTCGATGGACAAGGTGCTGGGCATGTGCTATGTGATGAACATCAGGGACTACATCAAGATGCGCCCGGAAAGGCTGCCCGAGAAGGATGTGTTCGTGTGCGAGTCGCGGTACAACATCCAGGCTCGCTGTTTCAAGAAACTCAAGAGCTGGCCACCGATTCGCGAAGGTAGTTCGGTGAAGTTCGTTCCGCGTGAGCAGCCGCTGGAGCTGAAGCGCGTGATGTCCGTGTTTAAGGAGCGCCTGGAGAAGCACAAGGGCGAACTCGAGGAGCTCAAGCTGCAAGAGACGCTGGTCGAGAAGGAGAAACCGAATGTCTCCTGTGATCCGCCCGCCAATGCTGAGCATAGCAGCACCTACTACCAGCAGTACAACACGGTCTGCAGTGGGGCCATCAAAACCGGGGACTTTGTGTATGTGGCCACCCAAACTGGGAAGCAATCGGTGGCCCAAGTGCAGCAGATATGGGAGCAAAATGGAAAGTCCTACTTCAAGGGCCCCTGGCTGCTGCCGCCCAGCGAGACCCCGCTGCCCGCTCTGGGCAAGCAATTCTACCGCCAGGAGCTGCTGCTGAGCACCGTCGAGGAGGTCAGTCCGGTGGTGGGCGTTGTGGGTCGCTGCGCCGTCCTGGAGTACTCTGAATTTATTGGCTCCCGACCCACGGAGATTTCCGAGAGCGATGTCTACATCTGCGAGTCCGTCTACGATGAACTGAAGAAGGCTCTGCGCAAGTTGGCCACCGGCAACTTGCGCAAGTTCCAGCACAGTCCTGCCGTCACCGAGGACGAGATCTTCTACTTCAAGACCCCAATTAAGCCCTCCAAGGATGTGAAAAACGAGCTGAATGAGCTGGGTATGCTGGAGGACTCCATGGACGGGGATACGCCCTCGCTGAGCTCAGACATTGCGGCCATGTCCTCGCCGGCGCCTTCGGTGAACTCCACGCCACTGACCTCCAAAGTGAAGGCCGCCAAATCGGCCAAAAAGTGCCTCACTGGCTATATACTCTATTCCAGTGAGGTTAGAAAGAGTACGTTTGCTTTCTTGTACAACTTTCCTTAGCTAATCCACCTTTTTGTATATTTTAGGCATTTGCCAGAGCAATCCGGAAGCCTCCTTTGGCGACATTTCCCGCATGGTGGGCACCGAGTGGAAGAATCTCCCCTCCAGCGTCAAACAGAGCTGGGAAGATCGGGCCAGCAGGCAAAACGAGGAGACGGCGGCCATGCGGCGCGAGTTGGACGACGTCCAGAACAGCGCCAGTCCCTCGCCGCAGGTGTCGCAGGATGGCCCCGGCCAGGTGCTCACCTTCGAGTGCCAGTGGGACAAGTGCGACTTTCAGTTCGAGGAGCTAGCCGACTGCACGGAGCACTGCATGTCCGATGCCACTGGGCACATTCAGCGCAATCCGCAGGCGGGCATGGAGATCGAGTACATCTGCCTGTGGCGCAACTGCCCACGGATCAAGAAGTCCACGCAGGCCTTTCCCAATGTGCTGCGCCTCACCAAGCATGTGCGCGAGGTTCATCTGAGCAAGTGCGGCAAACCGGTGGCGGTGGCAGACCGCAGCAAGAACTTTGTGCCGCGCCGCCAGAAGCACGCTTCTCTGGCCGCCACAACAGTGCCTATTCCGCCCAGTCTGGCGCAGTCTCCGCGTGGTCCCAGCAATCTCGACGCCGTGCAGATGCAGCAGCAACAGCAGCAGCAGCAGAATGTGCATCAACAGATGCAGCCGCAAACGATAGTGCTGGGACCACCGCCGGAACCACTGTTCGTCACAGTGCCACCGCGCATCACTCGCGTCATCCACTCGGAGGCGTACATCAAGTACATCGAGAGCCTGCAGACCGGCAGCCACCTGAACGTGGCCACCTGCAACAACAGCTGGCGGCGGGCGCTGACGCACGTCACCCCGGCCCAAGTGGTGGCCAAGGTGGGCACGCCGCTGCCCGAGCAATGGATCGGACCCAATCTTCGCGACCAGGGCAACGTGGTGCAGGCTCTGTGCCACCTGCGCAACTTCATGGTCGACGACGTACTCCAAATACGGCGCAGCTGCAACTAGCCATTAGTAATCCTCTACAGCCCAAAGCGTTTCGAGTTCCAATGTTAAAATACAAGAGAAATCAGAAATTAAATCAAATCTATATTGATGGGCAGGGGCTTCGCTTTTGAATGTTAAGATCGATGACTCAATGTAGATAGTTATGTGGTGACCGACTTTATAGCTTTATTCGAATGGTTAAGTTAATCAATTGAAGCTGTCAGCAAATCAAAAGTATTTATATTTTAATCTAATTCCCTTGCAATTTAAACGATCAAAAAGCTCTATCATTTGAGTAATTTTGAAAGCAATAAAGGCTATTAAATAATTAAGTATTTTTTTCAAGAGATAATGACAATTTAAAGCTTAAACTTACCAGCAATTAAAAATAATTAGCAGCCAAGTAAATTGACTTTTTATTGTAGAGTATGTGATTAAGCAGTTTACATTTCAAAATAATTTATTAAATTGGAATAGCATAAAAAATTATCTTTGAGACTATAGCAGCTATCAAAATAATTGCATGCTGTATTTTTAACTTTTTAAATATTTAAAAGCTTTAATTCCCTACAAATCTTCAAAGCAATATTGGCCATTGATTAATGAAGTATTTTCCAAGGGAATGCACCCTTTGAATGATGCTTATACGCCCCTGTGCTCGCATATGTGACACGATTTATTGTCATTGAATGCCCAATTAAAACACAAGCGAGCATTTATTTGGAATTATAGCAGTTGCTAACATATCAATTTACCATACTTTGGATTTTATAAATATTTCCTAGCTTTAGTTCGTACGAGATATTGTAGGGAATCATATAAGCCCCCTTGAATGTTGCGCATACGCCCCTGTGTTCGCATATGTTCGCTTTTGTTATCAATTTGTCGTGGCGCTGACGTCATGGCAACGCTACTATTTTGATTATTTTTCGTGGGTTTTGTTTTGCTCCTCCGGTACGACAACAAACCGGTTCCCGAGCATAGAGTCACCCAGTTATTTTGTGGTGCTTATCTAATTGGGCCTCCGCTGCTCAGCGGTGCTCAGTGCCGCTCAGTGGCGCTCTTTTTCGCCTTCCTCTATAATTAAACTCCCATGTCATCGAGTTCGAAACTATCTGGCTATCCGAAATTCAGTCGTAGTCTGGCGCTTGAACACTGCAGACGCTGTTTATTGAGCATTTGTTTATAATAAATAAATTGTAAGGTACTAGCAACCAAAGGAGCTGCCATGTCGGAGGGCGAATCAAAGTTTGGCTTCAAGGATATGGAGAAGGCGCTGGAGACACTGAAGTTGCTGGAGGATCACGACATGCAGTATCGCAAGCTGACGGTGAGGGGATTGCTGGGCAGGGCCAAGAGGGTTCTAACAAGTAAGTGTTCCAGAGCCAAAGGTTCTTCTTCTTCTTAGCTCAATCCGTAATCCTCAATCCTGATCCTAGTGACCAAGGCGGAGGAGAAGCTGAAGAACATAAATGCAGCCATTGGAGTCTTCGAGAAATGGCTGGAGGAGAATGGCGGAGGGGCGTCGAGTAAGAATGCCAAGACCGACAGCGAGGACAAGGTGGAAACGGTCCCGGGACTGGGATTCAAGGACAAGGCTGCTGCGGAGGCCACTTTGAGGTAAGTCATCCGGGTCATCCATCCATCCTTTTTTGCTGAAATGCTAATGAGCCAGCCGGAGACCTTCGGAACAGGCAGCCAGCGACGAAGTCAAATGATGTCATGGCACAGTTTTAGAGTGTCGAACTCGGAAGTCTCATTAAGTTGATAGAGCAAACACTACGCTCTTTCCACCCGCTGCTCTCTGTATTAGATGTGTATTAGGGTGGATCGATTATATTAATGCGTTAATCTGAATTAACCATTTCCTAATTTCACTTAGTACCTTATTATCACAGCTTATATACATATTTCAATGAAACACTCCTCTATAAATTTGTATTTAAGTTAAGCAAATCTTTCATAAAATGTAAATCCGAATTCACATATTCCTTTAAAAATATAAATATTTATAAATTTAACAACTGTCTATAAGTAGAAATCTAAAAATAGCTGCATGTTAATATTTTTAAAGTTTTTATTTATTTTTATTTGTTCTAGTCTTTTTAACTTTATATGTTCTGGTACTAGACTGTATACTAGATAGTGTGGTATCTTTAAGCATTGCTATTACTTATTGCCCAAAACACGGTCCACCCCAATATTATCATATATTTATAACGGCACATTCCACAGTTTGCCTGTATCCAAAGCACTCATATATATGCATCTCGCATTGCAGCATTTTGGCGGAGCGCGATCCGGATTACCAGAGGTTGGCCATCAAGGGCTTGATTGGCAGCTCGAAGCGTGTGTTGTCCGGCACCAAGAACGAGGACAAGATCAAGGCCATCAAGGAGGGCGTCCAGGTGCTGGAGGATTTCCTCGATAAGTTCGAGGCGGAGAACCGGATGAAGGAGAACCGTGCCTATTTGCCACTTGCGGTGGTCACCAAGTTGCCGGAGCCCAAGGAGGCGGAGGAGGAGTTGGCCAGCGAGTTCCTGGAGGCCTATGGCGGCTCCAAGGCTAAAGGAAACTACAAACACCTGCGCACCATGTTCCCCAAAACGGATGAGGACAAGAAGACCAGCTGGGATATCATACGCAATCGCCAGTTGGCCAAGTTGCTGGAGCAGATCAAGACCGAGGAGACCAAGCTCTTCGATCCCGAAACTGGAGCACCCACCGATCTTCACCTACACTTGATCCACTGGGCATACAGCCCGCAGCCGGACAAACTGAAGCAGTACATCGAAAAGCTGGCCAAGAAGACACCGGAGAAACGCAAAAAGGAGGAGAGCCAGAGCAGCAGTGCCAACGATACCAGCAGCTCTAGCCCGGATTCCGATGAGGAGGATCAGCCCAAGAAGAAGAAGAAGAAGGAGGAGTGAGCTGGAGTCAATTGAAACTACCGATGCCATTTAACGTTTAACGAACAGAAACGGTTCTACAGCCTGTTTCCGTTTTCCCACCCATTAAATTTTTACAGTGAGGGAACTCATTTAAATGAAATATTTTTTGAAAGAATTTTTATCGATTCCTAAACTGCCAAATTACGTGGGTTGCGAAAACGAAAACAGGTTTAATAGTTTATTTAAGTAACTCAACCTCAACGCAGACTACGATTAGTGGTGGACACAAATGGGTGTTTCTCTTCTGTATCCCCCTCTATAAAGTATATACACTGATAATTGTATGTATACATAGACGTGTAAGTATATGCTATATGTTAATATCGTATAGTACCATTCGTTTATGTCGTCTTGATGAGCCTAGTCTTTGGAATCATTAATGTACGGTATTGTCGGGCAAATGACCTGCGGAGGGGCACGGTGCACGACTTGTTTGACAACTTTATACTGATAAATAAATAAAAAAACATAAAATCAAAAAATTCTTAAAATTCCTAACAAAATATGTAAGCTCCTGAAGATTCACCATTTGTAGGTAATCTCGTGAGACTTAACTCTTTTCAGAATTGAAAAGTTTGGATAAAAAACTTGAGAAGGGAATTTCTGAAAATAAGCCTGGTGACCCTGACACCAAAAAAAAAAAGATTGGTGACCCTGATTCTATTCTCAGCTTTGCAATAGGATTAACCATTTGAAGCGGATTTCAAAGGACCAATCTCTTTCAGTATTAAATATTTTATTCTGATATGATCATAAAGAGGGTAAATTGTTTTAATAAGCTTTGTTGTAGCTAGCTATTGCCAAACAATAGTAAATGGTGACCCCGATTTACCGTACTGCCCCTCCAAAGTACTGCCATCTTTTCCTCACCCAGCTCATCATAACGAAACCATAATTTCAAATTCGTGACCCCACGCACATACACACGCAACTAGATTACACAATGTACACGGGAAACGGCCACGCCCACTCGGCCGCATTCCCACGCTCCGCCCAAATATGGATGCACACACCATCACACAACGAGACTTTATAGCTAATATTTATGCAATCCGGCAGTATCGTAATAATCCGACTTGGCCACGCGAGGGGATTGCGTTTGGGGCTCGCCGGAAGTTGGAGGCGTCTTGGCCAGCGACAGTGTCAACTGGTGCTGGTCACCCTTGCCCGATCCAGATCCAGATCCGGATCCGGCGGTTAGATGACCGTAGGCCATGTTGAAGAGGGCGTCCGGATCGCAGACGAATCGGTAGACGTAGCGCTCGCCGTTCACCTTCTGCATGATGCCCTTCTCGTAGTAGTAGCGCAGACTGCGGGACAACTTGTCGTAGTTCATCGCTGGGCGGTTCTTCTGGAGACCCCAACGGCGGGCCACCTCCTCCGGCTCGATCAGCTTGAACTCCATGCCACGACCCGTCCAGGCAATGCAGCTGGCACTGGAAGAGAATATTTAATTTAAGTGTGAAAACTCCTTTCCTTTTATTTAAAAAAAATAATTGAATGTTAAGATAGGTACCTTTAAATATTTATTAAATTCTACAGTCATTGAAATATTAGAGTTTCTTTGTCGTACCTAAATTAAGTGACCCCGATCTTCAAGAAATAGTTAAGGTAATTCTGATACTAGTCTGAAATTTTTTTTTTTATAATTGAAAATAATTGTTTTTTCAACTAAAAAATATACTAGTAACTTGTTTTTTTTTGACTAATATTGAGTTGTAACACTAAATTTGACCCACAAATAAAATTGTATTCAATTGAAATGGAGTCAAAGAGACTCACCTGGTGGTGGGTTCGTCCAGGAGGGCCACCAGGAACTGCCAGAGCTGCAGCGAGCCCCTCCGCTGGCTGATCGTCTGGCCGCTGCTCGAGGTGGAGATGCCATTGCTGGCGTAGAACTGATCCAGACGCAGTTCGGCATCGCTGGAGGTGGTGGAGTCCACCACACTGGGTCGCAGGGCAGAGGGATAGGTGGACGAGATGGTGGCGTTGTAGGGACCAGTGTCGTACTTCAGGTCTGCTTCCGCCGCCGCCAAGGAGGTGGGCGACAGATCCCGGTAGACGGACTGCGACTGCGTATGCTGCTGGTGGGCGGCGTAGTGGGAGGGCGTGGCATATACCGCCGAACTGGATATGACCGCCGTGTGACTGAACTTGAAGGCGGAGGCGGCATGGAGTGGTGTCAAGTGGTGCTCCACTTGCTGGTTGTGGTGTCCATGGTGATGATGATGGTGCTGCGGATGCAGTGCAGCAGCAGCATGTTGCAGTTGCTGCTGGTGATGTTGCTGTTGTTGCTGTTGATGTTGTTGCTGCTGCTGCTGTTGCTGCTGTTGCTGCTGCTGCTGTTGCTGCTGCTGCTGTTGCTGCTGCTGATGTTGCTGCTGCTGGGCTGCCGTTGTCGTGGAGTCCGCATCCTCGATCTTCGTGTGGTGCTGAAAGTGCTGGCCGGAGGACACGTCGCTGCAGTACACCGCTGCGGCTGCAGCGGCGGCGGCGGCAGCAGCAGCGGCTGCCGTTTCTGCAAAAACAAAAAAAAAAGGATTCGGAAAAGGAGTTCAGCAGGAGTCGAGCGAAAGCCGCTTTTATGCTCGTTTGGGCAATGTCCCGGCATCCCGGCATCGGAAGAAGGGGCGCTAATTACTTGGGAATCTTAAATACCCTTACTCAGGGTGGGCTTAATGCTATTGGCATGTGAAATGAGATTGCAGGGGTGACTATCAGAAATTATCCGTGTTCTTCATGTTTTCAAGTAGCTATTGTTCTGGTTTAATTTTAAATAATTTCAAAGCAAGAGTGACTAAGCCTTATCAAATTAAAAAAGATAGGCTTTGAAATACTTAATTAAATATTTTGTCAAATTTACTGAATGTAATTTTTGGCCTTAAACTATATATTTAGCAAAATCTAATTGCCTTTTGTTTAAAAATGGCTTTTCGGATTCTATATAATTTAAACAATTTGCAAATTAGACATATGTATCATACATAAAAAACATACGTGGATGTAATTTTTGAAATGTTTTGAATAATATTTTTTAAGAGATCTTCAATATGTTTAGAAAACTTTACATATTTATGCAGCTCTCCCTTTCGGACCCTGTTTATTTTATAAAGATTGTATATTTACATAAAATATTATTATATACCAAGATTCAAAGTTTATGCCTTATTTAAGGGAATACAACCTTCTCTATTGCCCTGAAAAACACCTTTACATTGTTCTGCCTTGTTTGTGTGGCTCTTGCCTTTTCTAAATGGCCAGGGTATTTAGCAGCAATTAATTATTTAAGCAACCCACTCCCGTCAGTCGCTGCAAAATGCTCAATATGCTGCAATTTAACGGGGGCGCACACACCCCATCCGCCGAACCACTCGAGTTTTCCCTTTTCATTAGGTAGCCACTCTACAACTCCCGGCTCTGCCTCACTCCCCAATCGTTCCTCATTCACCCCTCATTCACCCCTCAGTCACCCCTCATCGCGACTCGACTCTGGGCGCATTAAAAATTCAGGAGATACCTTTGCATAATCCATGAGCAAGTGTCGACAAGTAAAAACATCATTGTCGATAACAACAAACGAGCTGCTACTGCTGATGGAAAACGAAGACCTGTTGGCCCTGCCGCCCAAGGGTGTGGGTATTAATGGGTGTGCCGGTGCACCACACTTCTAAAAAAATGGTGTGTCATTTCTATCGGTGCCTTTTAATTATTAGATAATTTTATATCATTTTTAATTTTATGGTTTAGTGGATTAGTTTTAAGTTAAGGAAAAACAAGATAATAAAGTTATAAAATATAACAGGCATGGAACTGATTAGTTCTTCCTATATTATATAGATTTATAGTGTTTTTTAAATTTAGTTTTAACTTTTTTTCAGACACCAATAATTATTTTTATTTTACTTTTACCAAGTCTTGTGATTTGGGCTTTTAATATTTGTGTTTGGTCTAATTCCATTGATATGTCTATTTCTATGAAAGAATTTAAGTAAAGGAATTTTTTTGTTTCGAATTCAAAATAACTCAAAAATTTTCTAAGTGTAGCGGGTGCTTCGATGGGGTGTTTGTGCTGGGCGGTGGGTGGATGGGTGGGTGTAGCTAACACAAACCACTCAACGGCGGTACCGTGATTGAGTTGCTTGTTTGATGGGCGGCGGATTTCGCCCACGACCACGCCCACCGGAGGCCAACTATGTATTTGAGCCCCTCGCAATTGAATTGCACGCTTGTGCTTGTGCCGCCGCCAATTGGATTAGCGGTTACTAACACCGGCGATGTTGTTATTGTAAATTATGCGCGCGATTTCTTGCATTTTATTTGAAAAAATATACTAAGCAAATTGAGTTACCCACTGATAGGTATGCGTATCGCGCCCAATAATTTGAATAAATGATGAACGCAACGCGCAGGGTTTTAATCATTTTCTTTTCATTTTTCAATCTTGGGAAAGTGAACTCACCTTCGTCGCTCTTTTTCAGAATGCCCCCGGGTGGCGATGATGGAAACCTGGACGGAGATGGAGCATAGAGCATAAATCACAAAAATATATATATAAAGAATCTAACTCGAGGAGCAGCCGACTCCGCTGATTTACTTAAAGTTGACTTGTCTTGTCAGCGTGAACTTCAATCCCCGGATTTCTTCTTCTCTTTAGCTTACCTGTAGCAGTACGGGTGCGGATGCGAATGCGGATGCGGGTGCGGATGCGAGTGTGGGTGCGTCACAGCGGGTATGTCAAAGAAAGTGGATGTTCTTTCATGGCGCACGCCTTTGACGTTCACTGTGAGATGTAAAAAAAGAAAGAGTCCAGGTTACTTTTTTGACTCATAAAACTAGGGAGAGAAAACATCTCCTTAGACCACCGAGGTGGCCTCGACTTTTGTTAGATAATATACTTTATATTAACGCTCGCACCGGGATGCCTTTGAGGCCACAAATCGAGCTTGTCACATGCACTTGACTTGGCCATAATCGAATGCCAGTCGAAAACTCATGACTAGATAACTAGGAGTGGAATAAGGACTGTGGACGGGAGATTAAGGAGTGCTTAACTTAAGTTGCTGAAAATGTTAAATCAGTTGCCGAAATTTTTGATTACAAGAAAACCTCATAACTTTCCACGGTACACATCAATTTAATTTATTTGTAATTTATATTGCTTAAATAATGACCAATATATGTAAATATATACCAGCCCTTTTAAAATATATTAAATCAATTAGATTTGTATATTTTTTTTATTTGTCTTTTTCCTATTTTTTATGAAAGTATCACATTAATATACATTATTATTGTATTTGCTTAGGCTTCTCCTTGACCTCCCATAAGTTTTCTAACTAAATTGACATAAATTTATTGTGCCAATCATACTCTTATCCATTTTAGGTAATTTGTTATTTAGTTTGCTAAAATAATGACCATTATATCAAAAACTATCAAAATATATTAATAAAATTGGGTTTGATTTTGGCAAATGGTGATGGAAACTATATTGCCTTTTTCTTGTAATTTCATTAAACATTTTAAATTTTCCTTAAATCTAAGCCAATAGCTTGTACTTTGAAAAAGAGAAACAAAATCATATTTAAACGATTAACTTGAGACTTTCGACTTTCAACTCCAGCTAAGTTTACCCAGCGCTGCCAATGTATTTATCTTACTTGGTTCTCGGCACGCGCCAAGTTCAGTCGTGTTGTCTTAATAAAAACGTTAAAAAAAAACAATCTAAGCTGAAACAAAGCCTTCGGGGCAGCGAAGGGCAACCGAAATCCAAACTCCCAAGCCCACTCCCAGGGAACCAGAACCATTTCATAGCCAACCCACCCACTTCCACTCACTCCTCCCAACTCATAATGGAAAATTAATAAACAAGCGAACGTGTAAATAGCAAAGGCAAACAGAAAGTGGATACAGTGTGGGTTGGAGTGGATTTTAGTGGGTGGCGGATCAGGACGAAGGGAAGGGGGAGCTGGAGCTGGAGCAGGAGCAGACTGCATCCGGAATTGACAGTGGACGTGGACGAGGAGGACGCTTACCATTGTACCTTGCGTTCAAGTAACCCTCGGTGGAAGTGTCCAGCCCGAACTTCCCAATCGCCGGCGAGGGCGTGGGCGTGAGTGTGGGCGTGGCATACATGACCAGCTCGTCGGCCAACTGCTGGTGATGATGATGGTGGTGGTGATGGTGGTGGGCATACCAGGAGGACTCCCGCGTAAGATCTGCACATAGGGAGCATCCAGAAAAGCATTATAAATAGTATGATGAATGGTTGGTAATGGGTTTGCTAATTAATAAACGTCAACAACTCGAATTCCCTTTTAAAATGCTTTAAAAAAATGTCGAAAAGATTGCAATTAATTAAGATTATCATATTTCGCAATGAATCCGAAAAACTTACGGACAAACTAAATATATTATTGCATACTTTTCAGTAACGTGAAAGGATTTTTATTAATACGAATCTTATAAAGAAACTTCATTTCAAATTGCTCACCCTAGCAGAAAAATGTAGTACATACAAAATTTCATAAAAAATACAGACTCTGAGTTAGTTAATAAATCATTAGAAAATATAAGCCAATGTTAAATGATAAATTTTTGATTTTACCTCATATTTATTTTGGCTCAGTAAAAGATATTAGGTAATAATACCTTACTTAAAAATAAGTATCGAATTAAAAAGTTTTACTTTGTGATACCAATAGAATAGAATGGAAATAAATGGAATATGCATAGGGTTTGTTTGTTGAGTAAAAGATATTTCTTATTACTTAAAACGGATTTAAAATAAGCTAAACTTTATTAACCCCAGTAGAAAATGAGTGGAATTGTAATATTTGTGGATAGACCGCATAGATGACCCATACAGACCGTTGCAGAGAGAGGCACTTGCTCCGCCGGAGCTGGATCCCGATCCCGATGCAGAGGAGGCGTTCATCAGGGCGACGGAGGCGGGCGATGAGGAAGCCGCTCCGCCCAAGGTCAGGCAGCAGGGAGGTGGAGGAGGGGGCGGAACCGGCGACGTCTTCTGGCCAACGCAGATGGCCTCCAGGAGGAGGCCCTGCCCACCAGCCGAGGAGTCACCGAGGGAGTCACTGGCGTGGCACTTCTTGCGCTCCGCCTCCAGGCCATCGCTGCAGCTGGAGGACGCGGAAATGGCCTTGGCCACCGCCGGCAGCGTGGAACTCACACAGGAAACCACCGAATCCGTGGTTATGGTGGATGTGCCAGGCAGCGGCCCATGGTAGAGCCCCAAGTGGGCGTGGTGGTGGTGGTGCAGGTGGTGGTCCAGGTGCTGCAGCTGCTCCAGATGCGTCTTGGCCTCGCCGTAGTCGCTCTGCGGAATAAGGAAATGAGCCAAGGCGCGGCAGGAAATTGTCATGAGTCTGGTTGATTTGGGGGATTTCTTTCGTCTAGGCCGAAATTAGTTGTCAATTTGCCATCTTTTTGGGGGTTATTTGAGGGCTTTAAGTCGGACAGCCGCACAGCCGCACTTTAAAGCCACCTGCTGGGTGACTTGGCCCACCACCCGCTGCTAACAGGTTGCAAGAACACAGAGACAATGGAATGGCCAACTCGTCATCGTCACATTGACATAGTCAAGTGGAAGTTGTGGCAATTAGTTTAACAGCTTCTTTTGCTTTTGCTGTCGCTTTGGCCGGGTGTCAATTGGCCGGGTTCTCGGTGCTTCTTGGCCATTAAGTAATGAGCCATTGTCGAGTGGACACCATACTGTACGACTGTACGATACGAGTATGTGCTTGGAGCATGGGATAGGGTATAGATACCTATGCCAACTCCAACTGCGGTTTATTGACACTTGTCCATTTAATGAGCCCTGTGCCGGTGTTAACCTTTGTCTGTGCTTGCACTCTCGCTCTCTCCGGGCCATCACATATAGTATGTCATAGATAGCATATCACCCTGCACGTGGAACTCATTAAAGCCGGCTGGGATTTCACTTTTTTCAGGGGGGAAAACTCGTTGACACTACAGCACTTGGTATAAGATGTGTTCCAGTGGTTCCTAGTGCTTGCTTAAGATATCAAATACACGGTTTATGAAAAATAACTAGATGAAGAAAAGATTTTAATGTGGGATAGATATAGTTGCTTGAACCTACAAGCCACGTAATGTGCCATTGAAAATGTTTCTTCTAGTGCTGTTAATAAAACATTGTCTAAGAAATTAGTGATCCATAATGTTAGATAGTTTATTTTAATAAATTTAAATTTCGTATGAAATATTACTGGGTTATTAAAGACTAGACTTTGATGCTTGTGTTTTAATTATAAGACAAAAATATATAAATGAAAAAAAGAGCCTTATACTATCTAATCTATTAAACTGATACAAACTTTTGTGTAAAGACTTAAATATCTTAAGAACTAATTGAAATTAAATTTGAAATAATCTGTGAAACGAAATAAAGTAATAAATGTTGTGTTTCTGTTCAATGCAGGCAAGATAAGCAGTTGTTACTTTAAATATCCAAAATCAACTTAACAGCAATCCAGCAGACAATGACAATAGTATTGTTCCCTTTTAAGTGTATCTGGAACGTTGACTTGATGCCATTGTTTGCTTTCGGAACCCACTTTATGGAGCCTCCATTTTAAAGTGCATCCAGTACTGCCCTCATTTTGGATCCCTTGCTTGACATTTGGAAACTGGAGCAGCAAACGAGGCGATGCAGTGCCATGTGGATGCGGATGTGCTCCAAAGCATTCAAGAACCATTGTAGTTACCCTTAATTATGTGCCCGTAATCGCTGATGGTTCGGTTCGGCTCTATCGGCAGAGTGCCTCCAAACTTCGAGTTGCTGGAAAAACCAAACCTTAGATGGAAACGCAGAAAGCGGCACCGTACCTTCACCTTCCCCCATTCCCCCCGTTTTTCGCCCAGAAGAAATGCAGAATGCTCGACTTTCTCCCCTCCAAAATCGGGTATTATGTAAAATCTGCGTCGTATAACATTCAACTGGAACTCTCGGGCAAAACCCAACTATATCGTATTTGGCAATCCATAACGGATTCCTCTTCCGCTTTTTGCTCCCGCAAATTTCGTGATAAATTGCAAAATATGTCGCCGAGTTGCGTTTGCTAAGTGCAAGCAAACAATTTGTCAAATCAAATTACGGCAATTATTAAGTGTAACAGTGTATCTGTCATGTGCAAGCGGCTAAAAAGACAAGAGGCAACCAGCCGAGCGATATCACCCGGTACACGTGCGCAGGTGCAGCAGGGAACTACTTTTTGGTTGGACTACATCGACTAGGCAATTCTCTTTATCACTAGAAAGTGCCTATTGGTCATTGGATAAGTTCAGGAACGAAAGACTTGAGTTGATTTTTAAACAGCCTATTTAAGAACAAAAAAATATCAATTAATATTTAATAGTTTTCTAAAAACCGATTTAGTTGAATTAATACTAGATTTATTTTTGTCATTTTTTGTCATCAGTTTCTTTGAATTTAATTTTTGGCATACACAATTTCGACAACATTATTAAATATCTTGATTTGTACGTCTATATTGCATTACTCGTAATTTTCAAAGGGTAAAAATTGTACAGTACATTGTAAGCCCTTTGGGCCGACCCATTAAGCCCTAATTTGTATGCCCAATTGGTGCCAATTACAAGTGCAATTGGGAAAACAAACTGTGGCGGTGAATGACTGACTCATCCGACGGATTGATCAACTTTGAACTCTGGCAAACAATGCGAGAGATTACGACGCATGCGCGCCCGCAACTGACATTACGAAACTTTTCTCGAGTTTACTTTTTGGAGCTGCGAGTGTGTAAGTAATACAGCTGAGGTCAAAATAATAGTTGTTTTTTAGCTTATGGTAAAGGCAATTGAAAATGATTAAGAAAATAAAATTACACTATTGAACCAAATGGGAAAAAACATAAAAATGCTCATTTCAAAAAAGGATTATATTAAGATAAAAAGTAGAATAAAAATTTTATTGAAAATGTTTTTGAAATTTTGTATTTAAAAAAAAGTCAGTTAGTTAATAACAAATTTTGTATTTCTATGCATTGCCGAAATTGTTCTTATTTTTAACCGCAACTGTATATAGTTTATACTGATCTACTTTGCAGCAGCCCAAAAAAGGGGGGTGTTTGGGAGGTGAGACCCATGAGGGCCGCAGAAGACAATGCTTTTCTTTTTTCAAATTGTCTTGTCTTTTGTTGTTTGCCTCCACGACGAGGTGCGTGGTGTGACTTGGCTTGGCGTGGCTTGGCTTGGCTGATTCGGACTCCCAATCTGTCTCTTTTTCTGGCTCCGTGGTGGAAAACACTTTCACTGCAGTGCCACATGATGAGGCAGTGACACGGTCGCCACCATCACCATCACGATGGCTTCTCTTCTCTTCCACATTTTCTTGGCTTGTGGGTGCTGTTTTTGGTTGTTTTTGGTTGTTTATGGTGGCAATGGAAGCGCGACCAAGCCAGTTTCTTGCTCCGCTTGGGCCTCGCATTTTCGGTTCAGCTGCGGGCGAGTTCGGAGGTGTCTACTAGGTGTCTAGCTAAAGGATACTTCTTCAAAAATATCACCGGGTTGCTTGAAAAGCTATAACTGCACTAAGGAAAATAATAAAAGACCTAAAAAGGCATTGAAGACGGCGGATTAGTGTCTCAGCCTTCAGTTTTCGGCAAAAAAAATTGCGTAAAGAAAGTGCTTAACCAATCATTTGAAATTCAATTGTAAAAAAATATTCCCTTGCAATCTTAAAGATAAACACTTACAATAGGATTGCAAAATCTAACATAAAAAAAATGCTCGTGTCTTCAGATCTTGGAGAAAGTGTTTTCCTGCCACTGCAAGAATTTCAAAGATAATTTGGAGAAAAAGGTTTTCTTCGCAGTCTAAAAAAAGAAAAACAACAAATCTGATTTATTGAAAATCAAGAACTCAAAAAGTTCCAAGTGGTTAAAGGCTCAGAATAAGAAATCTGAACTCTACGAAAAGAATAACCCTGTGGATTGCATGTAAAACTATACACCTATATAGTACATCTGAGTTTTTGTGTTGCGGACTGGAGAAAGTGTACTTAGAGAATTTCTCGAGAAAACCACTTTTCATGTTGGCTAAACCACAATGTCGGGATATGTGAGCCGGGATTTGCATTGGCTGCACTTTCTGCTGGCCATGTGGGCTGTGCTGCAGGGTAAGTGACCGCCGCCGTATCATGACCAACCATGTAACCCAATCCCTGCTCCTCCAGTGACCCACTGCCAGCCGTATCAGTTGCCGCTGCAACGCTGCTCCAACCGCCTGGAGAATGCCCTGGAGCACATGCGACGCCGCAGTGTCCAGACCAAGAGCTCCTCCTCCACCTCCTCCTCCTCCGGACGAGCCATGTGGGAACCACCGCCGCAGAGTCCCTACCAGTTGTACCACAGTTTCTATGGCCAGCACAGCGAACCGGAGGAGGACTTCTACAATGTAGGCGGTGGTGGTGGCTACCACACGGGGCGTGGCTACCATGCCAAGTTGCTGCATAAAAACGGGCAGGCCTATCCCTTTGCCGGTGCCAGTGGTGGTGGTAGAGGAGCCCTGGAACTGGAGGATCTGCTGGCTGTCAACAGGCAGCCCCACAAACTGGGGGCCATTTCGCGGGTGGATGTGGAGGACCTCAAGGTGCGAGTGCCGCCGGCAAAGTCGGCCAGTCGCTGGGTGGAGATCGACAAGTGCAAGTTCAGCACGGAGAACTCCACACTGGACACCAGGCTGATCTTTCCGGACCTCACTCTCAGCGGAAAGGTGGTGATGCAGCCGATGGGCGGCAAGTGTCACATGATTCTGCGACTACGACACGCGGGCATTGAGTTTCGCACTGTTCCCCTGGGCTACGATTCTGGTGCCTCGGCCTATGAGCAATCCCGCAGATTGGGAGCCGCCTCGGTGCGCACGGATTCGCACTTCGCAGAGCCCGGTTTTATATCCGTGTTTGCCCATGGCTGCCAGGGACCCACTGGGATACGCCTGCGTCAGAGTTCCAAGCGGAGATTTGGCACCGGCACTCCGGATGTGGAGCTAGGTGAACCGCATGTTATACTGGGTAGCAAAAGAACCCAGAGATGGGGCAAGTATCACAATCAGGAGGGCTACGACATCCGTCTGGGGCAGAAGAGTCCGCAGCGGGATATGGATCCTGCGCTGGAGCTGGGCGGCGATAGCCAGGACCAGGATTCGGCTGAGTTCATCGATGTCCATGGCGACAACTTCTACCGGCGGCAGTTTAGCAAGAAGAGGAGACGCCGCCGGCGTCGTTTTGCCCGGGAAGACTTCCAGGACCAGATGAACTTCAGCGAGGATGTGCTGCACTTCGAGGATGAGCAACTGCAGCAGCTGGTGGAGCCGGATGCCCGGGCCTTTGCGGATATCTTTGGCGGATCGAGTCCCAGCGGAGACCGCGAGGAGCTGGTGGGCGAGGCCATGTCCCACGAGCTGGAGAAGCTGTTCTCCATGGGAGTGAGGGGTCTGCTTACCACCTACATGCAGAGGGCTCTCCAGCCGGCCATCAAGGAGACCCTGATGGAGAACATGGGCTATACCTTGAGTTATGGCTAAAAGAGGCACTCACTTTTAAGGTCTCCTAGTTTTTAAAACCCCCTCTATTTATGTCGGATGCTGCAGAAATAAAAGCTAAGCTTTAAGCGATTCTTAACAATTTCTCTCTTTTATGAGAAAGGAAACCCTGATGGAGAACATGGGCTTTACCTAAAGTTAAGGCCTATACCTTTTAAAGTCTCTTAGTCTTTTAAATCCCCTCTATTTATTGTCTGATGCAGCTGAAATAAAAGCTAGGCTTTAAGAGAATCTTACCAATTTGACTGTATCCATGAATCGATGGCGAGTTGAACTTGTTGGATTTTCACTAATTGGATTTCACTTGGCTGCCGCAGGACATCAATAGTCCTGAATTATTCAGAGCTCGATGGCTTTCACTTGTCGCTGATCGTTTTGTGCATTCCCGTGTTAGCCGTGTGCAGTTTGTTTCGAGTTTCCGTGGTGACTGATTAAGGGAAACCGGGTCTGAATTCCGCAGGAGTCAACATCTAGGGGTTGCAGTTTTTGGATGCTGGACAGGACTTACTGCGCAGGAGCGTCACGCCCCCTCTTGCTGGTGATTGGCTGGCTGCGGTGAAAGGGAAAGGACCAATGGGTGGTCTGCGTGGGCGGTAATTAAATGGAAATGTCAAAAGTCAATCAATTTGACAGACGTTTTCCCAACTTCTAAATTTGAAATAGGGGTTAAAGCTGGCCAAAACTGTTTCAAAGAATTTAACAAAATGATTTAACAGATTATCTTAAAAATTGGTTTAATACCTAAAAGAAGCTGGGAAGTTTAAAAGTTAAATTGTAACCCATCCCAATTATAAAAGGTTACATTTTTAGTTAACAATTTGTATAAAAATATGTTCTCTGATATTTTTTTGTGTATTTTAAAAAAGCGGGTTAGGTAAATACTAATGGTTATTAAAATGCCAACTTATTCAACACTCATATGTATATCATGAAATAGTTTACTGCGAACAAATTCTTAATAAGTTGAACTTAGAAACATAAAAAACTTAAAAAAATTTATTAAAGACCCCAAATGGTGTTGTTAAGCACTTATAAATATGTGTAGTTTTTGCGTTATTTCTATGGACTTAATCTAAACTTCAGGAAATATATTGTTGTTATTAAAAATAAAAAAATAATTTTTAAGGTAATAGTAATACAAAATATAAATATAATTTGTCTGACTACAAATAAATGTAGAATTAAATAAGGTGAACAAAAATATTAAAAATTGTTTAATAATAGACTTTATAAATCCAGCTGGAAAAGTTCTATTAAGAATGAGCCCAAAAAAACAATCTGGTTGAGCTTCAATATGTAACAAATTTGTATTACAACCTTTAATATTGCAGAAACATTTTAATTTCCTACTCAAGAAATCTTTAATTTATTTGCCAATAAGCCAGATGTTCTGATTGGAAACATTTGATGGGTTGGTTTTCGTCTGAACTATATGTGCTTATCAAAGTTCTGCACCTCTTTTAGAGATACATTTGCTTGGCGTCTCTGGCCACACTGCACACACCCGAAAAACTCTCTTATAGCAATTTTTTCATTCTCATCAGATTTATTATGTGATATGTACAAAGCAAATATCCAAACAATCACACTTGCGTAGGTGAGTGATCAATAAACGTCCGCGGATGCAAACTCCGTAGCCAGCAAAGGATTACAGCCCAAAGAATCCCGCCCAGACTCCGCTGGCAAAGTTTGTTTACGTCCGTGTGCTTTTTATGAAGGGTTTTGGGCAGGAAGAGGCGACGCGGGGGTTTCGACCACTCAGTCAGGTGTCTGCGCATTATATAACAACAACTCCGAATCGGCAGAGGCGCCGCGATATATATAGATTAGATAGGCGGAGTGCTCCCCGCCGGATTTCCTTGGCCTTGGCGGAGGAGGAGGAGCAAAGGTCACCACTCGGCGGCCAATTCAAATTCAAATCGAAATCCAAATCCGTATCTGTCTCACGACCTTGGGAATGATTTTCGTGCGTACGCCTTTGAGTTGCGTCAATGTACTCATGTTGTTTTGTATTTCCCACAAATATATATATAATGTGTATATATACATATATTGTTTTGTATTCCCCAGATGTATATATACATAACAAAAGGAAGGGAACACAAAGGAACAGCCCATCTAGAGATCATGCAGGTCGAATGCCTCCAGAGAGAGCAGACGCAGCACAGCAGGCTGTGAAGGAAGCCCCGCCACACACTCCACGCATGCGAACGAACCACTCCAGGAGCTGGAGGATTAGCAGGATCAGCACCTCTGACAGGTAGCAGTAATGGCGGAGAGCAGTGGTAGCCTCGCAGTAGGAGGAGGAGCAGGAGCAGGAGCAGCTCCCGATGCCCCCTACATCCGCACCATCGAATGGGACATGATGAACAAGACCAAGTTCTTTCCGCTCTCCATGCTCAGCTCGTTCTCGGTGCGCTGCTGCCTGTTCCCGCTGACGGTGATCAAGACGCAGCTGCAGGTGCAGCACAAGAGCGATGTGTACAAGGGCATGGTGGACTGTGCCATGAAGATCTACAAGTCCGAGGGTGTGCCGGGACTGTATCGCGGCTTCTGGATATCCTCGGTGCAGATAGTGTCCGGTGTGTTCTACATCAGCACCTACGAGGGAGTGCGCCACGTGCTCAACGATCTGGGCGCCGGACATCGGATGAAGGCTCTGGCCGGTGGCGGCTGTGCCTCGCTGGTGGGCCAGACCATCATAGTTCCTTTCGACGTGATATCCCAGCATGCCATGGTGCTGGGCATGGCTGCCCACGCGGGCTCCAAGGGCGACATCAATCCGCTGGGCATCAAGTCGTGGCCCGGCCGCAGTCGCCTGCACATCTCCATGGATATCGGCAGGGAGATCATGCGACGCGATGGCTTCCGGGGCTTCTATCGCGGCTACACAGCCAGCCTAATGGCCTACGTACCCAACTCGGCCATGTGGTGGGCCTTCTATCACCTCTATCAGGGTGAGTTTTCCTCTTAGCTAATAATGCTAATAAGCAGATTAGATTATAAATTCAAATTTGGACTCTCCGTTTACGCAGACGAACTGTTCCGCATCTGCCCCGTCTGGGTCTCCCATCTGTTTATCCAGTGCGTGGCCGGCAGTCTGGGTGGCTTCACAACGACAATACTAACCAATCCATTAGATATAGTGCGAGCACGTCTGCAGGTGAGTTTTTACCTATAAGTTCAATAAAAAATACTTCCGAACTTAATTGTTTTGAAATTGTGTTAATTGTTAGAGGAAATTGTGTTCAAAACAAAATTATATTTAATCATTGTATTAGTAAAGAAAGTTGATTAACATCAATTTAAAATGCATACATATTTTTGCACTTTTAATTATTTTAAAATATTATTTTATCTTTACACTTTTATTTACTTTACAGTTAGAATAGATGTTTCCATTAAATCGAACAATAGATTTTAGTAGATTCATAATAGATTTAGATAGGTTCTCACGATTGTCAACACAATTCTTTATTGCACTTTTTAATGATATGTCATAATTGATACGAAGACTTTGCTCGACGAGCTCTTATCTTAGCCACTTAAAATGTTCGTCACTCATGCGTTATCTACAAAACGTTGTCTTGCCCCGCAGGTCCATCGTCTGGACTCGATGAGCGTCGCCTTCCGGGAACTCTGGCAGGAGGAGAAGCTGAACTGCTTCTTCAAGGGCCTGTCCGCCCGCCTGGTGCAGTCGGCGGCCTTCTCATTCAGCATTATCCTAGGTTACGAGACCATCAAGCGCATTGCGGTGGACGAGCAGTACAAGCACCAGATCCGCTGGTGAGGCAGAGCGCACAATCATCCCTAGCCAAACTGAAACCAACTCAAAACTGCATTTACGCGACGTACTGAGAACCACCAGAAGCGGAGGAGATTCGCCCACGATTGTAAATATCAAATAACGGATGCGAGAGGAAGGAGCACAGGTTAATTAGTTGAATTACTACCAGCGATAGCGAATTATGGAGTCACAGAGGATGTACTTTTAGTAGAGCGTTTCAATATGCTTGCGCCTAGGATGTTCGAGTAACCTAATTCAATATGCAAATACCCCAAAGTGTTGTAGCTTAAAGTGTACATTATTTTTGTTATACTTAGTCGTTTTATACCTAAACACGCATAGAGGCCGTTCGGTGACAAGCATAATTTATTATACACATAACTATACTTGTACTTGTACTTGAACGTAATTGATGATGATGATGATGTTGATAATACTGTTGATTACATTGGTAGCCCAATTACTTTTACACTACTTAGCACAGCAATGTTTGCGCCAAACAAAAAAATACCACAAACTGGACATGCCGAATTAGAAATTAATATCGAAACAGGGTCGAAAGGCACTTACTTAGTTAAGCATTCGTATGTGTGTGTTCTCTGAGTGGATAACCTAGTTTTAGTCTGCATTGTAATAAAGTACAAACCAAGAATTGTTACATTTTTGGCAATGTGAAATATGAAATCTGTGTCAGATATACAATGCTGTCTTAAAAGTGATCCAACCTTGTAGTTAGTTTGGTCATATATTCCTTTAGTTAGTTAGTTTTATGTTTTTATTTAAATAGTACGATTTCTAATTGTTATGTTTTCCTAAGATTATCTTTAGTGTCCCCATTGCAGCTTAGAAAATGGTATGGGTTTAAAGTGAATTATAGCTTGGTATTAATTCGCTGTAACTATAAGATTTTCGATCGTCTTCCAGAGATTACTCCACCCTTAGTTTGTCTGTTTAAACCTTGAAAAAAACATGGGAATGATGAATGACAGCTTGGTTTTAATTCGTGCTTTGAAGGTATAAATAAATAAATAAGTAATCTAGGGCTAATTTGGCATTTCTAGTTACTGTCCGCTGTTGCCACAGTGGTCTCCTCCCTGGAAGCCTCCTTTTTGGCTTCCTGCTCCTCCTTTCCAGTGGCCTTGGAAACCTTTTCCGGCTGGCCCTTTAGATCCTGCTTCAGCCAGGCATTGTTGAAGTTCCGAATGGGCGTGGGCACCTCCCCGGTGGGTGCCGCATCCATGTTGATAGCCGGTGGTTGTGGCAATGGCGGCTCCTCGCTGGACCTGTTGTAGATCACCCAGTTGTCGGGTCTGTCCGGCTTGGTCAGTACGGTGATGGGTGCGAAAGCCACACTGGCCAGTTGCTTCAGCCTCTGGGCCTTCAAACCATCCACGTAGTCGTCCGTCTCGTCCGTCTCGTCCGCCAGTATGTCGTTGCCGCCCAACTGTTTGCCCAGGCTGTCCGGGAAGACGGTCACCTTGCTGTTCGTCACACTCCGGCTGGAGGTGGAGAGCATGGGCTTGGGCACCTCGGTCACGTAGCTCGTCCGCGTCTTGTTCTCCAGCATGGGCATTACGTAGTTGTCGTCCAGGGCGGTCAGGTTAGAGTTACCAGTCGAGTTTTCCGCAGAGTCCCGCATCAGTTGGGGTCTCATGTAGCCGTCCTTGTCGAAGTCTTTAGTGGTCAACTCCTTGCGCCTCCCTGTCTCGTCCAGTTGGTTGGTAGGCAACTCCTCGTCGTATACGTAATCTACATCTTCATCGTTCAGATGACTGTCGTCCGTGGTCAAGTTGGTAAAGGTCCTGCTCACATAGTCGTAGTCGTCCAGTAGGTAAAGTTTGTGCTCTGTCTGGTTGCTGTCCGCTTCCTTGAGTTCCGGTGTCCGTCCGTAAAAGGTCTGTTTTTGTGGTCTGACTACGGAACTGGATCCAGAGAACGGGCTGGTATTTCGGTCGCTAACAAGTTCCCTGTCGTAGTACAGTTCGCTCTGTGCCGGCTGGTATGTCTGGTCTGGTCTGTAAGGTCCCTGATTCGAGGGAGCGGGAGGTCTGGGACTCCAGTCCTGACTCGGACGCGGCCGAATATTGAAGCTGAAAGTGCTGTCTGCCCCATTGGCAGTGGCCACTCCGGAGATGCTGCCAAAGTGGCCCGTGCTCACCGCACTGCTGGAGGCGTGCAGAAATCCGGAGGCGGGATTAGCGCCAGTCTGGGATTGAGTGGCCACCGGATAGGAATGCACCGAAGGCGGTCGCGGGGAGTAGGACGCACTGCCTCCTGTTAGTATATGTGAGTTACTAATCGGACTGTGGACCACAGTGTTCTCGAACTGGGGCCGCTGCTCCTTGTGGCTCTGCGAGATCGGAGATGGAGTGGTGGGCATGGGTCGCCGATTGCCCAGTGGGTTGAAGCTGTTCGTGGCAAAGGTCAGAAAGTTCTGGAAGATGTTGGGTGCCCGGGTGGTCGTCGTCCGTCTGTCGTCGTTGTCGTTCAAGTAGATTATGGTCGGTGGCTTGGTCCTCTGTCCCTGAGTGCCAATCTCGGCGAGACTCTGCTGGTAGCCATAGCTGGGCGTGGCCAGTGGAATCGGCGAAGTGCTGGCATAGTCCACGTAGTGTGGTGCGTAGTTCGAGTCATAGTAGTCGGCTGTAGTGGGTCGCAGTCCAGGCTGCTTGTTCGTCTGTCTTATGTTTATCTCAATCTCGTACTGGTCTGCATTGGGCCCGTTGACCACCACCTTTGGGGGTCTCTCGTAGAGCGGTCTACTGTGCTGGTACTGTCTAAGTTCCACGCCCCTTTTCGTGGGCGGTGCCTTTGTCTGTCGCGTGGAGCGTTCCAAGCTCACAGTGGAGCTAGTTGGAGAGTCTTTTGTTGTACTAGTTCGATTTCTTTGCAGGTGCAAAATTCGAGGTTCCAGATTTCTGGCTTTGGGTTGGTCAGATTTCAATGCTTCTGTCGAAAGTTCAGTAGTATCGTTCTTCTGTTTTGTAGTTGTCCCCAAGTCAGTTTCAGTACGGGTTCGTTTAGAAGGGTCATCTCTGTTGGCTCTTATCTCTACCACGTCCTCAGTGTCCACTTCCTCGTCCTGGTCAAATTCGTTCTCGTCCTCTGTAAAAGTTTCTGCTTCCGTCCCATTGCCCCCCGAACTCCTTAGCTCCACGGGCACATTGTTGATGACGACCCTCCTCTTGGGAACCCCCGAACCCTCTTTCCTTCTCACATTAACGCTTTTAATGTTAATGGTGATCTTTGGCGACTTGTCCAGTTTGTTGCTGACACCAGTAACTGGCTTTCGAGTGGCAGTGTTCGGTCGGTTGTTACTGTTACTGTTGCTGTTCGTCACTGTCTTCCGTCGCAGGTCAAGTTTGTCACTAACTTTGGTCGAGTTGGCACTGGTGGGCCGATGGAAACCACTGCCCGAGTTGGCACTGAGCTCCACCTGCGGTCTGATGGGTTTCACCCGGTTCGAGAAGCCCGCCTTGTCCTCCTTGACGCCCTGCAACGCGCCCAGCTCTGGCTGCCCAATGTTGAACACCTGGTCGGGCATCTGGGGACTGTGGAAGGGATCCTGCTCCAGCCAGGGACTCAGGTCGATGGGCGCCAGGCTGCCCACTCCGCAGGTCTGCCGCTCGTTGTCCTCGAACTCGGCTGGGATGAAGACGTGCGGCTGGAGGGTGCCACCGCCCACCGTGCGGCACAGGACTTGGGCCAAGGACACGCGGCGCAGGGAGTGCAGTTGGGCCGGGGTGAAGGAGCTCTCGAAGCCGCCGTTCTCGTACCAGAAGCGATCGCCCCGCCTGGCGTTGCTAAACTGCTGGGCGATGATGCAGGCGAAGGTGGGTCCCACCAGACCACCCACCACGGGACGCTCCGCGATGCCGCCCACAAAGAGGTCGATGTCGTGCACGCTGCGGTAGGCGTGGCCAATGCGTTTCGCCGACTCCGGACCCACCACGTTGGCTGGAAGGGAAACAAAGGGTGTAAGCGAGGTAAACCCAAAAACACAAGACAATAGACAACATACTAATTAAAATTTGTTTAAAAAAAAAGACTTTTACAAATTTTTAAATGTTTTTGTGCATCAAATTTAAATAGTTTAAATTTAATATTAATAATAATAATATATTTATTTATATATTAATAATATATTAAATATTAATAGTTTAATAGTTTAACTTTGGAATCTCGGTTTCTTGTTAATTCAACAACTATCTTTCCAATTCTTAAAACTAATTCAGAAAAAGATTTTTACACTTCAGAAAATAAAACTAATTAATTTTTAAATGTGGTACAAGTACCCCACAAGTATGAAGCACAATTAAGGCAAAGTTTTGGTTATATAACTTAGTTTTGTTTAAGCAAAAGCACAAACAACTTTCTTTTTTCACCAAATCGTGCTTTTAAAATTATGCAGCAAATAATTATTGAGGGATTTCCGCTCGAGAAGTGTTAATGATCGTATTAAGAAAGTTGATGGCATATAAGTGATACCTAATTCATTTGTGAACTTTAAGAGCTGAACTTACCAAAGTCGTCCCAGCTGAGGATGGGACTCAGGCCACAGGGCACTCGCCAGGCACTGTACGGAGCGATGCCATGATCCCTGCCCCGCTGGATGTTGATGGCGGCCAGGTCGAGGCCAAAGGGGAAGCCGGGAGTCTGGAACAGGTGGTTGGTCAGCTCGGGCGTGATGAACTCATCCCGCTTGAGGGCCCTCTGTGAAGCCAATCCCCGTAGAAGCCGATGTAGTGAGCCCGCTGAGCCAATGTCACCGCGCTGGAACTCCTCATGCAGGCTGACATCTATAGGGAGATATATAGAGTTATTAAAAGATCACAGCCTAATCAACTCAATAACAACAATTTCAATTAGCATTGAAAAAAGTAATGCTATTAAAAAATGTTAATTTGATTGACCAAAAAGTAATGCTACTGAGAAAATATTGCATTATATTGCTCAAAAGTAATGCTACTAAAAAAAACAATGAAAAAAAGAATTGCCAAAGAGGAAACTTTGCATTGGATGTCAAGAGGTAATGCTACTGAAAAAAATTTCAAATCGATTCCTCAAAAGTTAGATTTATTAATTTCTCAATTCATTAGAATCAAATCAAAAGTAATGGTAATAGTATTTTGCAAAACAAAAAAGTAATGCTAATTAATTTAGTAATTTAGTTATTTAATTATCAAAAACTAAAAAAAAACCTACTTCAATGCCAATGAAAATTTCTTAATTTTTTTAGTGATAGTAAAAAGTATTACTAATGATTTTGTCACAACTATGATCTCTGGATAGTCAGAAGCCCAACTTACTATTGTTGATAACATTGTGATGACGGTCGCATCTCGTGTAGGAATTCTGGACCAGCGAGTGGCCAAAACGGAAGGCGGCCGCTGCGAAGGCGTTGGCCACCGTGGGATTCACCTTGGAACTGTACCGCTCGTAGTAGCCGGAGGGCACCAGTTCGAGGTCGAAGAGCTTGGCCACCTCGCGGCCCAGGATGACGGGCAGGAACTCGCGGAAGGTGATGTGCTGGAACATGGCGCCCACAATGCGGCGTGTCTCCTGGTAGACCTTCTCATCGCTCCAATGGGGATTCAGCTCACTCAACTCCAGCGCAATCCGGTTGTGTTCGCCCACCCAAACGTGGTGCATGGCCAGCAGTCCCGGCTGCTCGCCGCTTCTCCCATCTCCGGACCGGATGCACTTGGTCGCAATGGCGCCCCGCTGGCACACGTCCTCGGCCGGATCCCCACGCCCGTAGACGAGCAGCCCGTGCCGGAACACCCTCGCATTGTCCGAGGACTTGGCGCTGTTCGAGTAAATGGGCGAGGCGTCGATGAACGAGGTCACCTGGTTGGTCTGCTCCCGCCAGGACAGCACACAGTCGCGTCTCTGGGCCGGAGCCGATCGGAGGAACTCCAAACAGCGCACCTTTAACGGCGCCAGCCAGGGATCGTCCAGGGGCACCTTGATCGGGAAGCAGGCGGGATGGAAGTCCTTGCCGCCACAGCAACTGGGTATGGAACCATTGATGGAGCTAAGGGGGTACAAAATTGGTATTAGCGCACAGTTTTTAAATTTAAAAACAGTAAACAAATTTACATAAAATATATATTAAGAACATTTAGACTACTTTATGACTATCCTTGTTTTTGTATCGAATAGATTTATTTTTGGAACTCAGTTTTTATCATTAAACATCATATAATATCTCTAGAATATGTATTTGATTTTCTCATTATGACTTTTTTTGATTCAGTTCATTTTGGCTAAGGTACAGTTTAAACCGATGGTGCTAAGGTTTTAGAATAGATCCTAATCACTCAAGCTATGTTACATGGACTTAATCATTTTTTGAGTATTTTTTTTTAGGGTGATTGATTCCGAAAATTAAGGAATTTGTTTTATTTTTTTTTCCTACATGTTTAGTTTTTAGATAGACAGTTAGTTAGATAGTTAATAAAAACTTACCGGGGCTGAGCCGTGGAGGTGAGGTCGTGGTCGAGCATCTGCCCCCACTGGGCGATCATGAGGGTGAGCGGGGCCTCCCCCTCCCGTGCCCCATGGACCAGCAAGCTGACGAAGCGGGACGAGGAGAGGGTGCTGCCATCGGCGGAACTGCGGACGGTGTCGACGCCATCGCCGTACTCCGGCGGCAGGAAGCGGTTGAAGGGCATCTGGGCGGCGCCCCATCTGGGCCGGCGTTTGTTGTTGCACGTGCCGTCGTGGGTGCGGTACCGCTCCGAGGCGGGCATGCAGGGCGGCGGGTCCCGCGGCGGACAAAGTCCTTCCAGGGCGGTCCTCCGCAGGGAGATCCGCTGCGAGTGCGACTGGCGGGCCAGCTCATCGATGTGCTGGAAGCTGGCGAGTAAAGAGATGGAGGCGATGATCGTGGGATGATGGTGCCAGGACGGTGCCTCCCAGGACCATCATCATCCTGCCACTGGTGAATTGGAGCCACCACGCGACATGGCTGTGCTCAAATTTCGTGATCGAGTGCCGACTGCTCGAGCCGCCGGCTTCTATTTATAAAACGCTCGACTGCGGAGTCGGATTCGAATTCGGATTCGGTGGAAACGAGTTCGTGGTGACTCCAAGTGGGATCCACCACCAGCGATTTAAGCTCGAGGCGGGAAAACGCATAAGAAATCGGTGAGCAGCCGCTGGCTTTAATTTACCCGCTTTTGCTTTCCATTTGCCGCGTTTATTAGCAACTCTTTTTTTGTCAATTTTCATTTCTTTTGGATTGAGATGGGTATAATGACTTGGTCATGAAATACGACTGGTTTTATGAGTAAGCTGAAGTCGGGGATACAGGCTCACTTTTTTATTATTTTTGATACGATTGAAATCTTGCTATATTATGTTTGGGATAGGCCAAATCCAGAGTGATTTAATACATAAAGTGCAATTAACTTGAAAGTTTGTCTAATTTTAAGGCAGATCGAAATGAATCTTTAAGTTTAAAACAATTTAAAATAATTTAGAGCCTTGACTAAATTTATGGCAGATAGAAAAAGTCTTTAAGCAGTTTTCTACAAAAATTTGAATTCCTATTTAGTTTAATTTTAACTAATTTAAAACTTTAAATAATTTTAAAGCATGACTGAATTTATGTCAGCCAAAATGAAGTCATTAATTGTTAGTCTTTAGTTTAGTTATGACTAATTTGAAGTTTTAAAAATTATGGTTTTTAAATAAATGACAAATGTATGCCACTAAGAAATGCCTTTGATAAATAAATATAAAATTGTTTAGCTTATGTGTATGTGAAACCGTATATTTCAACTACTTTTATATCTTCTAATGAAAAAAGAATTCAACAGTTTTTGAAGAAATAGTTTTTTTTTAAGCATTAGAACCATATGCCTTACGAATTTAAATAGTTAATAAAATTAATTATTAAAGCATATGAAAGCACATACTTGATTTGAAATGCCTTAAAAGAAATACGAGCTTTTTATTCTGTATTTAACTGCATAAACATTTAAGTAAATCAATAAGTTCAATGACCATTAACCCTGAGCAGTTTTTAATTGCAATAGCTAGGTGTCTTTTTCTGCGCCTCACACCAATCGATCTCGATTGGCATTTCTACTTTCTCTTGGCCGGATCACATGTGTGGGCCAACTCAACTTCCTGCTTGGCATATAATTTCCTGCGGTCTTGCGATCAATCTTCTAGGAGTTTTCACTTTTCTACACACGAATGTCTACGAAAATGAGCTATGATTAAATGCCATTTTCGATGGAGGTCGCCAAGGGGATGCGCAAGTGTATAATAGTTTCGGCACGTTTTTCCAGTTTTCGAGTTTTCCAGTTCGTTTTCCTTCAACAGGTGAAAGTGGAAATACAAATTTTCCCAGGCTTTGTGCGCCTCGCTTGTCAACGCTCTGCCAAATTTTCGTATTAAGCATTGTTTTATGCGAAGAAAAGCCCATTAAAGGTGCAAGCGCCCTTTGCCTTGAGTTCACGCGGCGTATACGCAATCTCGACGAAAAAGCGCAGCCGCAACGTTGACGTTTATTATTTTTTTTTGTATTATTAGTGCCGGGAGTTCATTGGCCTCTGAAAACAAGAGAAATAAAAGCACAATGCATAAAACTTTCGTATGGCTTAGAGAGCTTGAGGCCGAATTGGCTGGTAGAAAACGAAAGTCGCCTCATGTTTGTGTTTCAGTTTCTGTTTCGGCTTTTTTTTGTTTTGTTTGCCAGCGTATCAGTTGTACCGCCGCTGCCGCTGCCGCTGCCGCTGCCGCTGCCTCAGTCGACGTCGCAGTCGCAGTCACAGCCGCTGAAGCTTTGCCTTTCCCTGTTTTATTTTTTCTGCTGTTGTTGCCTGGCTTTTGATGTAATCAAATTGCGAATGCCGAATCTGAAATTGAAACTGAATCTCCTCAAATGTGCGAAAGAGCGCCATTGCGTTATGTATGTGCTATTTTTCTAACGCTGTCGCTTTCTTTGGCTTCTAATTTTGGCTAAATGCTGCTTTTGGCACCATTAACGAGCCCCATCGGCAACGGCAACGATCATCATCAGCCAGCCGACTGACGGTATTTGTTGATATTTAATTAAACCAAACATGTTGGCCATTTCATTTCGTAATTTGATTGTGGACATCGAGTGGACCACAAGGCATTTTCCATTAATGGCCATCATCATCAGCATCTTTTGTCTGGCAATTGTCTGTTTTTGTGTATTTGTGTTTTTTGTCCGTTTTTTGGGGACTTGTGGCGACTTGTCGCCCCATTGATTGCAATTACATAAATGCGATTTCGGGCAGCTTTTGGCATTCGACGCGGTCAGAGCTCATTGCACCTGAGTCGCATTCACCTGAGTAAATTGCCTTTTCGGCTGCCACGGGTGAAAGTTCTCGGAGCTCGACGCCTTTCTTTGTGTGTGGAAAATCGCATGGATTTCCACGCTAACACACACACACAAACACAGTTTGTGAAAAGTGAAAACTCTGTCAGCGGAAAAACTGGAAATAATGCCAGCAATCAGCGATGAAAACGGAGATGGAAATGTAGTTTGAGTTGGAGTCGGAGTTGGTGGCGTCTGCCATTTCCGTTGCCCGGCCTAAGAGGTCGTTTAACCCGGGCTTTAACTTTTATTTACCCTCACCCATCCCAATCAGCATTGGTACACACAGAAAACAAAAACCGTATCGATTTATATACAAAGGTTCAGGTTTAAGTCTCTAGAGATTGTCAATTATTAAAAAAAAGTACGTAAGCTGTGAAAAAATTGTTTTTCTAGATTTAGAAACACTTACATGAGATTTACAATCTTTATAAATGTTTGTAGCTACGTCATAAAGATTTAATTTAACATGTCATTATAAGTTCTATATTTTTTGTCCAATTTGAATTTTTCTAACGTCTAAATTGTTTGATTTCAGGAGTAACAAATGCTTTGCTTTGCCTAATAGATTTGTATATATTTTTTTATCAACATGTTGATCATTATAGTTGTTAATTAAAGGATAATGTTTGAATCTAATGTGTGTTGCGAAGCTTTGGTATAATAGTGAGTAATAATGTTCTATATTTCTTGTCCACTATAAAAAATCATTATTTAAAATAAATTAAAATTTTGTAATATTACAAAAGCTTTGCCAAAAAAATTGTTTTATATTTTTCGCTCAATATATTTATTGAAAATAAATTAAGTGCAAGTGTTAGAATCTATTGTATGCAAATTTGATGGCATACAAGTTAACACATAAAATCATGAAATTAATGTTACTTTTCTTTCTGTGCAAGTTACTTGGTCCGATCTGGTATTGAATTTGGATTTGGATTTGGGATTGGTATTGGGATTGGCGTTTGTGTTGGTGTCTTGGTCTTGTCTGCCAATTATGCAGCATTTCAATGTCAAAGTGAAAGTTGACTCTTAGTCATGAGCAATCGCAGTTGGACTCCCATCGTTTTGTGCTACGATTCGATATTTGCACGAGGAGGGGGTCCACTTCCACTTGAGCCAACTTCCAGGCCATTCCGATCCCAGCTCCAACTCATTAGCTCTGAAAGCACCGCTGAAACTGCTGAAACTGCTCAAACTGCTGCCATGGATGCCGTAGAACTCGTTAATCAAGCGAGAAAGTTGCCGGCTGTAATTGTTGACGAGGGGGGTGACGGGGGCACTTTGGTGGGGGGAGGCATCCGCAACTCAATAATATTGCTTACTTTTTTTGGCTTTGTCTTTTCTGTTACTTTTTTGCATTAGATTGCCTGAGGGCAGAAACTCGAGAGTGACCATGCCCACTTATTGTTGCTGCTTTTTAGGGCGAGGGCTGCTAGTTTTGTTGCCAAAGTCATCGAAACATTTTTCCATGAATCTCAGAAATTCGCCACACTTCACATTAATCAATATTTGAACAGAGAGTGACTTTCCAGGAATTAGAAATTAATTATTTTCTACTAACACATCTTTTCCGAAGCGAAGAATATAAAAGACAGTCGTTGGTGTCTACAAAAAGTTAGGAAATCTGTTGAAAAATATTACTACCTTGCCTACAATACTTTAAAAAATAAGGTTTTATTTATTTTTAAGGTAATAAATATAAAAAACTGCAATTTAAGTAATATTATTTGTGGGCATTAAGCGAGTCAACCTCAATGACTTAAATATAAATTAAGATGATTATTTTTGAAATTCCCTAGATATTATTTGTCGATAAGAACTAATCAGAATCTCAAGTTTCTGGAATTTTAAAAGGCCAGCCGTTCAAAAATAATATCTTTGTTTGCTATAGCTTACTTTCGTCTTTCATTGGCCTTGTATGGTGTTAAATAAGTCAACCTTAATGATGTTCACTTTTGGGCCTATTGACTTTTCCTATTTAAAATGTAATAATTAGCCAATTTATGTATTATATACAGAATGTTGCCATTTCAGGACTTCCATTTGTAGGGTATCAAGTCAACCCCAATGATAGCAACTTATTTGCCCACCCACGAGAGTCCACTTTGATTTTTAATCATGCGCATCGCTTTTGCCAATAACTTTTTTCATATGTCATAGCCACATATTTGCGGCTGATGAACTTATGGCCCGCCACAATACGCACAGGCCACATATTTGTACATACATACAGGATTCACCCACACCCGATCTTCCCCTGGAACTTACTTTTTGCGAAAGGCCTTGGCGGCGGCAATGGTGGCATAGGCGGCCATCTCCCGCCGTTCCGAGGAATCCGTGGAGGGGGCATTGAAGCGGCTCAGCATCGCGGCCGGATGGTTGTCCTGCAGGGTTTGGCCTTTTGCGCGGTATTCCAAAGGATTTCGAGGATGTGATTCAAGGTTAAAGGAACAGAAACAGACACAAAAACAGAGTGCCGCATAAAGAGTACCCACCAGTGCGCAGCATCTCCGGCTGAATGTGGCCGTATAGCTCGGCCATGGCATCCAATCCCTCCCGCACGCTCTGCTGCAGGGCCACATCCATCAAGGTGGGCCTCCTCGAACGTCCATTTCGCGTGCTCCGGATTGGAATCTCCAGTTCCGGGTGCAGCTCCTCCTCCTTCTCCTCCTCCAAGTCGTGCAGCGGGATCAGCGGACGTGGCAGCTCCTTGGTGGGCATAGCCATGCCACTGGTCCAGTCCAAGTGCATCAGCAGCAGGAGCAGCAGCTGAAGCAGCACCGCCACCAAAAGTGATGGCTGCAACATTCCAGCGGCGACTTCTGGAATGGTTTATTCGCTGTCAGGTTCAGTGCAAGCAAAGGTTGCCAAAAGGAATGCCCAGAAGGGGAGAATGTTGTCAGTGGACCTAGGGCCACTAAATCATTGGATTTCTTGGAGGGTTCAAATCCAATAAATAATAAAATATGTTTTAGATGTATTCGAGTTTTGACTTAGACAGGGGAAGTAATCATGAGTCAGTGTTGAATTTAATAAACAAATAAATAAATCAAAATTTTATAATAACTGAATAAAAATCATGGAATAATTAATATTGATTTTTAAAATATAAATTGAGTGTACCTGTTGTGTTTTAAGTTCTAAATAAAAATCAATGAATAATATTTTATTTAATATTTGTATTACAAAATCCAAAATGTATCGAAAAATGTTATATTTTTAAAATTTTCCCTGCATAAAATCCAAATTCAAACCTATTAGCTTGATGGCCGTTGAATAAGACATTTAATAAGAAAGTGATGAAACTTATCTAGAGTGGAATTTATCTAAGCATTTACGACTCAGTTAATGAGTTTATTGGCTACCTATTGATTACTCATAAATCACAAATCGCTGAATCTGCCCCAAAGGTGTTACGTTGTCAACTCAGTGAACTCGATGAGGCGCGAATTAAACATAATTATCAATAAAGTTACATCGTTTTGGGTCGCCAATATCGATGCATAATTGCTGCTGTTGCTTCTTTCGCGATTTAGGTGATTTAATCGATGCGATTACATCAGCAACAGCAACTTACGTCGAAAAAGGTATCAGCAAAAAAAAAAACAAACATGCGAAAAGCTTGCTATTATTTTTTGCAGCCTTTTTTAAGCTCCCCACAGCTAATTACAAATATACAAAATTAACTTCAACTACAACTTATTATCGTCTAACCATATAATTCTCTTTTCCAGCGTTTTTTGTTGCTTTTACTTGGCAAAAAGTGCCAAGTTTTATTTATTACATTTTGTTTTGGCCCAGTGAGTTTCTCGCTAGCTGTTATTTGAATACGCTTTTTAGGCCTGAGTTGATTGACTTTATCAAATGTTGGAGTACTTTAATATGGTGATTTGAATAAAAAAATCCCAAGATCCTGAAACTTTTATTAAGCAAGCGTGTCACAATTTAATCACTTTATTTTTCTTTTCCTCTTACTTTGCCTAGTATTTTGTTTGTTTTTTTTTTCAGGCTTATTTAATTTGTTGAACTTTACTTATTTGGATGCAATGCGGAGTACTTTTTTGCTTCAATGACCGCATAACAGCCGTCAAGAGTGGCAGTGGTCTATGTAATAAACATTTGCAAGCGGGTAACAGCTACCTACAATTTATACACTGCCTTTGCAATTGCAAGTCCAAGTGGATCTGTTCTAAGAAGAAAGTAAAAGACTAAACTCTTGACAGCTCGAAACCAAAACTCATAAAACTATACATTTATTATTGGCTTAAAAGACCATTTAACTTAGATATAACAAACTTTAAATTTTATGTGATACAAATTACGTTTAAAACTAATTTGCTTTTGCAGAGTAAAATTACAGTTACTTTTTTCATTAAAGAAATTTCCTTTTTAATGTAATGTAAAAGTTTTGATATCATGTGCGTCTGATGTTTTGCTTTAATACAATCCCCAGACTTCATAAAACTACCCATTTTCGGCCAAGCATTTTTCAATGTTTCGTTTAGTTTGCCAACAATTATGCAATTAGACTCATGACTATGGTCTTGCATAAGGCCTCTTTTCTCTCTTCCTCGTTCAAGGGTCTGCACCTCCAAAGCAACCTGCATGTATAGCAACACCAGCCAGGAAGTTACTGGCTAACAGAAATTTTACGCCTTGGCTGGTTTTGGCTATACACTATAACTATAACTATACCTATAACTCGAAGACACGCTCACTTAGTCAACTGTGGCAGTCCGGCCATTAATAATAATCAATTTGTTGGATGATCTTTTGCGCAAAAACGGAAATTGATTTACCCCAAGTGCGGTGGTGGGCAATTTGTAGTTCGTAATTGCCGTGATTAACACCTCTGTCTCAATTAGTCGGGGACTTTCACGATTTTTCAGCTTTGTGGTGGGTGTGTCAGCTCCTGTTTTTCCTGGGGGTGCGACTCCTTTCGATGCTGTACACTGTTCGCAACCGCCGCACAGCACACACCGAAAAGAAACTTTTTCGCGTTTGTATCTGGGATCGTCGTAAACCGAACTAAATCGATTCTCACCTCACGGCTGCCATTAGAAGCCAAAAGAAACACAGACGCCGAGTCGCAAAGCCCGAGCCATGCCACAGCTTCACCAAAAAAAACTTTGGGAAAAAGAGTAAAAAACAGAGGCTGAGATGGAAAAAAAAGACTTCCAGGCAAGCGACCAGTTCTCCGCTGGCTTTCATTCACTAGCAGTTTTTTTTACCCAGCAGCCAGCATCCAGCACCCCGCCTCAGCTTCTACATTTAAATATTTATTATTTATTTTCAACTTGCTGGCGCTTATCGAGCGGCGTCGCCTCTTTCCGTATTCCGTATTCAAATCGAAACGAGAGAGATAAAATGCCTTGCGGCTGCATAAAGTTCCCATTAAAGCAGAAACATAAGAAATGTCTCACTATGCGCCGATCGTCGATCGCCGATCGCCATTCATCCGCTCCAGCCAAGTTGGGCCATTCAGTTTCAGTTGTGAGGCATCCAACCAGCTCCACATCCACATCCACATCCACGTCAATCCATCGCCGCAGCCGGTTCATCAAAAGATGGCCAGCTGGATGGGATGCTGTGCTTAGCAGACCGCTTCCCCTTATCTTGGACCGCCATCGAACTGCTTTCAATTAGAAGAGAAAGTTCTTGCCACAAGCGCATGCAAGAAAAAGTGAAAAAAGAAGCACACACACTCACACTCACACTCGAAAAATAAAAATAATCAACAATGAAATGTTGCTGCTCAGACTCTCTTTACTTTCGGCCACGTTGGGATCACCTTGGGCCAGGCCATAATAATTGCACCTCATAAATTGAGTGACAACAATAACAATTGCCACCAGGCCCTCAAGATGAAAATCGGGTAAAACTAAAACGCGCTGGACTGAACGGAACGGAACTCAACAGAACTGAAATGGGCAAAAGGCAGAATATGCATAGAAAACAAATGACATCAGCAGTGCAAAAAGTCTTAAAATAGAATAGGAATTGGAAAAAATAGTGGCGTTGGCAAAGAGTTTTGCCATCGAAAGGCGAGGGTCTTGAAGGAAATTCATATGCATACAAATAAACGTTAAACTAGGAAAGTCTAGTGTCTATTTAAGTGTTTACAAATATACCTCAAATAACTTTAAAGAAATATGTGTTAAAAATGTCCAGTGGGGAAGGATGTCCATCCACTACTACTTTAAGGCATTTTTATTGGCTCACAGTTTAAAATCAAATAATTCAAAATTCATACAATAATACATTCTAATTACTACAATCCATTCCACAAAGATATAGCTAAAGGTAAGTTCATCGACTAAAATGCAGGTATTTCAAAGCGCTTACTCACGAGTATTAAATTCCCCTCACGCTTTGGCCAAACGCCCGGATTCTCGACACTTCTCTAATGCTTTTAGCTGCACTTACACGTAATGTTATCAGATCGGAATCCAAATCGGAATCCGGATCGGTGATGCAATCGGTCGAGAAGCCGGGTAAGCGGTAGAGTTGGATCATCATCAACTGCGTCGCAACTGCTGCAATTGCCAAGAGACGGACAAAGTCAAAGGTAAGCCGGCTAAAGAGCAATAAAATATAATCCAGTCGGCACAGTAAATAGGTTCAATTAGCAATCCCCGACTCGACGGGCTCTAATCTTCCACTCTAGCCAGCCGAGCATTGTGCATTGGTGGGCGTTGCATTACGTATACGCCTCGTAAATTAAGTATACGTAAGCAAATGTATTTGCTTGACAAGAGCCACGCACTTGGTCAATTGGATTCAATTGAACTGTGAGCGCCCTCCAAAACGGCGGATAAGAATAAAACCGACGGGGGAATGAAACTTTGTCAAGCCGAAGTCAACAATACCCAAGCCATAACATACAAATATATATATATGCATTTTCATTAGTATGATAAAATTTCGTTAAAATTTTGTTTTAATGTTATTTTAAAAATAAACGTTGCCACGTTTCTATAATCTTATACACTTTTCTACAGTTATACTGGCAATTGAAGGGAAAACTTCATGTCATAAAATAAATATAATATGGTTTTACTTATTAACTGTATATTAATGGGTCGAAAGGGTAAGGCTTTTTATCACAATTACCATGAAACTTTAAATTGTACATATCATTAACATTTTATTTTAAATAGAATCTAACATTTTTAAAAGCTGGCTTAACTTTCCTATAGCTATATTGACAATTCAAATCCAAGGTTTACATCATAAAATCAATAAAATATTGTTTGAGCTATGAGCCTTGTACCCCCTGAAAGTGTACAAAAAAGAGGCCCAAAACATCTCTGACTTTGATCCAAGGGAGAGGCGTGGCGAGGGGACGGCGTGGGCGTCAAGTGGAAATGAAATGAACCGCCATTTGGGTCCGCCGATGACGACAGTTGAGTGCCCGGTAGCGACTCTGCTTTCCGAGTTATACAGCAGCAGTTCGAGACTGGGTCACTGTTACGAGCGTATAAGAACCAGCGAGTGTTCTCCGCTCACGCACACACTTTCAAACAAAACAAAAAAGAACAGAACAGAAAACAGAAAGAAAAAAACCCGGAGTGCTTCATAATTAGAAGAGAGAAGGCGATAAAGAGTGCGAGACGGCGGCAGAATACGAAAAGAATCGCTGGAATAATAAAATACACGAGGTTAGGTTGCCTTTGGGTCCGACTTTTCGCCTTCTGGCCGGAGACTTCGCTTTCGTTTCGCATATTTTACGTTTACGCTTACGTTTCCCCTTTGCTTTATTGTAATTTATAATTTATTTGAATGTTGTTGTCTGCTTCTTGTTTCGTTTCTTACTTTCACACGAAGAAAAAGGTTTGCCCCCGCCCACTCAACGAACGGTATCTACAGTCCATTGTTCGAGTAATTGAAATCGCCAATCTGCAGAGGCCCCCAAAGTTTTGGACTTCGTTTTCAGTTTTCGGTTTATGCAGTTTATTAAAAGTTCGATTTTTATTCGCCTTTGTTGGGGATTAGCTCTATAAATAGATGTACAAGTAGACATACATTTTAATATTATTTTTAATAGTTATAATAAACATATTGTAGATGCTTCGCTCGCGCTCTCTCGAAACATTCGCCATTTACAGCTACAGCACTTCAATTGAGCTTCAATTTGCGATTAAATTTATTTCGCTTCCATTTTAGTACAAATCACTTGAGCAAACACCATCCCATTTGGAGGAATAATTTTAAGTTTCGTCTTTTCGTGCGGCATATACAATATGATTATTAAAAGTAATAACAGTAGTAGGGGTATTAAAGATTAGACATAGGTGTAGCTATATTTATATGGTTTACATGGATGTGGGGGTGTGTGTGGCTTACGTGCCTTGCGTTTTGAGCTGCTGAGAAGCACCTGGAAGACTCCAGACTCGCAGCCCAAAACTCGCAGAGCGCGTAAACAACAAAACAAAATTAAACAACATTGTAAAATGAGTGAGTGTATGCGTGTGTGCACTTACAAAGTAAAACAAACTTAAGGCTAACCGTGTGTATGTGGTTTTGTTGTGTATAGCTAAGGTATTGCACTAAGTAGATTATGTATAAATATATGTAATAAACAATTTACATTGAATTATAGAGTTCTGCTGAAGCTTACAGGAGATAGAGATAGAGAGAGAGTTAGAGATAGTGTGGCAGACAAAAAAAAAGAGTATAAATATGTGATGTACTTGTTTTTTTTTTTGTTGGTTTTTGGATATTTTTTGTTGAGAAGGAATGTCGTTACACAGATTGCCCTGTCCCCTGCCAACACTTTGAAGCCTCTAACGTGATCCAGGGACCACCCATTTGAGTCATCAGTGACCAAACGATTCGAACTACTTGGATTACTTTTAGAATCTTGCAAGTTTCGGGATTCCTTTATGATAAAAGCAAATCACCTGGCTCGCGAGTTTTTTACGATAAGTCCAGAATTCCTTCCGTTCAATCCAAATCTCCTTGTTATCCTTCTTCTTCCGATCAGCCAGAGATCCCCCGCCGACAACCCACAGCACAGCACTCGACCGCTGCAGCGGCCGTTCGTTCGGCCCCGCTTCCTTTGGGGCCGTTCCGTTCCACTCCGCCCCCTCCCCACCCCATCAGTTGCGCCGCTCGCCCGCTCGTGCCGCCGCCGCCTGCCGCTGCTGCTGCTGCTCCTTGTCGCGTAGTTCCTTGATGGCGCCCACCGTGCCGAACATCACCTTGGCCGTCAGCTGGGCCCGCGGCGGACCGCTGGACTTGCCGCTGGTGGCCGCCTCGCGGTCCAACGAGGCATTTGCATTGGCGTAGGCGTTCGTGTACGATACGTAGTTGTTGTTGAGGTCGCGACCGCAGCTGCACTGATGCGACATGTTGCACGTGATGATTTGTTGTTGTTGTTTACGGGGTAGTCCGCTTTTTATATATTCAACGATGGCGTGGCGTGGAGTGGCGTGTGGAGCAGTTGATCCGCTTGCGGTTGTTTGCCAATTGATCGCGCCTCGCAGTCGCTCACACTTTCACAGACTCACTAGAACTAATTTCGAAAAGCTGTGGTGTTGTTTTTGTGGCCAAGCCTCGATCGGCAGCGCAGCGGCAGCGACGTCGTCGTCGGCGTCGCCAGCGATGAGCGGAGAGAGAGCTCCAAGCCCCAAGCCAATAAAAGAGCGCTGCGATCAGCAGCTGTTGAGGGAGAGCAGAGCGGGCTGCAGACGTCTCATGCTGCTGCAAACATTGCTGCAGTGAAATGATAAATTTCTCTACACAATAAAAAAAATTCGTCTTGATATGAAATGTGTACAGTAGAAATTCCATAACAACGAACTGTTTTTGTCACCAAAAAACATTTTCAACCGGAGTGCCACAATTACTTCTTAGCCTCTTCAAAAGGTGTCTTAAATAAAACAGAAGTTTGACATTCATCACTTATACGTAGGACTTAAAATAGAGTTAAGAAGTTTCAAGAGTTTACAAACCTCATGAAATTTCTTAGATAAATACTTAAGTTAAGGATGATTCTGAAGCATGCTGACTTGAATTCTTCAGAATGAGATGAATTTTATATTAAGCTAAATAGTAGCCTGTTTTGTTGGTATTTGAAGACCGCTTTTAAATTATACGTTTCTAGAAATTGTATTGTTAAATCATCAAAATAAACTTTATTTTCTGTGAACCCCCTGCAGCTGATCGTGGCTCTCTGTACAGTCGCTGCCTCTGCTGCAGTCGGCGTCGCTGTCGCTGGTTTTGGGAGAGCTTTCTTGATTGCAGCAAAAGAGTGTTGTTGTGTTGTTTCTAATGCCTTTCCCCTCACACCCCCTTTCAAATTGACGACGCTGCGCTTGTGTAATCTTTACGCCGTCTTTGTATGTACTTCTTTTTTTTTCTTATTTCTCTTTCGGTGGAGCTTTGTTTTTGTTGTAGTTTTACTCATAACAATTTGCGAATTCCACTGGCACGCTCGCAACAACAGCAACTACAACAAAAGCAGCAAGTGAAAATCACTAAGCAATGCAGCGACTCACCTGTTTATTGTTGTTGCTGGCATTCATTAAGTTTCATTCACCTTTCGCAGCAGACTTTATATTGTAAGTTTGTTTGGTTGTTCAGCATTTTTTTTGTCGGTCGTACTTTTTCGTTAATAAATGGTAAGTGGTAAAAGCCATTAAAGAGCAAAAGGAAATGCCTTTCTAACCGCCTGAACCTGACCCAAAAGAACCAACCAAAAGAATTTCCAACTGGAGAGAGCAAAGAAAACAGCAAAAGAGACAAACAAACGCATTCGCTTTCGATCGATCGTCACTTTCCTCGGCCAGAAGCAGAAGAAGCAGAAGACTCGCACTACCAGTTTTCTCCAAGAACCAAAAAGTCACGGTGACCCATATAACACTATATAACACCTCAGTGCGCTGCTGACGTCAGCAGAGCGAAAGAGGGAAAGAGCGACGGGAGAGGGAGAGAGTACAGAACAGAGAGCGGGCGAAAAAGAAAGAGTACTACTCCACTCCGATCGAAAAGAAAGCGAAAAAAGAAATTTCAATGCAGCGAAGCGTAGAATGGAGAACGTATGTTTGTTTGTGCTTGAAGTGCCAGCAAACAAACAAACACAATCGCACACAGGTGATCGTGTGCTCACCCACTTATGTAGAAAAGTGTGTCATCGAGTGAGAGAGAAAGAGAGAGAGAGAGAGTAGAAGCTGTAGCAGAAGAGAGAGTAACATTCTTTAACGACTTTACTATACGACTCTATGTACTGTATTGCAATTACTTACAGATGTATACATACATACATGTGTGTATTTAGCAAGAGTCAACAGTTGTGGCTAAAATAATAGTGCTAACCAGAACCATCTAAAAATAGCTGATAGAACTCTAAAAGGAATGTTATTTTATTTCATTAAAGTTTTAATTCCACTAGCGATGTTTTTTCTCCATGATAAATAGCTTTTAGTAAATTTGAATGACAGTTATCTTCTGGCTATCCCTGTTTCCATGTTTTTTTATCCTTAAGAAAAAGGATTTCTGTATCGATGCACCTATTTATGGCGACTGTTAATTAAACAATGTAACAGTAAGTTAATTTACCTGTGACACTAAAATGTTAGAATAAGTACCAAAAAATTATTTAAATATAGATAGTAACATTAATTAGCAATAGCAATAAATCTGCACTGTTAAATTATTGATGCTTTTAAAACAAATTGCAAAAAAAATAATTAAAATGACAGTAAAATATTAATGTAAAGTTTCCTCCAGAGGACCGGTGTTGAGTGTTGTGGAAGAAATGTATTTGAAAACTTTGTTAAAATTTCCAAAAATTATTTCCATATGAAAAGACATTAAAACATTCGATGTGGACTACGCAGAATATCGAATCTCTAGAGAAAAGTGGGTGGGTGGCTTGGAAGTACCCAAATTTGCAAAGATATGTACTCAAAAGTCATTTGCCAGAAGATCGTAAACCACGTCGACTTTCGAATTAGCTGGGTTGACTCTGGCTGAATCCTAATTATAAATGCATATTTATGCCGCCAGTTAGTGGCTTCTACTTGCCGGTGCCATTGTTGCTGGCCAAGTTGCTGATATCTGACGCCACATAAGTTCATCTGGATCTCAAGTGCACATTGCACTGCGTTTTTCTCATGCGCAGAATCAATTAAAAGAGATGAAAAAACCCCAAACGAAAAAAAACTTGTTGTGGGAAAAATCTCCGAAAACCTGCATAAGAATCGTGATTTTCCATTTTTTTTATTGTTGTTTTGGGTGTTTGTATTTTGTGTTTTTTTCCGTTGCTCTAACAACTACGAAAATGTTTTCTTGGTTATTTTTATGTTTTCGCTTATGCATTTTTTCGGTGGGAAGTTAGTATCGTATCGTATCGTATCGTAACGCTGTGTGTGGAGTAGGTGTGGGCTAAACTGGTTGGTTAAGCCAACTGCAGGTTTAATTTTGTGTCTTTGTTTTGCCTTATTTTGCCTACCGCCGCCGGTCCGCGATGATGATTTATAGCTGAACTTGTCTTCTGCAAAACGGGGCCAGAAATCGAATCGAGTCACATATGTATCCTCCTTCTGGCCATCTCCATATGCACATAGCACATGGCCCAATCCGCAAGCCAGATGCCAGATGCCAAACAAAAACACCCAAATGAGCTGCTTGGCCTGTGATTAGACCGCTGGGAAATTTATTAACCTGTTCCGGTGCGATGACGCGGCAGGCCACGCTTTGACCATGTTTTGGTGTTACAGGCCATGTCACTAGGCCCTCTTATCATTCTGATTTATGATCGATTGCCCGTGGTGAGTATGAAACGCACGCGCTGTCAAATGAAGTGAAATTCATATGCCATGTCCCCCAGTTGCAGCTGCAGTTATCTGGCCAAGGTATTGGTTTTTTAGGAACTTAATGCCCGTCTAATGGCCTCTGACGTCAAGATCCCAATTAGTCGCCGTAATTCCACAGAAAGCCATAAAAACGTATAAATTTCTAGGACAAATTGTAATAGCGCCACAAATCTCAATGCAATTTCGGTGAGTCCCCGCGCTTTCACGCTGTGTCCAATAGCATTGCGTATACGACCCGTGTTTATTCTTTGGGGGGTGGTGGCTGGCCAATCAATGTGTATATTTTCTCCATATTTTCCAATTAGCAAACGATTTTTGCTTTTATTTGTAATTAAACTATTTACAACTAAGCATCATCCCAGCGGGTTTTCGTTATGGTTATGGTTATTTTTCCAGCTCCTTTGCCCTACCATCTGTGTAATTGCCCGGAATGCATCAGAACGTAAGCATATTAATTAGAAATAAGGTCGAAGTACCATGAAACGGAAAGCAAATGGGTAGTACTAAGTAATCCCTTGGTATTAAAAATTCCCTTGTTATTGATAAGCTATAAGTTTAGTAAAATAATTTAATTAAAAAGAGAAAGCATTTAAAATTATATATAAAGTACACAGGTACATATAAATATATATTTTTTTTCAACCCTTATAAACGATCAACAGATTAAGCCCCAAGACATATTACTAGCAAAATCGACAAATTGCGTCGAATTGGTCTAAGACAAATATTTGTGTCACTCGCAAAGGAAGCATGGCAAATGTGGCAGCAGGACAAATGTTAAAAGTTATGCGTTCTTGGCCCAAGGCAGCTAGATGCTGGCATTCCGCATAAAATTCCTTTACGTTTCGCTTTTGAAATGTTACAGCCGAAGTAGGGGTTACATGTCATTTGAGTTGTCACTTGTGTTCCAAGGATGCCCCACAAAGTGGGGCCAAAGGCAAGTGTCTTGCATTTGAGTAATGCGCGCCCAGTCAGCTGGCAATTTTCCATTGAAATGAGAAATAGTTGGGCATACACTTGGTGGGTGTCTGGGCATCTCCTAATGAACCTCAACATCGCATTCATCATACGCACCGTTGGCTAGCATATATGCAGCGGCGCATCCTCGAGTTTCAGGTTTGGCTTACCATCTCAAAACTATCTCGACTTCGGTTATACTATCGGGTTGGCTTAGCTTTCCCGGAAGAGCCGCATGGCCATGGCCACTTGTTACATCCTTGGGCGCAAATGCCACCCCAAAATTCCGCCCCTCGTTCGTGGTGAGCATTCGTGGAAAAACTCACCACACATTGTTGTCGTCACTTCTTGCGGCTGTCGTGTGGGCGGTTCGTTGATAAGGGCGCGCAAGTCGCTCATATAAGAGGCCGAGCGCCAGCGGATGCGGATTCAAAACTTAACCGACATCTGATCTGTCAACGTGCCACAGGAGCAGCAGCAGGCGAATATCTCCGCGGAAGCTTTAAAACCAACAATTTGTACCGCGTATCCTGTATCACGGAGTGCCGTTCCCCGAATCGAAAAAGTTGCAAAAGTTGCATCGCGATTTTTGTGCATCCCGGTGTGTGAGTTTTCCCAGCGGCCTTTGCATCTCGCTGTAAGTTGTGAATATAAATCTAACATATAGTTTAAATAATTACTACGAGCTTGCATATACTTGTAAATATTATTAAATTAAATAAATCCTTCCCTTTTCAATTGAACAAATCCTTTTAAAACATATAATATTTATAATGTGTTCCGATTTCCATAGCTATTAACGTAAACCATATTATCTGTAACATGATCACAGGTTAAACTAACCAAAAATTTGGATTTTGTGCAATTTAATCCACAAAATTTGTATAAATCTCATTTAAACCATAAAACAGTGAACTAAATAACATTGGTACTTGATACCTTACGAATTTTTTACTTTCCTTTAGAAACAAATAATTTTTGGTGAAGACATTTCAATAAATATTGCTAAGCCATTTGCAAAAAATTGTTCCTTTAACATTCCGTCAAATAGTATTGTTACAAGTAAAAATAGGCCCTAAGAGTCAATCACCATATTTCCCCCAAAATATTTTCGCATTTTTAAATATGGACCCCAAAACACAATCAGCACATTTGCCCTAAAAAGTATGCCAGAAAAACGCAATGCAATTTGTACTCGTTTTTGATCTAACGAAAAGGCCTCGAATTCAATTCATTTTCAATCGCTTAGCGAGGAGACAAGACCAAATTTGATTATATAAAATGCCTCTAGCAACAATTGACATATGGCAACAGTGTGTAAATCAGCAACTCGCAGCCAAATCGTTCGGAATCGTAGAGAATCCTAGGGAAGACAAAAGACAAGCCTCAATCAAATTGTAATTAAATAAATAACAAGGCGCCTGAGAGCAGAAAAAATGGGATCACACATGGTAAAGCCCAAAAGCCAAGGACGAGAATATTAAATAAACAAATCGGAGGACAATTGTTGATTGATGTTGGGGCAAGTTATGTGCTGGTCTCCGGATGGAAGATGGCAATCAGGATGGGAAGGGGATTGGTACTGGGATTGGGGCATTTGCTCCGGGGTCATTTGCAATGTTTACTCGCAGAATTGATACACATGTCGAATTAAAGAAAAACAAGATAGTGGATGGGACAAAAAAAAAAGGGGCTGACCCTTGTAGTCTTGTGCCATCTCGAAACAAAACAAAGAGTCGCAGGGCAATGAGGTCCCGGCTTTTTATTGCCTAACCGCCATAAATTGGCGCAAAGAAGTTAGCCACTTCATTACCTGAACGTAACTTAATTAGGGGAGCTTTGGGAAGGTAATGGTGTGTTGCCCCCTGGCAGGTCTTTCAATTTAAAAAAGCGTTTCAATTGCACGCAGCTAATTTTTGCTCATTTTGAGGTTCAGCTTTTTGGTTCCACCTGAGGGATCTGTCCGTCGTAATTTGCCACATCAGCTGAAACTGCTTTGCACGGCAAAAGCTGAGAATTTGTTTATATCCTTTGGCTTCTGTGTTTTGCCCTTTGCTTGTATCCCTTAGCTTCGGAAAAGTTTTCCAACTTAATTAGACGACCAACTTGGGCGCTCCTTTGAATTTCCGTTGCATTTCGCGTTGGGCGGTCAAAACTAATCGCCGCTGCGGATATGAGAAACGAGAAAAGCCCAGCGGAGCAGAAGAAATGAGCTATGGCCAAAAGTGGCGTAAATTCATAAACGGATAATGCCTGAATCTCATTTGCGGGTGGCGACCAAGGGCTTGCAGCTGTAGCTCGGCGACAAACAAGATTTTATTGCACAAATGGAAATAATAATAGTGAAAGGTGTTGACACTTTTCACAAAACTTGTTTTGCCCCCATCAGATTTACGATTGCTGCTCGTCCTCCTTTTCATTGTTTTTGTTTGTGTTTCTGTTTCTGTTCGCCGTGTTGCGGTTGATAAAGTCTAACAAATGTGACGATTTTCCGCCTATTATCTCGTGGCCATAGCCTTTTGCAGCCGGGGAGCTTTTATTGTGCTGCGTGGAAAATGCACAGCTGCCATCCAGAGTGCTGCCATTGTAAATCAAACACGGAGCTTGGGAAAGGGGCCTTGGATGCCTTTTGCGGTCTGTTTGGTGAACCTGTTGCATGATTTGTGGCGCTGTTGCACATGCACTCAGTGTTTATGAATTTATCACCGACCACGGTGCGTATGCGCAACATTTTGTGCCCCAGAGCATAGCGCTTCGATTAATTGATGTGGCCAGTGTTTGCACATAATTATGGGCGGCAACGAAGTCTCAAACAAGCTAAGCCTTTTTAAGACCCTGATTGTAATAGAAAATTGTGATAAAAGTTAATTTGCCTAGCCAAACAACAGTAAGTAAGTCGGAGACAGTGGGGGTTCTCTAGTATGTGCTCTTAAGTTGCCAAGTTTTCCGGCGGAAATGCAGCCACATTGCACACCTTCAATTGATGGCACTGACTTCTCCACAAAAGCGTTGATGATTGCCACCGACTGACACAGCCATTCCGCTAATGGAATGCTGCATAAGGACTTCCATTTCACGTCTCGACTGGCTTTAATTTTTGGGTAATTGTCTTGCCACAATTAGTGGCATCTGCGGCGGGAACTAAGCCACTCGTTTCGCGGATCAAGTTCCGTTTTTACGACCCGACTTGCAAGGCCAGCAGAAAAGAAAACCCGTCGCGTCTGCTGCAATTCGACCAAAGACCAAGGACCTTCCGGCTGCCATCAAACTTTTTAGCTACATTTTTAAGCGTTCTGCAGCCCATTTTTATTCCCCGGTTATTTTCACTTTAGTTTTTTTTTTGTTTGCGCTACTGCCAGGCTGTCAGCGCGTCGACATTTGTTGCCGTTGACAATTTTGTGTTTGGACCAAATTCCTCAACGATTGTTTGTTTCTTTATTTTGCATAAATATGCGAAATAAACGAAGGCACATGTATAGGGGCACACATTAGGGTGGTTAGATTTTCCCTTTTTTGTTAAATTAAAATCTTGGTTACAAAACGGAAATTAAGTTTTGTTCCTTTTTTTTAGACTTATTGCAGAGCATAAAAAATAATTTTCTTTTTAAATGCCTTGAAATACATTTTTGATTTTGCTATCTACAATTTTCGAAAGGTTGATAAATCAAATTTTTCTGTTTTGAATATTTCGTATTTTAAACTTTGCTAACATATTTTCTATTTTCACTCAAATAATGGCTTTGGGAACTTAATAAATGGTTTAAAATGAAGGGAAAAATAAAATCTTGAAGCTGTATCCCATACTTTGACTTGGTTAATCATTAAATCGAGCCACCCTAATTTTTGCGTATCCATGTTTGCAAACGGCGACAAGTGTCGCCGCAAAGTATGCAACGCTTTGACACACAGAGAACTGGGGAGCTAGACGCTTAAAATTCTATTCGTCGCCTGCTCACTTTGTCTTTGCTCATTTTTGCAGCAGCGGCTACAGCGACAGACGTGCCACGCCCCTCACCCTCCCCCACCGACATCACAATGAACTCCCTTCACGCCCACCTCCTGCTCCTAGCCGTTTGCTGTGTCGGCTACATTGCCAGTTCGCCGGTTATTGGCCAGGATCAGCGCAGTCCTTCGCTGGGTGACGGCGATGCCGATGTCCTGCTGGCCGCCGACGAGATGGGCAACGACAACGGCGGCGGAGGCGGCGGCGACAACATTGACAAGCGGGTGGAGCGGTACGCTTTCGGGCTGGGCCGCCGGGCCTATATGTACACGAACGGAGGAGGCGGCATGAAGCGCCTGCCGGTCTACAACTTCGGCCTGGGCAAGCGCTCCCGGCCCTACTCCTTTGGCCTGGGCAAGCGGAGCGACTACGATTACGACCAGGACAACGAGATCGACTACAGAGTGCCGCCAGTAGCAAACTATTTGGCAGCTGAGCGTGGAGGTGAGTCAACTCCACAACAAAATGATGTAAAATATGTTAAACAATTGAGAGAAATTATTTCTTAATTTTTTTCCAACATTTTTAAATATTTCATTTTATAGTTCATAATTTTATGAAAAATCAACAAAGTAAAACAATGATCAAAACTGAATCTGAACTAAAAGGAACCGCGTCTCAGTGGTTAAAGTATAATGCTAGTAATCCATTGGATGAGTTTAAAATGTTAACATTTAGTTGACAATTTTTAGGAGCCTTACCATTTTTCTGTTTACTTAAATATTTTATAGAACACATTATTATAACACAAATTACTGATTTCACATATGCTGTGTTTTTTGTGTGTACTTTGATCCTCGGACTTACAGTGCGACCTGGCCGACAGAACAAGCGAACGACGCGTCCACAGCCCTTCAACTTTGGCCTGGGTAGGCGTTAAGTTAGCCCGGGACTAATCTTCGACCAGATGGCGCACTAATCCAAATCCAGCCGTGGGCCATTTGTCAAGAGGAACCCATTCTACCTAAAATTATCAAAGAAGTACTTGCTAAAAGCTCTCAGACTCTTCTACAAACTTAAATCACATCCAGGAGTCAATCTAAATGTCTTGGAATGCAAACGATTTCTTTGCACGCCCCTCGTCCTTTTAAATACTAATGAAAAATCGCTATTTTTAGTTTTTTAAATCGAGACCTTTAACGGCAGCCTCCAATATAAAATTGCGAAAAATACCAAAAAAATGAAGTGACATATTGCAAATGAAACTGTCGTGTGCAATTATCAAAAAAGGAAACACATAAAATGTTATACGAATCTATTATATATGCATATTCAATCCAATTTACAGTACTCCATATATGTACATTTTTAAGGGGCATTAAATAATATACACGCGGATTTAAATATATATGTATAAACTTGGGGCAATCTCTCTCAAACAGAGCGACTCGAATGGCATTCGTTGTGGTCGCAATCGGAGGAGCACTAATATTGGGTAAACTACTGCATACTATTATCGATGTAACTAACTGTTTGAGCAAAGTGATTACTAATTTAACTATATAATTACAAAAACATGAAATTGTTTTGTGAATACATGCATACCTACCCAAATAAACATAGGCGCAGCAAAATTGCGCAAGCAAATCCAGTTTATCGTGACTTTGAAATATCTTCTTTATTTTGTGATTTCGGGTAAAAACAATAATATTCCTTTTGTTACTAAACTATCAGTTACAGCATATAGTTAAGCTCTTATTTTACATCGTGAGTCACTTACTTACTATATATTCGATTGTCTTCGTAAAACTAGCCTGGTCTAACAATTTATCTTAATAGTTTAAACACACAACACAGAAACGTTTCAAACATTTAACATTTAGCGATGAATCTAACTAGAACTAGAACATGTCGATCTCTAGCTTGCACAGGATTGTGTCGAATGCGAAGACGGAGGACACGAAAGTGTAGGGACTGTAGCGGATGATGCCGAAGTCCGGCTCCAAACTGGGCAGGGCACTCGGCGTGAAGACCATCTTTTGGGTCTGATGACGTCCGGTTGAGGTGGACGGAGGCTTCCGGGCGTTCTGCTTCATCTTCTCTTTGCGGGCCACCAGTTTCTTAGTCTCGCGCACCATGTAGATGGCCTCAGAATTGGTCATAAAGTCATGAATGATCTGAAAATGATTCAAGTTATTAATTAGAATGTTTAACTAACGTTCTATAAGTACTAAGTGTACAATTTAATTGGCATTATAATTGCATTGTCAAATTTGACTATCTTTTTTTAGTCTGGTAAGTTTCGAATTCAATACTCATAATTTCACCCAAACTATTTCTTTTAAGTGTAGGTTATATTGGCATTGCATTTTGTAAAAGATTTGATCTATTATATGACTATAATTTTACTTCGTAAATTAATAGATGTACGACAAACTTTCAAAATTAAATAGTTTCTTGTTTTGTCGATCCTAATATTATTTAACTTCTCTTGAACCTTAAATATTTTTAGTTAAGTTTGGATCATGTAGTCCATGTATAGTTTTTTAGTCTAGATATAGTCACCTTTCGCTTCTTTGGACAGTGGGCAAATACCCAAATGAGAGTGCACAGTGTGTTGAATATCTCGCTGTCCTTATCGCACCAGCGCAACAGCATCTGGGCAATGGTCACCAGACCGCCCTCCTGGAACGTGTTAACCGTGGTGCTGTTGTAGCGGGCCAAATTCAGGATGATCCGGCTGCAGCGTTCGATGAGCTGCTTGTCCACCTCCGAGCGAATGGCCTGCGCCATGATGCCATAGCAAAACGTGGACATGAACTCCGAGCACCACATCAGCAGATGTGGCACAGTGCGCGAAAGACGATCTAGAGGATTAGAGAGAGAGGATTAGTTAAGTCGTCAGCTAATAACGATGCTGGGAAAAAGACTGAAGTCGTTACGCCCAGTTGCAGCGAAGAAATAAAGCTAAAAATTAAGCAAAAAGTAGATACTCACCCAATCTATTTAGCACAGCCAGGGCATCGGAGGCAATGAAGCGTCCCCGAAGGAAGCGCACTGCCTCCTGGACTTTGCAGCGCACAGAGTTGACGGCCGTAGCCTCCGCGCGGAGTTGGATAATACGCTTCCTGATGGCCAGAAGACCTTGGTGCCGCTGGCGGCGACGCGTTTGATAGCCACGCCAGTAGCGCTGGATCACCTTGGCGGCGCGTTTCTGGCGGATTAGTTGCATCATCTCGGGCGTCATCAGGGCCTGGAAGCGTTTGCGGGCCATGTAGCCACGGGCACGGGCCTGGAAATGCGGAGTAGAGCGACGGAGGAGCAGGAAGCGATCACGTTGCTCCATCATCAGCCTTTTGCCTCGGAACTTCTGCTGCAAATGGATGGCCAGAGTACGCAGTTGTACAAACTCTTGACGCTCCTGTTTCATCCTCCAATTGGCCCGCAATCTGCGCTGCACCAGGATCACAGAGGACCGGATTAGCAGGTAATCCTGTCGTGCTTTCAGCATGGCCTGGCGGGCACGGAACCGACGCTGCATGACCAAAGCTGCCCTCCGCTTCATCTCAAATTCCAGGCGCTGTTGCCGCATCTGCAGCGTACCTCTGATGAATGTCTGCAAGAGTCGCACCTTGCGGATGGAGTCCAGGAAGACTTGCCGCTGTCGACGAGCCTGCAATGTGGCCCGCCATTTCCGCTGAATGCTCAGGGAACTGAGTCGAATCCTGCGATAGCCCTCCTTGAGGAGTCGCGTTTCGCGCACACTTCGCCACCACTTCTGCAAATGGATGGCAGCCTGGCGTTGCGTTTGGAAGGCACCCATTTGCCTCCTCGTTTCCAGCTTGCCGCGGAATCTTTGCTGCACTTTGACGATGGCTTCCCTTTGATTTTGGTATAGAACAACCTGCTTTTGCATCTCTTTCTTGGCTCGATAGCGTCTCTGAATGGTAATGGCTGCCTGCTTCAACTGGTTATAGTTCTTAAATTCCCTGATCATGGCCAATCGAGCTCTGTAATGCCTTTGCACAGTTACAGCTGCCTGGCGGAGAGCGAGGAATCTGCTCCTCTCCCTCTTCCTGAGCAAATGCCCACGCCAATGCATCTGCAGGCAGCTCACAGCAGCCTGAGTCCCGCGGTACTTGGCTCGCATGAACCTCATTGACTTGTGGGCGTGGAATCTGCGCTGCAGCTTTATGGTCATTTCGCGTAGTGTTAGATATTCCTGCCGCTGCGTTCGCATTTCCATCAAAGCCCGTCGGCGTTGCTGGACCACCAAAGCCGCCTTTCTCAGCTGGAGGTACTCGGCTCGCTGCTTGCGCATTTCCCGCTTGGCACGGTATTTGGTTTGGATGAATCCGGTGGTGGCTTGCAGCCGGAGATAGTTATTCTTTTCGCGCCGCATCTGCAGGGTGGCTCGCCAGCGGCTCTGAACATTCAGAATGCACTGGCGGGCTTTTAGGTAGGCCTGCCGATCCTTAATCATCTGCTGCAGCAAACGGTAGCGTCTTTGGATGAGTACGGTGGAGTGGCGGAGCTGCAGATACTTTTTCCTATCCTCACGCATTTTCCAGTTGCCTCTCAAGCGCTGCTGCAAACAGATAACACTCTTACGCAGTGATTGGTAGTTACGGCGTTCAATTCTCATCCTAATTGTGGCTCTTCTGTGAGCCTGGAGTTTAAGAGCGCTGGCGCGTAGTGCCAAAAAGTCAGACCGATGCTTTCTCTTCAAGAGCTGTGCCCGCCAGCGTTGCTGGATCTTGATGGCTGAATGTTTAAGCTGTATAAACTCCTTGCGCTGCTTCATCATTTCCCACTTGCTCCTTATTCGGCGCTGCACCAAGACGATGAGTTCCCTTTGGCGCAGGAACTGCTTCCGCTGCATTTTGCCCGCTTGATGGCTACGCCATTGCATTTGAATGTAGCTGGCGGCTGCCTGTTGCTTTTGGGATCGCTGTAGTCGAGCTGCGGCCGCCGCCGCCAAAAGCTTCTTGGCGAACAGACGACGTCGCCAGATGCGCTGCAGGAAGATGGCTGCTTGTCGGAGCTCCAGGAACCGTCGACGGCATTGCCTAGCCACTTGAATGGCCCTCCACCAACGCTGAATGGTGATGATGCTGTGATAGCTCTGGTACAACTGCTTCTGCGCCAAATAGCGACGTGTGAATTTCTGCAGGATGATGGCAGCCTGTGTGCGCTCTGCCCTGAACAACTTGGCATATTTCCTCATCTGGTGGCCACGGAACACGGCCTGAATGACTGTAGCAGCTCGATGTCTACGCATTAGCTCCTTGTGGCGAATGCGCCGCTGAATGACCACGTAAAGCCAGCGGCGACGCCACCATTTCTGTAGCACTGCGGCCGCCGCATGGAACTTGGGCGAGCGGAACTTGTAGATGATCTGCCAGAGCAACGAAAGCGTCTTCTCGCGATGCCCGTCCACGATGTCCGGGGCGGAGATGTCGCCGCCCAGCTGGAATTTGGCCTCGCCAAGGGCACCCAGAGCCAGCTTTACATTGAAGATCCTCTGAAGGCGGGAAATGGCTGGGACCCTCAACTGCCGGGTGAGGTCATCGCGCAGTAGAATGACCTCCATGACCCGGGTCAACCTCACACCATCCCTCAAATCCACTGCTAGGTTATTAAAGGCATAGTCGAACTCGTCCAGGAAAGTCTGCCGATGTTGGAGAACGTAGCCCAAGCGCCGCAACTCCCTCGTGATGTCGCCAATGTTCGCCAGCAGCTCCGAGGAGAAGCGTAGGAGGATGTCCTTGGTCTCCTTGTGCGGCGACTTCTTCACAAACAGACACGGGTTGTGCTTGACAATGCGCTTCTGCTTGGCCTGGTCGAGGAAGAGCAGCAGGAAGAGGATCTTCTGCAGCGAGTGCTTCTTGATGGTCTCCGCATACTCCTCGGTCAGGGTGTAGGCCTTGCTGTACCTCTGCTCCTCGAACTTGTTCCGGAACAAGCGATTGAGAATAAAGGTGCTGAGGCCCACGATGTCTCGGTTGGACTGCATTTGGATCTTCTCTCCGAAGACCACCTCCAGTCCCAGGCGCAGCCAGAGGGGATTGAAGCAGAGCAGCAGCTCCAGGATGGTGCGCTGCATGACCACATCCAAGTGGAGATTGCGATCGCTGCGGATGCGCAGAGCCTGCTTGTTGACATACACGGCCACTTTGGAGCAGGGCAGACGCATCTGCTCGCTGAAGAACAGCTCCACGGCTGCCTTGCGCAGCGTCTCCAGACGGTACTTCGTCAGGTAGTTCATGGACTGCTCCTCCTTGGTCTGGGCCACCACCAGCTCCTTGTTGCGCACCTCGTTGAACAGCTTGCCCACGTCTATTTTGCTATTCAGGTCCGCATCCAGGTCGGCGGGTATGGAGACCAGGGCATTCAGCCACTTCTTAAAGTCTGTCTGATGCCGCTCCACAGCCTGTTCGTCCAGATACATCGTGGAGGCCAGGAAGGGATCCATGGTGGTGGTGGCCGCAAAGGGATCAGGGTTGATATACGTCTGCATATACAGCTCGGAGTCGTAGAGCTTGACGGGCGCTTGCACTCCCGCATCCCTGACCTTTCGCGGCGTGGTGGTCTTCTTCATCAGCGACATGGTCTGCGCCAGCTTGAACTTCTTGGACTGGGTGAAGGCGCTCCAGGTGTGGGCACTACTGCTGCGGGCGGAGGCGTTGGCAGGCGCCGCACTCCTCGACATCAGAGGGGTGTCCTCCACGCGTTGCTTCTTGGGCGGCGAGATGGCTATAGTCTCGTTGCGGTGCAGGGATTCATTGCTCGGTGCATCCGAGAAACTCAGCTCATGGGAGCGACGCTTCTGGGGATTGGCGTTCGGATTGAGCGATTTGCGGCCCACTTCGTGCAGATTAAAGCGACTGGACTGGGCGAGTATCTCATTTTGATTGAACAGAAGAAACTCCTGCTGACCCAGCAAACTGGTCTCGCTGCTGCAGGAGCTATTCAAGTCCTTGTCCTTTGCCATCTGGTTCTGTTGCTCCTGGTAGTAGCGATTCTGTTCTATCGAACGTATCTTCATTTCATTTAGATTGGGCATAGAGCCCTGGATGGCGTACTTTGTTTGCGGCGACAGCAGCGACAAATCCTTCATGGACTCGGAATATTTGCGTAGTGGTGAGCCCACCAGCTTGATGTCCCTTTTAAGATCCTTTAGGACGCCTTTACTTGTCGTTCTGGGTGGACTGGGTGGTCCCTCCTCCTCGCGAATGCAGGCCAAAGCTCTTGTTTGCGTGGTGGTTTTGTGTAGCGGAGTCTGCACCTGAGAGCAGTCCAAAGTGTCCAGGGAAATGTTTATGGTCTCTGAATGCTTCACGTCAAAGGTTTTGTTAATTGCTGGCGGATCCTCTAGATCATCATCAGTGATCCTACGTGGTCGCATCTCGTTGGCACTTAGTTTTGCATTGCCTCCCAGCGTGGGAGTGGGCCAGGCCGCCAAATTGTCCGGCAAAATAACAGCTGATCCCTTGCCCCTTATATCTGTGAGAGGTGTGAACCGTAGGTTGTCTATCACATCGAGTAGATTACCCGGTGTCATCGGACTGAGGTTCTCCTTGAGGCTGCGCGGCTGTGGCGATATGTAAACAGGCTCCTCTTCCTGCTTATACACATTCTTTTCGGCCAGAGGAGCCTGGGCAGGAGGAGGATTTGGACGGGGCGCAGAACGTGCGGAAGCGGAAACTCGCCAGGACTGCTTGGCGGAGGCAGAAGGTGCTGCTGCAGTGGACAGACGCTTCTTTTGCTGCATGGCAGCGGTCAGCATGCCCTTCATTGTTTTCGCAGAGCCTGTCGGCGATTTCAGCTGCAGGGTCTTGCCGACGGTGGGAAATTTGCGAGTGTTCTTCAGGTAGAAAGGTAGGATTAAGGGTAAGTACTTAAGGCAGGGTGGAAATTGCAGTTTTTAAACGAACCTTGACCGGCTGGTTGCTCTTGGACTTGAGTATGATCATCACCTCCTTCCGAAAGTTACGATTGTCTATGAGCTGCAGCGTTTCCTTGCAGGCCACCTCGATTTGGGGGCTCCACACCAGCTCCATGGAAACCTCATCCCGGGCGGGCACCCTGTGCTTCATCCACTCCAGGTTTAGATTGTGCTCCTCCCGAATGGCCTTCATTACCTTGACCTGCAAGGTTGTGTTTTCATTGATTTAACATGTGTTGATTAGTTGCTACGGAGTTGGTTAGCCCACTAACCTCGATGTCCTCGTCGCTGGGATTGAGGACGCGCACCTGGCGTCGGGCTGTCTTGGTTACCGGCACGTCCTCGAACTGCACAATGGCCTTGGCGGAGAAGGGAGCCATGACCACCAGGGCGGGCTCGCGTCCTTCGGCGCGCTTCTTTTGCTTGAGACGCGATGGCGTCACTGTGATCTGCAAATTCAGGGCATACACAGTTATTTCCAAGGAGTCCCAAATGAGAACTTCAACTAACCTCAAAGGCGCTCATTGCGACCGCTGGGCAAAAACAGAAAACACTTGTACTAAACAAAATCGGGCACGCAGCAAACTCAGTGGCCCATCAACACAGCGACTAACTAAACACTTAACACAATTAACAAACAGCGATTAAACAAATTAGCGCGTCTCCAGCAATTTTCAGGGTTCGAATTAACATGAAGCGACGCCGTTATTTGAATGTTTGATTGCTGGCGCAAAGGTAGAGGTGGACTATGAACGATGATTTTACATCGATAGTTTTCCATCGCTTCGCTAACTATCGATAATTGGTCTCTGACAAAGACGGTGCAAGTATTCGCTATTTACGGTTTAAGTACCCGCTAAATATCTTTAATATGGTTTTACATTTGTTGCTTATAAAAATTGTGCTTATTAATAATTGGCAATTATTTAAAACTTATAATAAAAATAAAATTAGAAATAATTTAGTACAAATTCTATAAGCAATCAAATTTAAGCTTAATAACTCAATGCCCCATCTGAGTTAATTTGAAAATATTTGTATTCACAATTTATTTACAAGTTTCAACAACAAACATTAAACATCTTTCTAACTAGAATCCAGGGTCTAGAGTCTAATATCTAGATACTAGACCAGCCTGCTGGGCGGCAAAAGGTGGAAGTCGCCGCCCGACTCCGAGGAGTACATGCTCTTGAGGTAGCCCGGAAAGGGGGTGACCGCATCGAAGTCCTCGCCGGCGGAGTCCTCCGGCGGATCCACGGCCATGAAGGCGATGGCAAAGCCCCGCAGCGAGTTGCTCTCGTCCGTCTGGAATCTTAAGAGCAGGGTGTCCGAATTGGAGACGATAATGGGTGGCTTGTGCTTGCCGCAGAATCTTCCGTGGATGGTGTTCATCGAGTAGCCCTCTTCGGTGACCTCCAGGTAGTCGTAGTCGCACCGCTCCGAGTACTCGATTTCGAAGTGCAGGAACCGGATCTTGACACTGCTCTCTGGATCCGCCTGAATGCGCCAGTCGCAGTACATGTTCCGCTTGTACGGCCTGCTGCCATATCGCGGATGCGAGTAGAAAGTCTGGGAGTGATTGGTGGCCCTCAGATAGCCACCGCACTCCGAAACAAAGGTGGCCTTGAACCCCTTCCTCTGCAGACCCGCATCCGTGGCCAAAACCATGAACATCTCATTGGTGGAGGCGATAACGGCGTAGGGCTCCCGTCCACCGCAGTATATGCCCAAAGTGGAACTGTTCTCGGAGCGACCATCGTAGATAGCCACGTAATCGTAGATGCACTCTTGGTGGCTCTCCACCGCAAAGTCATGGAATGTCAACTGAATCCGGTGACCCAAAACGGTCTGAAAGTGCCAGTAGCAATAGATATTGCGCGGATAATCCTCCGGATAATTGGGACTCTGGAGCACTCCATACGACGTGGTGATCTCGAACTTGCAACGCGTCTCCGTGCAGTTGTGCTTATTTTCAGCCAAAGTGTATCCATTCCGGCAGCTGCACTGGTAGGATCCATAGGTATTCCGGCATCTGTGCTGGCAGCCACCATTATTTATCGAGCACTCATCCACATCTAGGGAATAGTAACTTTAATACACTGATACCAACATTAAATAGTAAAAACAAATAAATGGAAATCGAATTCAAAGCTTCATATTACATATCTAATAAAAAAATATAAAATCAAAATATTAAATGCAATTGATATTAAATTAAATGATTTAATATCCAAAACAAAAAATTATAATAGTATGAATACAAAACTTCATATAATACATTTAAACAAAATATAAAACCATAATATTAAATGTAATGTATATTGAATTGAATTTTTTAAATTCCAAATTTCATATTTAAATGAAATATTAAGTCACCACGTTAGATGCAATGCATATTTACAAAATGCAAGTAAAATCTAATATTTGGCTAATTTCAAAATTACATGTTAAAAATTTAAAAAACCGCAATGGATGAAACTCAAATCGATGAAGTTTTTTGTTAGGTTTATAGTTACCTATTACAAACTTGGCCACAAAACCACTCCGCTGTATAGTGCGATCTGAGTAGAACTCCAGCCTCAAGACACTCTGCTCGGAATTCACCACCGGAGGCAACTCATGCCCACAATAAATACCAATCTTCTTCAATCGATTGTCTCTTAGTTTGGAGTAGATTATCAGATAGTCGTAGTTGCACTTGGTGTAATGGAATCGCGTGCCTTCCAAATCGAAGTGGGTGAAATTCAGGAATACAGCGTGGTGCGGTGGGGCAACAACTTCCCAAACGCACTGCTTGGAATTGGGGTACATATCCGGATACGAGGGTGAGTACAGTGAGCCATTGGACCTAGTGGCATCCACGACTCCGCCACAGGCATCCTCGCAGGTCTTTCCATTGGCCTGTAGTTCATATCCCGCCCGACAGCCGCACTGATAGCTTCCCAGTGTGTTGATGCACAAGTGCTGACATCCGTGGTCCGTGAACTTGCACTCATCCACATCCAGCATTAGGGCGGCGGAGAATCCCAGCTTTTGCACCGATGCATCGGATACAAACCGGATGTACATCTGATTGCTGCGCGTTCTGTGAGGTAACAACAAACTATTAGTTATAGACCGTTCATTTCAAACATAATATTACAGGGGTAAAACAGAAATTATTTTAAAAGTTGTCTGAAAGTATGCAACAATATATTTTGAGTTCGGAATTTATTCCGTATAAACACGTAAAATTTTTGTTGCATACTTTAAGACGCCTTAAAAAAACGATTTTAAGGCCCTTGTGCCCTTTCGTTAAACCTACTTTATATTGGGTGGCAATTTATCGCCACAGAATCGTCCTATTAGTCTCGAATCACTGTGATTTCCATCCCGTATCTCCACATAATCGTAGGCACATCCATCGTGCTTCTCCAGCTCAAAACTCTGAAATTTCAGGGCCACCTGGTGATTCTCCGGAGCAGTTATGCGCCACACGCACTCCTTGTCGGGCATGTAATCCAGCGGATAGTTGGGTGAGTCTATGGACTGATCCCTGGTCAGCTGGATGTTCCCACCACATACCACTGTGAAAATTGTTAAAAACCACAGTGACAATTGCAATTAAATTTTGAATATTTTTCATGACCGTTATTTCTCCTTCAAAGTAAGAAACTCACCCTCGAATCTGGCCTTGAACCCTCGGTAACCTTTGTCCGCATTCCGGTTCACGTAGTTGAGGAGCATGCGGCTCGTCTGGGTGGTGATGACCAACCCGCTGGCATTTCCGCAGAGACGTCTCACCAGCGGCGATTTGTGCCAGTAACCATCCCGGACCTCCAGGTAATCCTGCGTACAATCCTCGGAGCTCATTAGCTGCAGCTGCTGCAGATGCAGAATGACCTTCTCTCCGTTGGTGGCCGTAATCCGCCACTCGCAGTTGATCAAGGAGGCATCGAACTCGGAGCCCGGATGGGAATCCTCTCCAGCTTCGCCAGCATCTCCGCTGCCCTCAAACTCGCTGAGCACTCCATTGCCGGAGTAAACAAAGTGTGGACTTACAATACTTCCGGAGTTCTGCTGATAGGTGCGTCCACAGGAGGCGCATTTGTACAGAAGATTGGCCTGGACAATGTCCCCGCGACTGAGACGCCTTCGTTGACCCAACTCCAAAGGAGTTGCAGGTGAAATTCCTATTGGAGTAATGGTATCCAGATAGGGACTCTTCGAAAATGAGTTCTTAGCATAGTGCATAATGGAGTTCAGATCGTAGGGCAGCAGTGGCAAGTCCACCTCCTCCGTTGACAAAACATCGAAGTTGTACTCCTGACCCCGCATAATATTGGCCTTGTTGATGATGATGTGCTTGTCCCGATCCCCGCGAGCGTGCTCATGGTGGAAGCCTATGGTGTGGCCCAGTTCGTGGATTATAATGCCAAACTTTTCGCAATTCCGTCCAATGGAGATGGGCTGTCGCCCATTGCCGTTTTTGCCCAGAAATGAACAGCAACTAATGGAAAAAGGATGTTTACATTAGAGAAAATAGATTTAAGAAACTTTTATATACCGTGGATACTTTAAAAAAAAATTGAACAACTTTATTTCTATTTTTAAAATTATACGTTTAAAAGCAATAATTTTTTGTTAAATTTTTCGATTAATCCTATAGCAGCTATTTGATGTTATAGTCTCATTTTAATAAAAATAAAACCGTAATTCTAAAATAGTGAACCTAGCATGGTTCTATATTCTTATTAATTTTAAGTATTAATTATTTATCTTTAAGGTGTTAAAAAGTATGAGTTAATCTTACCCGCAATTTTTGACCGTAAAGTATATGTAGTTGTCATGCAAACTGGCATCGCGTTCCACAAACTTGATGCAGGTGAAGTTCTCCCAGTGGCGCATGGCCTGCTTGAAGAGCGCCTTGTGGGCACCACTGAAGATGCCGTCGATCTCGTAGGGAATCACTCCATAGTCCCAGGTTCGCTCCCTGCGCACAGTGACAGCTCTTCGCTGCCGTTTTGGCTTGGAAAACAGACTCCGACTGGGCTGAAGCACATCCGCAACGTCGTCTGTCCAGAGAAGTGGCGGGGGTAATCCCGGCCTGGCTCTGCCTCGCGATTTCCGTCGCTTTCTGAGTGGGTGATGGATGGCTTATGAGCTCAGATATTGCTTACAAGTCAAGTGGCCCGCCTAATTGTGCCCCATTGTGTGGGACTAGTCCCAGCGGAACTTACCCCGATAATTGTCTGGCTGTCTCCAGTTGAGGCCTGGGGCTGTCATCCCTGAGCTCCTTTGGCGACCACGTGATGCCACCACTCACCTGTGGCAGGGCATCCATTATGCCAAAGAAATCCTCCGGCTGCTCCTTGAAGTCAAAGTCGCACTCGCTTAGTCGCCTGCTCTGCGCCAAATCCAACAGAAAAATAACCAAAACCGCTGCCGCAATTAATTTCGCTTTCATTTCCAAGTTCAAGCGGCACATTCCTTCCATTTCGTGGGTATGGTGTGATGTATATGGTATTTCTGGGGGCTCGTTCCTCGCAGAAGTTGCTTCAACCAGCTCTAAGTTCTAACTGAGCAACTTGCGGGCTGCGATTGCCGAATTATACTGGTGAGACAAGGGTTCCGTGGGCAGCGAGCATCGAGCAGGTAAGAGATGAGATTGGTTGGCCCGAGGGACGAGGAGGCCACTGGAGAATCTCGACTGACCGCTTAAAGGGACCCTCTTTAGTCGAACTGACCGACCAGCGAATCCATTGTCTCTGCTGCCTGTTTGCATTCAATGGATTTTGATTTGGGTTTCCCTGTGCGTTGTGAGCACCTTGACATTGCCGCTCTACCTGGGATGTCTGAGATATCTGGGATACCAGGATCAGGATCAGGTGTTCTTGGTTCTCGGGCCTTTTAGGGCAGGTCATTAATGATCGTAAATGCATAAATCCCCCGCATGAACGAAACATTTCGCGGTAATTCCACCTTTAAGGGCTATTCAAGAGGCATGGCGCTTCTGCCTGCAAAAAGCAAGGTGGAACTCGAGCGATAAACCACTACACTGGTAAAAAATGGATTAGTAAAAATAAATATCTGACAATTGAATTGAAAATTTCAACTAAAAATAAAATCATAATATTAAAGACAATGCATATAAAATTGCATGATATAATAACAAAATCTTATAGTTGATGGGAAAAATATTCAATTAAAAATATTTCCCTTTTTTTGGAAATTAATTTTATTTAAATTTAATATTTAATTCAAAGAAGAAATACAAAATAAAGAATTTAAAAGCAGGATTCCATTCCCATTTCAGCGAGAAAATACCCATTTCAAACTCAGTTTGTCTTTTGGTTTTAAAACATAGTTACTATGCAAGTTTTAATAGTATGTATATATATAGATTTAATTACGTATTAAGTTGAGTCAAATTTACGAGAGTTGTACATATGCATGCGTGAAAAGTTCAGTGTGCATCCGAAGATATGTCCTATCCTAACTTCCGTTCTGATCCGACTTTGATATATGGGGCCTCGGCACCCATCGACTTATGCTACCACAATAAAACAGAAATCGAATCCAAGAAAATGCTTCAGGTTAACAGCTGTGAAATGCAAAGAGAATATTGCACATTTAGCTACAGAGTCTAGAGAAGACTAATCAAAGTACATTAAATGTAGTTCCATAGTTCTAAGTAATTGCCACCACAGTTTTTAGCCGACTTGCTGACGCGTCTAGAGTGCCTACAACTAATATTGGATCTTGATTACGTCCTGGCCTTTCCCAGAAATGTGCACATGGAAGATCGAGAAAGTCTGTTTTACGTACGCCACGATATGCCTAAATCTGTTAAATAAATTCAGTTTTTAATATATTGTCATGAAGTTTTGGCGCTCGATGTGCGCTCTATGCCTTGCCCGAGTAGTAGCGATGGGGCAGACTGTACGGGCGGTACTGGCCATTGAAGACCAGGCGGTTCTCGCTCACATCCCCATACTCGTCGGTCTCCTCCTGCGTGTCCTCGATGTAGATGCTCTTCAGGGAGCCCGGAAAGGGGGTGACCATCTCGGAGCTGTACGAGTTCTCCGCATCCTCGTCGGAGTGGTCGTACTCCCCGGAATTGGGCACGGCCACATACGAGGCCGAGAAGCCCTTCTCCGGCACCGAGGCATCCGTCTTGAAGCGAACCAGCAGCGAGTGCGTCATCGAGTTGATGTCCTGGGGCAGCTAAAGCGGATATTAATGGATTTGTGGCTTAATTTGAAGGTTCTGATCTTAGTATCTTAAAATACTCCTATCAAGAGACCGATTTTATTACAAGTTTTCATATAAAAATCACAAAATAGTGATTTTTATCATGTTAGTGTAAAAATGTTAAGATACAAAAATAATGATTATTTAGTCTTATTCATGTAAATCCACCTACCACATTGCCGCAGTACTGTCCGTACATGGGTCCGTACTGTCCGTAGACGTCGTCTATATCGGAGAAGACCTGTACGTAGTCGAAGGTACAGTTCTCGCTGCTCTCGATGTCGAAGGTGAGGAATATAAGCTGGACGTAGCTGTTGTCCGGGGCTGCGATGGTCCACTCGCAGTCCATGCTGTCGTCGTAGTCCTGGTTTCCGAATCGCGCATGTGAGTAGAACTGCTGAACTTGGCTGGTGGCACGCAGATAGCCCCCGCAGGCTGTAAGTTATGAAGGTGTTCGAGGGCCTAAGATTCAAAGATTCAAGTTTCACACCATCCAAACCATCCTACCTGTTGAGTGCGAGGCCGTGAATCCGCTCTTCTGTTTGTTCTTGTCCGTCTTGAGCACCATGTACATCTGGTTGTTGGTGGAGGAGATGGGGAAGGGGATCTTATCTCCGCAAAAGCGACCCAGAACGGAGCTCGACTCGGATTCGCCATCATAAACTGCCACGTTGTCGTAGGTGCATTCCTGGCATAATTTCAAATTCAAATTTAAGTTTAAGTATTAAACAAAATATAATTATATGTTCTGATCTGATATTTTATATTATTATAAACATGTTAATTTTGTATATTCAATCCCAGCGAAACTGATATATGTACAATTAATCTCAATCAACAATAAAAATAATGAATGCAAACAATTTAAGCTGAACAACACAAAAAGTACCAAAGAATTTAAAAATATATCCTAGGCAAGCTTAAGGACTTTAGCTGCTTTAGCTCCATAATATGAATTATAATTTAAAAAAATATGTTAAATAAAATTTAGGAAAAGCAATTATTTGGAACAACACTATAAGGTATACAAAAATAATATTTTGTAACAAAAATTAAATTAAGATTTATGAAAAGCAACTATCTTGTACTTTTTCAAACTTCTTACTATATTTTATGGATGTATTCAACCTGCTTGCGGTCGCTCACCTGGTGGGACTCCACGTCGAACTCGTTGAATATCAGCTTGATGCGATGGCCTGGCGTCGTGATGAAGTGCCACACGCAGTCGGCATTCGGCGGATAAGAGTCCGGGTAGTTGGGGCTGAAGATGGTGCCAAAAGGGGCGGAGATCTCGTACTTGCACTCGCCCTCCTTGCAGTCATGGCCATTTTCGTGCATGGAGTAGCCGTTGTGGCACATGCAGATGTACGATCCAATGGTGTTCCGGCACTCGTGCTGGCAGCCTCCATTGTTCACGGCGCACTCGTCGATGTCCGTGAAGAAGACAGCCGCGAATCCGGATCTCTGGATGGACTTGTCCGAATGGAACTCCAGCCTCAAAGCATTGCTCTCCGAGGTGGCCGTTGGCGGAATGGCCGAGCCGCAGAAGGTGCCGATCCTTTTCAGCCTGTTCTCGCCCAGCTTCGAGTAAACGGTCACCGAATCGTAGCCGCAGTCCGACTGCTGATGCGCCGTGCCCTCCAGATCGAAGTGGGTGAAGTTCAGCGATATCCTGTGCTTGGGCGGGGCCACAATCTCCCAGATGCACTCCTTCAGCAGAGGATACATCTCGGGGAACGAGGGCGATGTGATGGTGCCATTCGGATACTCAATGACGCCGCCGCAGGCATCTGAATGGGAAAAGGGGAATGCGGTTGTCGGCATTAGAACTCGAGGGGCAGTCTATTTGTTATACACCGAAAAGATCATTTTCAGATTTAATTTATAATTTTAATAAATTCTTTATCAACAATTTATTTAAACATAATTGTGATAATTTAAAGAATTTGAGTAAGTTAAATGATTTAAATTACTTTTTTAAATCGCTGATCGAAGTAATTAAAAATCTAATAAATTCATGTTTTATAGGAATTTCTTTGCCTTTTCTAATATTGTATTAAAAGTCCATCTTCTTTTTGTTTTCATGTCAAATGAGTATTGTTTTAGATTCATCTATAAAACACTTTGTGCTTGCAGGCATTAAGTGTTGAAATAAAATGACTTGATCCTAGTTCATTTTAGTACAGTACACCCACCTTCGCAGTGTTTCTTGTCACTATGCAGCTCATACCCAATCCGGCAGCTGCACTCGTAGCCGCCCAGCGTGTTGATGCACTCGTGCTCGCAGCCGTGGTTCTGGGTCTCGCACTCGTCCACCTCCTTCATGAAGACGGCGGAGAAGCCCGCCTTCTGCACCGAAGTGTCCGACACGAATTTCACGAACATCGAATTGCCACTTGACCTGGAAAAGGACGTCGAACAAAGGCAGAGTTCCTATTTTAGAGACGGGGCTCCCCTTCTCTTCAGTTATTTAGTGGCACTCACTTCATGTTCGGCGGCGGCTTGTAGCCGCAGAAAACGCCAATTAGCGGCGAATCCTGGACAGGACCATCGCGCACTTCCACGTAGTCGTAGACACAGCTGTCGTGGTTTTCCACCTCGAAGGACTGGAATTTCAGAGCCACCTGTGACAGCCAATGGGCAATTAATTATTATTTGTCTAAATTGGGGTTTCATTTGGATACAATTGTATTTGACCACACACTGTTTAAATTTAAATAAAGCTATAAAGCAATTTAAATTGAAATTCCTTTAACAAGAGTTTCTTGGCTTGGAGGTCTTTTCAGGCATTTTCCGGAATAAAATCTTTTGAAATGCAAAGCCAAATTCTTAGTACACAATAAGTCCTGACAAACGCCAGTATAAGAGTAGACTGCATTCGTTGCCACCAACATTATCTAATATTTCCCATCCAAAGAATGTCAATTTCGCAATATTCCGGACATTAGAAGTAAACTCTTTTTAAACGAAAGCGATATCTGTGTTTTAGACTTAAGCTTGCAGGGTACAAATAAAGAAAACAGGTAGTAGTTATTTTGCACACGCACCTGGTGATTCTCTGGAGCTGTTATCTTCCACACGCATTCCTTGTTGGGCAAGTAGTCCAGCGGATAGTTGGGTGACTCCAAACGACCCACGGCCTCGTCCACGGACAGCTCGCCACCGCAAACAACTATGGAAAAGGAATGTCAGGAACTGAGCTGCCAAGCGCCACTTTCATTCTCCATTTCTCCATTTACCACTGCCCATTCCCCATTCAACACTCACCATCGAACTCCGCCTTGAAACCCCTGAATCCCTCGCTGCGATGTGTGTTCACGTAGGTGAGCAGCATGCGGCTAGTCTCCGTGCGGATCACATCCTTGTCCACCTTGCCGCAAAAGCGTCCGATGAGCGGCGACTTCTCGAAGTAGCCGTCCCGAATCTCCAGGTAGTCCGTCTCGCAATTATTCGACTTGAAGATGTTCTATGGGAAATTAAAGAGGTACATATTCTGGTTAAGTATATAAATGGTTTATAAATCATACAAAGAGAGGTAGAAAGGTCATGCCACTTATGGTTATATACCTGATGTATATTGATTTTATAATATTTTAGATGTTTTCTTTAATTTCATAAAGTCTTTAAAGATGTTGCCCAATTAAAAAAGTTGACAAATATCTTCTAAACATTGCTAATCGCTACGATAATTAAAACACAAAATTAAAATAGATAAACATTAGCGATTTAATTGAATAAGTTTAATTAGAATTAAACAATTTTCCAACTAATATATAATGTCTTTTGTTAGTTTTAAGCAAATAAATAGTTATTTTCATTGGAAAAGAAATTTGTAAACTAAGCTATGGGTTTAGAAGTCCGACTAAAATGAAAAACTATTTTTTAAATGTGGACTTAATTAAAAAGGTATTAATGAGTTAATCTAAGCTAAATTAAAAATAAAACCAATTTTAAATGGAGATTTTATTTAGGTGTTCATGGGTTAACTTTGAATTGACAAATCTTAGTATTGTCTTACCATACTCTCCAGCTTCAGTTCCACCCGTTCTCCATAGGTGGCGGTGATCCGCCACTCGCAGTGCTCCGTCTCGTTGGTCAGGGCTCCGGCCGTATAGTAAGAGGGCGTGGCGAAGATTCCGGAGCTCTCCTGGAATGTCCTTCCGCACTTGGGGCATCGGTAGAGCAGGTTGGCCTGGGCAATGTCGCCCTGGCTAAGGCGCAACCGCTGGCCAATTTCCGGCCTCTTTCTACCCTTCATCTCGATGGGCAGGATGGTGTCCAGATAAGTGCCCTTCGAAAAGGTGTTCCTTGCGTAGTGCATTATTGAGTCATAGTCGTAGGCCATGCCCAGCGAGTCCACCTCGTCGGGCGACAGCATGTTGAAGTTGTAATCCTGCCCCTTCATAATATTGTTGTGCTCGATCACCACGTGCTTCTCGCGATCCGGACGCGTGTGCTCGTGCCAGAAGCCCACCACGTGGCCCAGTTCGTGCACCACAATGCCAAACTTGTCGCAGTTCCTGCCGATCGAGATGGCCTGGGGTCCATTGCCACGCTTACCCACAAAAGAGCAGCATCTGGTCAATAAAATACAGAAAAATAATAGTCAGGTTTTGTTAAATATACATAAGTATTACAAAAATGTTTATTTATTTATTTTTTTTTACAAGCTGTAAGCTTTAAGTTACTAACTAAAGATACAGCGAGGAATAGCAGCCATAGCTTAAGCCCACAAACTTATAGAGCTATGCCTTTTCAATCTGTAAGAAACGTTATGGCCCTGGAAGTGCTGGTTTTAGGTCACTTTACTGCAAACCCATTTTTGGAAAAACCATCATTAAAATTTCAAGAAAATCGACCAAAAATTACAAACCAAAATTTAAATGCAAATTTTTAGAACTTAAAATTAAAAACTTATAGAACTATTCCTTTTCAAAATCGGATATATGTAAGAAAAGTTATGGCCTGAGCTGGCTGGTCTTATAGCAAAGCTATTTTTAGCAAATTCGAAGGGGATAACATAACTATTAATTTTACAATTTTGTTAAGGGAAATATTAGTACGTTCCAGTAATCTTAGACTAGTATTCAAATTTAGTCTCCCTCAACTCACCCGCAACTGCGCACAGTGAAGACGATGTAGTTGGGATGGATCTCTGGATCGCGCTCCACGAACTTGATGCACGTGGAGTTCTCCCAGTGGCGCATGGCCAGCTTGAAGAGTGCCTTGTGGATGCCACTGAAGTTGCCGTCGATCTCGTAGGGAATCACTCCGTAGTCCCAGATGCGTTCCTTTTTGGCGGTGACGGCGCGAGCCACTCGATGACGCAGTTGCTCCTCATCCTTGGGACTTCTAAAGGGGAAGAAGATGCTTCCCGTTTAGTATGGCTGATTTGGGAACGCGGTGGGCGTAAAGCTTTAACGTGGCGTATGCGTAATTTTAATTGCCAACAGTTTTCCATACATAATTCACAGTTGCTGTTGTTGTTTTTGTATGGCACAACTTTTGGCACGCGAGTTTCTATTAAAATTCATAACTTTTAGCATGCACAAATACACACGCACACACACACACAACCGCACAATGAGCAATGTATATGTGAATAAGCCTTTGTTTGTGTGTCTGTGTGAGTTGCCAAAATGGCTGCTGTTTGTTTAAAGTTTATGCCGTAAAACCTCCGAATGAAAATGGCCAGCAATTTACAGTGTGGGCCAGAAAATGGCAACGGAAACGGATGTGGCGGCGGTGGTGGTGATGGTGGTCCATCAGGACGAAATGCGGTGTTGACAACTTTTCATTCAGAAAAAAATGATTTTAAAAAGCTAAAATATTTGAAGAAATAGCTAGAGGAACGGTTGATTCAATCAGTTATTAAGTCTTTGTTGTATTATCTGTATAATTGAAACTAATGATATTTATATATATTACGTCATATATTTTATCTAATTCAAACGTTTGCGTCTCAAATTCATTTTTATACCATGATCCTGATTTTGGCACATCATAAGTATAAGCTAATATCAAGACAGCATAATTTAATAAACAGATAACATGCTTATATATTTATATAAAAATAATACTTTTTGCTCAAGTAATTAATTTTAAAAAATAGATTAACTACTATAGAGAAAATAAAGAAATTCCGCTTTACGCTATTTTAAAATAATTCTGGCAATTGCCCTTAAAAAGTGTCAGATTTAACGGGAAAAGATCGAAACTGGCACCACTGATGGAAGGAATTCCCCAAACTTACTCCGCTTTTGTCAAATCCATTTCTGGCGTGGACTGCTGGACCGATTGATTGAATCCTGGCGGGGAATGGTTCACATATTGCGTGGTGCTTTGGCCACGTCGACGGCGCTGACGATGTGACCTGTGTTTCTTGCGGTTTTTATTCTGATGCTGGTGGTGCTGCTTCTGGTGGTACTGCAGCTGCTTTTGGTGGTGCGTTTGGTGGTGGTGCATCTGTCCCTCGACCACTGGGCGGCTCAGCTCCTCGCGCAATCTCTGCAGCTTGGCCTCGTGCTCCAAATACTGGTTGCTGCGTCTGCGGTTGGGTATAGAAAATACTGGATTTGAATGGCAGCACACAACTAGGCAAAAAAGGTATTCAACTACATATATACATCATAAATTATGACTCATAATTAAACCGAAATTCATCTATTAGGCGAATTTAAAATTTGTTTTGAATGAAATGTGATTTGCTATTTTACGCCGAGTTATTAATCAAATTGTAGGACTTTAAACTAATATAGTAGGCCTAATTAAATGTGTTGTATACATTAATTACACAGCTACATTTTACTGCACTTTAATAGATAATTTTGAATATTTAATTTTTGTGACGCTCATAATAAATGAATAAGTTTAAAAATTAATGACCTATTAAATATAAGGTATTAAAATGATACACACTATTATTTTTCATATTTAGAAAGCAGATAATGAAATATTTTTTGAACAGAGTTAAGAATATATAGTTTTCACACACCAGCACTGCGTTTTTTCACTTTATATATTGAAAGTAAAGTCTTTTTTTAAATTGAAAAATCTGATTTGGTGGAGTATTATTTAAATATTAATATATGTTTACCCACCTCTGCTTGGGTCCTCGTCTGTGGCGGCGTCTCACCACTCCACGCGAGTGCAGGAAGTCCACCTCGTCGTCCAGTTGCATCCCGTTGCCGCCGGCATTGCTGTAGACGTGGGCAGGAGTAGATCGCTGTTCCGGCAGCGAGGTGGGCACAATCTGCGACGGACGCCGCTCGGCCACAAAGTTATTGCCCGAATCGTCCTCGATGTCCTTGTTGTCCGACTGAATCTTGCGGGCGTCCACATTGCGATGCAGTGGCTGGGTTTTGTTGCCGGACTTGGAGCCAATCTCGGCCAGCGTCAGCCTGGCTGGTTTGTCCATATGGGTGCGCTGCTCGGAAGGCGGTAGCACTTCGTTCCTGTAGCTGGCGGACTGAGCATAATCAGAGGGCGACTGCGAACCGGGCTTCACGGGTTCATTGACACTCTAAAAAATCAAATAGACACAATTAATAGATTTAAGGACTTGATTTGTTTTGTTTTTTCATTTTTCAAGATAACATAATCTAAGCAATAACGAGCGACTAGTTCTTTATATTATTTATAATCCAACAACTCACTTGGCTCTGCAATTGGGTCTGTCCGGCTTTTAAGTTCACCGAACCCGAGCTGGGCAGCTTGGTCTTCTTGCGGATGATGTCGGTGAGGCCCTCCTCCTCCACCTGGAGCCCCTCGTGGTAGACCTCCTGCTTGAGCTTCTCCAGGTCCAGCTGGAAGGTGGCATTGAACTTGGTGGGTCCGGATGCTGACGCGGAAGCGGAAACGGATGCGGGCTGTGGGGCGTCTGCCAGCAGTTGCTCCTCCGGCTCCTCCACCTCGTCGTCATTGGTTGGCGTGTGGGCCACCACCGGCGGACCTGAATCGCCCTCGGGCAGGGCAATGTCGCCCATGAAACCGCCTGCAAGGCCAGAGATAAAGCGATTTAAATTAGGGGCATTATGGCACACTGCTACCATAACTTACAAATTGTTTTTAATTATAAGCGACAAGGCGAAAAGCGTATAAATTTTTATTTTAATTGAAATTTCATGTGGCTTTGCTCGCTGAGCCGTACTCCGCCGGCGGTTGGTTAGCCCACCCAGCTGGTAATTTATAGTATGCCTCGCACTCACAACCTCTACTGGCAGATATAGTATAAAGCCGTGCTGCTCTGACAGTTATTTTGCCATTCGGTCGGATAGACACACTCTGCATATCCATTTAATCAGTGCATCAGCGGGACAACAGGACAACAGGACAACAGGACTATCAGACTGATGCTTTTGTTTTCGCCCCCACTGTCCATCGCCCACTCGGCGTATACGCAATGTGCATAAGGGAGTGGCACACACATGTGGTCACTGGGCAGTAAAAATGGCAGGAACAACAACGATAACAGTTAACAAGAAAAATATGAAATTGTTGCCTCTTGTCTGCCTCAGACATGTTAAACAAAATTAATTAAGTGCGTTTGCACAATGCAAAAAAAAAAGGTAAAAAAAAGCAGGGAAATAAACAATGCCCCTGCACCGAACGATACAGACCCTACACTTTTTGTCTGGTTAATATTTAAAGCAGATCTTTTTAAGCTGTCCCTCAGCCAAATGCCAACATCAATCCTTATTTTTCATGTCAAAACATTTCACAGCCAAACAAGCTCTCCGGTTAGAGCAATTCATTTGCCTATAAAGACTGTCTGAGTGCTCCTGCTGAAATGCTGCTGGTTGGCTGCTTGCTCAGAGCTCCGCTTAATTCAAACATAAATAAAATAAAATTGCATTCATGCTATTTACACGGCTGGCACAGTGGAGTCTGCTGAAGTGGCCGTGGATCCCAGTTCGTGATACGGCGGCATTAACGTTAACGCCTTTTGACTTCTGAAGGCCGCTCACCGTGGCCCATATTCTTCATCTAGAGATTCCATCCTCTTCCGCTTTTCCCATTTCTATTCACCTGCCGTCCATCTCCGAGCTCGGAAACTCGGAATGTAGATGCAGATACGTGTCTTGGCAATTTGATTATTACAACTGGAGCGGCAAAACCAATCATCTTTGAGTTTGAACTGTGAGTCTAACTTGTCGGGAAGTGGGTCAGTGTAAATGGAAGGGCAGGCAGGCCGTATAAACTCAATACCCACTTACGACGCATGCCAGTTGGCTATGCACACATCCTTTGGGTAATAATCAAACAATTTTCAGGGCCGTTCAGAGAGTAGATTAATTAAAATGGTAAAAGTAGTATTGGAAGTAGATTTTATGCTATCAATTATTTATTAAAACTATAAAGGGTTTCAGTTCTTCCTTCACTTTGCCCATTTCAAAAAATGTATCATGTTTAGAATTAGAATGTCTTCTGCGAACTTACTGTTTCACAGCTAGGCTTGATAAACTTTTTAATCTGGAGATGTTCCTGGTAACAAAGGCTTTTGTCTATGAAGTACTCACTGTACTTTGAGTACCCCTTTCAGGATCTGAACATGTGTATGTTTTTCGGTTTTGTTACTCTGGATTTTGGGTTTGCTTTACTACTGCGTGTTGTTTTGGCCAAAATTGCAAATTACATATTTATCAAGCTGCAAACGTTTTTTGATTTAGTTCCCGGAAGTGCAGCAGAGCATGGCAATCCTGGCCGACACTTACAGGAAGCTAAAAAAGGGCAAAAAAAAGGAAGCCAAGCCACACAGTTTGTTTGGCAGCGCAGGACTCCAATCAATGTCAATCATACGCACCGTAAACGAACTGTGGTCGTCTTCCTGCAGTTCGAGCAAAGGGAGGACAATCAGGAAATGACGTTGAGACCCCCCTTAAAAAACACCCACAAAATCAATGACTTCGGGGCAATGAGACAATTCTGGTTCTGTCAAAGATCGGAATTCGTATCAAAATTCTAGTATAGTAAAAGGATCGAAATATGAATCCAGTTTAGCCAACGTTCGCTTGAAATGCTGCCAAATCTGAATTTAATTACTATAGTAATATCAACATGATATGTGTATTTAATCTGCTCACATTTTCCCACTTTTCCGTTTTACCTCTTTTCACCATGGTTTTTGCTGCAATTGCAGCATGTTGACTTTGAAAACATATCGTATTTACATTTGATTTAACAGTCAAACAAATTTCTAGAATTGCGCAAATATTTACATACACAATCGGAAAATCTGAACAGTGAGTGCTGCTGCGAACACGTGTGCCCTGTTGTGAATTAAAAATATATACGCTTCGTCTGCGTGGCTCTGCATATATGAAATTTAAATTTAAAACACAGCGCACAGCACTCTGCCCTCATGGCGGATGATTGATTTGGATGTCAGCGAGAGAAGAAGAGAGAGCGAAGTTGAAATGGCGGTACAACTGAAACTCAAACTAAAACCCGGTGAGTTGAACTCAAGCTAAACACGTTCCCAGTTGGCACTTAATCCTGTTAACGTTTGCCAGCAAAACTACAGACCTGAACGTGGCAATAAAAAGACGTTGCACTTTACGGAGGCGAGAAAACTTGCCGCATAATGCATCCGACTTAACTCACCCCACACCCACTCAAGAAGTGCTGGCCAGTATCAGGACTCCTCAGAATGGAAATGGAACTGAAAGCGGAAGGCATTCAAGTCCTTCTGCTATTTCATTACATTTACGTTAAATGCCTTTGGCCGTCCACTCTTGACTGGCAGACAAACAGTTCGCACAAGTGAAAGTAATTAAATTTTTGAGTCTTCTTCTTCCTTTGGCACCCTCACGCACCCTCACGCACCCACATCATTCACACTAACGAACTAAGGGCACAAAACGTGCTATTTTGGTGGGAAACCCTATCGTACCCGTATTCGTATGCGAATCCAAATGCGAGTCCACTTGCGCACCCTTTTTATGGCGGCCACAGAAATGTTCAACATAACACATTCTGGTTGCACTTTCCCCTACACCCAAAATAAAATTGTCGTAGAAACTAAACCGTTGTTACATAAACTATTGGGTATGAAAAATTTCTCACTAAGATAAGTGTTAAATTAATTCCACGAAAGTATCAACATACGATTTATGTGGTTTAAAAATAAGGCCTTATATTTGTTACTTTGTTACTGTCTTTAGTTATATTTAAGACATTCTTATCAAAACTAAACTTTCAGTTTATTTTTTGGGTGTAGAACCCCTACCCAAACCCCCTATTTCGGTACACGCGGCGTATGCGTAATGTGGCAACAAGGGCTGCCCACTTTATGAGCTCTCTCTCTGCCTCGGATCGCGACTGCCAGTTTAATTAAAAATAAAGCCCACCATCTCGGCCTGTTTGGGTCCAACTGATTATTCGCTCTGGGCCACGCTTTACTATATACGTGCGAATCTGAAACGGGGGAAAAATAGGAGGAGCTCGAGGAGCACATCCCCGCACTTAACGCATCAACAGTGGTGTGGTAACATGCCGAGCTGGTCGTCCATTTTGTGGGTCAAAAGCAAATAATTGAAGAGAGCACGTCGAGCCGCCGTCGACTGATTGCCATTGTTGAGGTCAGTTGGGTTGCGCTTTCATTTTACCTTTTTTTTTCATTTCGGGACCAGTCCCCTGGTTTTTCATTTTTTTGGGGCTCTTTTTTGTTATTTATGGCTTTTGTGCTCTTTGGCGGAGGATGTCAATTCTCGACTGGCTGTGTCATAAAATAAAATACGAGTATGTGCGCAAATAAAGCACAAGCAATTAAGCAGCAAAAATGCTTGCGGCTCAAAAAGGATTTGAAACGAGGGAAAAAGTGCTAATTGAACTGCAGTGAATGTGCTTTTGATGTGAAATCCTCTGCACTTCATCCTAAAAATACTACATCTGATAGTTGTGTGGGATTTAAGTACGCACAAAAGAGCTCTTGAATGTAAATCGATGGGCACTTAGTTCATTTATTTACAAAATGAATTGTAAGCAGGAATAAAAATAATAATCCTATATCTTTAATATAAACATGTTTTATTATCCTTTATATAAACAAATTTAAACATGTACAAGTCCAGTTTATTATCCTTAAAAGTAACTAGATAAACATACGTACACAAATTTTAATTTGTTTTTTGTCTAAGTCTTTGTGATATAAATTAACCATGCTTCCTGTGTAAATACCGATTTCTTTGAGTGACTCCTTTGTATATCTGCGCTAATCCCAAGGAATTACGACTTAGATAAGTTTTTGACCGGTCAACTGACTGTCTAACCCCTTCGGCTTTCAAATCGCTGCTGGCATTGTAAACATGGCCATAATTATGCATAATCTGCCATGGAGCGTATGGCGAGCGGAAGTGCATAATGCATATCAGAGTGTGTGTTTGTGTGTATTAATTACCGTAGCTATAACAATGAAATTCAATTTGCCGGCCACGCCCCACGGACATTGTAAATGGGCGGACGGGGAACGGGAATCCATCAGGCCGGGAATTATGTTGTGACAAGGGGCCAGTCAGCCATAAGCCCAAAACCGGCAGACGAATGGAAATTGAGGCGTTGGCTAAATTAAAGATGAAATCAAGGCAAATAGAGGCGGACAAATAAAGCACTCAAACAGCAAATGGAAGCGCATACGGATGCAGACAGAGCAGAACGGAAGGATGGAAGGATGAACGGATGGATGGAGAATATATATGGTTGGACAAACTAATCCGGCGGCAGCAGAGATTGCATGAAGACCTCCTTGGCCACTCGGCCATTAGCCAAAAGCAGCGGCACCACAAATACACACTACTAATAGTAGTTTTTTAACTTGTGAAGTTAATTCTTTAAAAAAATTGGCCAATTATTAAAATCTACATTTAAAATAGATAGACTTTTTAATATATTTTTAAAAAGGATTAAAAAAAATTGGATTTTATTCCAATACTTTCAGCATATTGAATAGTACATTTTAAAAGACTATTAAAAGTTTCAATTTTAAATTATAACCCT